CGGCGGCGGCAGCAGCAGCGGCATCGGCGGCGGCAGCAGCAGCGGCATCGGCGGCGGCAGCAGCAGCGGCATCGGCGGCGGCAGCAGCAGCGGCATCGGCGGCGGCAGCAGCAGCGGCATCGGCGGCGGCAGCAGCAGCGGCATCGGCGGCGGCAGCAGCAGCGGCATCGGCGGCGGCAGCAGCAGCGGCATCGGCGGCGGCAGCAGCAGCGGCATCGGCGGCGGCAGCAGCAGCGGCATCGGCGGCGGCAGCAGCAGCAGCATCGGCGGCGGCAGCAGCAGCGGCATCGGCGGCGGCAGCAGCAGCGGCATCGGCGGCGGCAGCAGCAGCGGCATCGGCGGCGGCAGCAGCAGCGGCATCGGCGGCGGCAGCAGCAGCGGCATCGGCGGCGGCAGCAGTAGCGGCGGCACCAATACCAACAGCAGCAGCGACGCCTTCACCCCTCCGCCGTCATGGCGTCATCCGACTCCTCGGTCGATCTAGCGACCATTGACGCCCTCGAGCTGCTCGGCGACAACTCGGCCGCCAACTGGCACTCCTATGCTCACTCCGTCGAGGTGTTTCTCTCCTCGGTCATCGTCAGTGGTTATACACTCCGCTCCGTCGTGTTCCAGGAGGAAGGCGGACTCCAGCCCATCGCCCCTTCTGCCCCCACCGGACCTCCTCCTGATGAGCCCGGACCTGAGCCCGAGTCCCCTGGTGATCCTCCCTCCTTCGCACCGGATGTCAACAATCCTCAAAGCGTGGAAACTGCCATCCGTGCCTACCGCAACACACTCAACGACCACCTTCGCCGTCAGCTGCGCTATGAGGACGACAAGCGCGCCTACGACGAGGCTGCTGCCCGTCACCGCGACTACCACGCCCAACTCACCACGTACACTACACGCCTCGCTAGCTACACCTCCGACATCGCTGCGTGGCGCATTGCTGACCGCCGAGCTCTCGCCATCCTCCTCGCCACTATCCCCTCCTCCCTCAAGCGAGAACTCTCACCCACCTCCTCCTCCCACCTGTGGCAACTGCTTGTCGACCTCTTTGACCGGCAGGACATCGCCACCCTCTATGCCCTCATCAAGGACTTTGGATCCATCACCATGGATTCCACTGCCGGCGCAGCCGCCTTTACTCGCCGCGTCCTTGACCTTGCTCGCCGCCTTGCAGCACTTGGTGTCACCTACCCTGACACCGTCATCTGCTGCCACCTCCTCGAAGGCCTCACTCCTGCCTTCGATGCCCACAAGCTGGCCTATATGCAACTCCTCTCCAAACATGACACTCTCGCTCAAGTTGCCCAGTGGATTATCACCACCGAGGCAGAAATCCTTCGCCACTCCTCCTCCACTGCCGCGGTAGCACAGCAGCGCAGCGGCAAAGGCGGACGTGGAGGGGGGCGTGGAGGTGGGCGTGGAGGTGGTCGAGGCGGCTCTGGCGGTCGTGGTGGTGCGGGTCGTGGTGCAGCAGCGGCCTTCCCACCCTGTCAGTATCTTCCCCTTTATGGCCCCACCCGAGGCCAACGCTGCAACCAAACCACTCATGCAACTGAGACGTGCTTTAAGGCACTCAGCGATGAGTGGTTCGCTCGTGGGAACTCTGGCACCCCTCCTCGCTGGTCCGCCCTTAATCCCCGCCCCACTCCCCTCGACGTTCGCACCTCTCCCCTCTACGCTCCTTCCTCCTCCTCCCAGGCCCACCAGGCCTTTGCTCTCCCCTCTCAGCAGCAGCAGCATCAGCAGCAGCAGCAGCAGCAGCAGCAGCAGAGTGTACAACAGCAGGGACCGCAGCAGTACGGGCAGCAGCTTCAGCAGCTCCAGCAGCAGCTTCAGCAGCTCCAGCAGCAGCTCGACCTCCAGCCCCAGCTTCCTCTCCTCCCTCCTCCTCCTGTCCCCCAGCAGCAACCGTTTCCCGGCTGGACCGCTGGGAATGCAGCCTCTGCGGCCCACCTCTCCGGTCCCTCCCCTGCGCCGTCCACAGGTGGTAGTGTGACCCCCTTTCCCTCCTCTGGCTTTGTTGGTCTGCTTAGTCAGCCTCCCTCTGTTGCATCCCCTATGTATGCGCCTGCTACTAATGAAACTTCCATTCAGTACTCCGCCTCACCCTCCTCCACCCTTGAGTTCGTCCTGGATAGTGGAGCCACTGACAATGTCTTTCGCGATGCTGGCAAACTCCATCCTCTCCCCACACCCACGTCCCTCCTCGGCGCTGACAGCAGCTTTTCCATCCCCTGTCACAACACGTCCACCCTTCCCTGTCCTCTCTTTCCCTCAGGTACCGTCACAGGTCTTCACATTCCCTCCCTTCGCACTAACCTCCTTTCCCAAAGGTCCCTCCAACAATCCATGATCACCACTGTCACCCCAGGAGGTGCTAACCATTGTGACCTTTTCCAAACCTCCACAGGTCGCTTCCTCGCCCGCATTCCCTACTGTCACCGCTCCCGTCTATACACCCTTCGGGTTCCTCGCCCCTTCACCTTCCAAGTTGCCTCCCCCCCCCTCCTCCCCCCCCCCTCCTCCCCTCCCTCCCACTAACCCACCCGTCCCCCCCCGCCCCCCTGACTCTGACTGCTCATGTCGCTCCCTCTCCCACCCTGCTATCCTCCTCCATCACAGGCTAGGTCACCCCAACTTCGCCACTCTGCGCTCCTCTGCATCCTCCGGTCTCCTCCACGGTCTCCCCTCCTCCCTCCCTCCCCTCCCAAAGTCCCCTGCCCCCCCTTGCGTCGTCTGTGTTCAGAGCAAGCTCAAGCAGCAGCCGCACCGGAGCTCCCCCTCCGCTGCAGCCCAGCCACTTGATCTTGTTCACATGGACCTCTGGGGCCCTAACCCCTCCCCCACTCGCCAAGGCCATCGCTACCTCCTCGTGCTCGTCGATGATCACAGTCGGTACTCGTCCGTCTCTCTCCTTCGGACGAAGGCGGACGCCCCGACTGCGATCATTGCCTGGCTCGAACAGGCAAACACCCACTTTGGGCGCCCTGTTCGCCGCCTCCACTCTGATGGTGGTGGTGAGTTCCTTAACAACCAGATCTCCTCCTATTGCCAGTCCCGCGGCATTCTTCAGACTTACACCCTCCCTCACTCCCCACAGCAGAACGGTGTCGCTGAGAGCCGTGTTCGGGAGATCACCAAAACGGCTCGGTGTCTCCTTGTCCACGCCTCCTGCCCCCCTTCTCTGTGGGGCTACGCCCTCCTTCATGCCGCCCTCCTTACTAACCTTTACCCTCACCCCCTCCTCCCCTCCACCACCCCCACTGAGCTATGGACAAAGGACAAACCCGATGTCTCCCCTCTTCGGGTCTGGGGCTCAAAGGCATATGTCCTCATTCACCCATCTGACCGATCCCGTTCCCTAGGAAAACTTGCCCCTCGTACCCTTCCCTGCATCTTCCTTGGTCATAACCCCTCTTCCCCCGACTATCTTTTCCTCCACCCCCCCTCCGGTCGACTAATTCGCAGCAGGGATGTCGTCTTTGACGAATCCACCTCATACTATTCCTCTCCTCCGTCCACTGACCCACTCCCACCTCTGACTCGTCCCCTTGTCTGGTCTGACACCACCCCTCCCCCTCTCCTCCCTCCTCCCCCCATCCTCCCACCCCCTTCCCCACCGCCCCCCCAGTCCCACGGTGCCCCTCCCTCGTCTGGTGACATCTTTGACCCGGACCCCCTGTCTTCCCCTGTCTCCCCCGCTCACTCCTCCCCTGGTGCCCCTCCTCCCCCTCCCTCCCAACCCTCGCCTCCCTCCCCCCCTCCCCGCACCACACTCACCCGGTATCCTCACACCAGGTCATGCGACGGTATTCTTGGTGCACCGCCCCCTGTTACCCTCTCTACCTCTACCCTCCCCCCTCTTTCCCCCCTTCTTCACCACTTCTTCCAGGCTGTCCTGCATCAAGCCCCTCATGCACCCGCCCCCTCTACTACCTCTCCAGCAGCGGCAGCAGCAGCAGCTCCAGCAGCAGCCACCGCAGCGGCACCAGCAGCGGCACCAGCAGCGGCAAGTGCAGCGGCACCAGCAGCGGCAAGTGCAACGGCACCAGCAGCGGCGAGTGCAGCGGCAGCGGCGGCCTCGGCAGCGGCACCAGCAGCGGCGGCACCAACAGTGGCACCAGCAGCGGCACCTGCGGTCATCCGCGCCTTCCACACCTCCCTCTCTGAGGACTCCCATGAGGAGTTCCTTGACCTCCACCTCTCTGACCCCTCCCTCCTTCCCATCACCTCTGACCTCTCTGGAACACCAGTCTTCGCCTTTTCCTCCGCACCCTCCACCTTCATCCCAACCACGTATGAGGAGGCCATGGCTTGTCCCGACGCCCCGCTCTGGCTCGCCGCCATCATCAAGGAGCTCGAGGCGTTTATTGCCAACTCCTCCTTTGTTGATGTCCCTCGCCCTCCCCCCTCTACGAACGTGGTCAAGGGGAAGTGGGTGTTTCGCGTCAAGCAGCTGCCAGGAGAACCGCCCGTCTACAAGGCCCGGTATTGCGCCAAGGGCTTCACGCAGCGGTATGGCTTTGACTTCTTCGACACCTTCTCCCCCACCGCCAAACCTGCTACCGTTCGCGCCGTCCTCGACCTCGCCGCTCGCCTCAACATGGAGATCCACTCGATGGATGTCTCCAACGCCTTCCTGCAAGGCGTACTACGTGAACTGATCTACATGGAGCGCCCAGCGGGCTTCCACCTCCCCTTCCCCGCTGACTCTGTCTGGCAGCTGCGCCGCCCAGTGCATGGGCTCCGCCAGGCTCCCAGGGAATGGCATGCCAAGCTTGCTGCCACCCTTGTCGAGCTTGGGTTTCGCACCTCCCGCTCCGACGCCAGCCTCTTCCTCCGCACCTCCCCCTCCCCCTTCTACATCCTCGTCTATGTTGACGATATGATTCTTCTCACTGCCGATCCTGCCGAGCTCGAGACTGTCAAGACGGAGCTGGGCAGCCGTCTCAAGTGCAAAGACCTGGGAGAGCTGCAGCACTACCTCGGCATGACCATCACTCGCGACCGCTCCGCCCGCACCATCTCTCTCTCTCAGGGCCACTACCTCCAGCAGGTCTTAGAACGGTTTGCAATGGCGCGCGGTAACCCCCAGCCCACTCCCCTTTCGGTCGGGCACCACCTCTCCCCACCCTCCTCTCCCTCCCCTTCCTCCCATCCTTATCCTGAACTCATCGGCTCTCTCATGTACGCCATGGTCTCTACTCGCCCTGACCTTGCCTACCCCATCAGCGTCCTCGCTCGCTTCGTTGGCGCTGGCAAGCATACGGAGGAGCACTGGCAGGCCGCCAAGCGCGTTCTTCGCTACATTCGTGGCACCAAGGACTATGTCCTTACCCTTGGAGGCCCTTCCCCACCCCTCCTCCACGGCTACAGCGACTCTTCCTGGGCTGACTCTCGACCGGATCGGCGGTCCTCTCAGGGTTATGGCTTCTCTCTGGGCAGCGGCCTCATCAGCTGGCGGTCCACACGCTCCTCTGCCGTCGCCCTCTCCTCCTGCGAGGCAGAGCTCTACGCTGCAACCATGGCCGCGCAGGAGGCGCGCTGGCTCACCTTCCTCCTTGATGAGCTTGGAGCCCCCCAACGCTGTCCCACCATCTGGTGTGACAACGCTAGCACCATCCACCTCACCAAGGATGCTGTGTATCATGGGCGCTCCAAACACATTGAGCTCCGCTACTTTTTCATTCGTGAACTCGTTGAGGCCGGCCATCTTCGCCTTGGCAAAATCGACTCGGCGGCCAACCTCGCTGACATCTTCACCAAAGCCCTTCCCCAGGCGTCCCACTCCTTCCTTCTGCGCCTCCTTGGCCTCACCCCTCCTCCGGTTTTGGCGGCCTCCTGATTCCATTTTCTAGCCTTATGCCTGTTGGGGGGTTGTGTTGTAACTGTATCTTATACACAACATACATAGGCTAGAATGGTGTAGCTCTTTATGTTCTTGGGGGGTTGGGTGTACACTCCAACCACATTTTGTGGTTGGTCAAGGTTGGGTTTGGTCTTGGTCCTTGGTTGGCACTTGCTAACTTTTGGTCCTAAGGCCTACCAATCACAACCTAGCAACATTGTGGGGTTACCTACTCCACAAGGCATCTCCCCCATTGACCAACTCAGTGGCCAATAGGGTTTGCTCCTTCTTCACCCCTCTCTTGCTTGCATGCTTGTACTATAGAGCCTCCATGGCTCATTATTCAACTACTCTTGAATTCTATCAGGTCGATGGGAGAGGAGTGCACAGAGCTCCTGCAGGGCAGGCCCCACACGAAGCAGGTCCTGTGGGGAGGGCAGGAGGAGCAGGAGGAGGGTGAGTTGGTGAGCTGAAAATGTGGTGTTGTGTGTGCAATAGCAGACTTTCAAGTGGCCCCTACAGAGCATGCCCCACACGTGGCAGGTCCTGTGGGGAGGGGAGGAGGAGCAGGAAACAGGGAGGGAAAGGGGGCGTTAGAGTGCAGCACTGGTAGTGTGCAGCACACTCGGAGAGAGCAGACTATCAAGTGGCACCTGCAGGGCATGCCCCACACGTGGTGGTGCCTGTGGGGAGGCAGGAGGAGCGGGGGAGAGAGGGGGGGATCATGTGGGGTGAGCTGACGATGTGGTGCTGTATGTGCGGTAGGCCAGAGCAGTCATTCGAGAGCAGACTGTCGAGTGGGCCCTGCAGGGCATGAGGAGGGCAAGAGGACCGGTGGGGGGGAAGGGGGGGGGGGGGGGGGGTGTTGTGAGCTGACAATAATACAGCAGACAGGGCCAGAGAGGTGAGAATCACGTGCCGAGAGGTGAGAAGTGGTGAGAGGTGGGAAGTGGTGAGAGGTGAGAAGTGGAGAGAGGTGAGAAGTGGTGAGAGGTGAGAAGCGGTGAGAGGTGAGAAGTGGTGAGAGGTGAGAAGTGGTGAGAGGTGAGAAGTGGTGAGAGGTGAGAAGTGGAGAGAGGTGAGAAGTGGTGAGAGGTGAGAAGTGGTGAGAGGTGAGAAGTGGTAAGAGGTGAGAAGTGGTGAGAGGTGAGAGTGGAGAGAGGTGAGAAGTGGTGAGAGGTGAGAAGTGGTGAGAGGTGAGAAGCGGTGAGAGGTGAGAAGTGGTGAGAGGTGAGAAGTGGTGAGAGGTGAGAAGTGGTGAGAGGTGATAAGTGGTAAGAGGTGAGAAGTGGTGAGAGGTGAGAAGCGGTGAGAGGTGAGAAGTGGAGAGAGGTGAGAAGTGGTGAGAGGTGAGAAGTGGTGAGAGGTGAGAAGCGGTGAGAGGTGAGAAGCGGTGAGAGGTGATAAGTGGAGAGAGGTGAGAAGCGGTGAGAGGTGAGAAGCGGTGAGAGGTGATAAGTGGAGAGAGGTGAGAAGTGGTGAGAGGTGAGAAGTGGTGAGAGGTAAGAAGTGGTGAGAGGTGAGAAGTGGAGAGAGGTGGGAAGTGGTGAGAGGTGAGAAGTGGTGAGAGGTGAGAGGTGAGTATCACGTACCAACACACTTGTCGCCCACCACCTCGTATTTGCACACACAGGTCACTGCACCCGCAACGTCCTTCACACATGCATGGTTGCCGTCACAGATAGAGCACAGCTCTGCAGGGGGGAGGTGTGAGAGAGGGGGGGACGAAGTAAGGGGCTTTTGAGTCAGTTATAAAAAGCAGCGTCCTTCACACATGCATGGTTGCCGTCACAGATAGAGAACGGCTCTGCAAGTGGGGAAGGCGTGGAAGGGTGGGTGCGTGGAAGGTTGGAGTTTTGTTTGATGCTTCAAAAGTTATGGCGATTTCTGATGCAAGGGGAAGAACAAAGCAGCACATGAAAGAGCACGCACACAGCAACACATGGCAGCACACGAAGTCAGAGTCACACACACAGGACGCCACACCTGCAGTGCTCTGTGTGAGGGCAACCCATAACATGGAACATGGAATTTCACTAGGCATTGCACCCACCAATGCACGTCCTGCCATTGGCCTGCAGCACGAAGCCTGCGTCACACACACAGGCCGCCACTCCACCGCTGTTCACAACGCACGTGCTGTTGGCGCTGCAGGCCTTGACCGCACAGGGACCTGGGAGGGAAGGGGGTGATGGAGGGAAGTTAGGCGAGTGTGAAAGAGGAGGGAGTGTGGGAAGGGACACAGGATGCTACCCCACTGCTGTTCACAACGCATGTGCTGTTGGCGCCCCAGACCTTCACCACACAGGGACCTGGGAGGGTGGTTATGCATGAACGGAACGGGAAAGGGGAGAGGGGGTTGTAAGGCCAGCAGCACCTCATTACTCGCCAACACCACACCAAAATAATTACCAACAGGGACACAGCTGAGGGAGTGGTAAGGGTACGACCCCACAGGAGAGTAGTTGTTGCTGGTGGTTGGGGTGGGTGGGAGATTTTTAAGACGCCTCAACAGCCATCACAGCGGCACCCATCAAAGCAGCAGCATATTACTCAGAAACACTGTTGGCACTTACCAATGGGGACACAGCTGAAGGAGTGGTAAGGGTACGACCCCACTGGAGAGTTGTCGCTGATGGGTGGGGTGGGGGAGACATGCACCCAACAATACAGCAGTACTGCATTACTCACTCACCGTCACAGCAGCACCGCATTACCCGCCAACACCACAACACTCACCGACAGGGACACAGCTGAAGGAGTGGTAAGGGTACGACCCCACTGGAGAATAGTCACTGGTGGATGGGGTGGGAGAAACATGCACAAATAGGCATTGGGGGCAAGCCAGAGGGGCAGAGGGGGAGAGGAGAAAACGTGCATGGGGAAGGGGAGAGACAGAGAAGGAATGTTATATAACATGCTATTTACCTAATGTAGGACCATTTGAGAAGTAATGCAATCTCAACGAAGAGGAGTTGGTGGTGTGGGCATGGGAGACATGCCCGCACAGGAATTGGGGCGGGGTGTAACGAGGGGGCCAATCATAGAAGCCATGACTCACCTTGACCCCGTTGCGGTGATCCAGGTCCCATTGGAAGCGATTGGCAGCCACGTGGCACGCCCCTGGCAGCTATCCCGAGTGTAACCATACACCGAGTCGCAGTGACCTCTGAGTCAGTAAACTCAACAAACGCTGTGATTCCCCCACACTCACATGACTCCTTCTGCAATGATTCCGGTCCCATTCGAGGCAAGAGGCAGCCACGTGGGAGGCCCCTGGCAGCTCTCCCGAGTGTAACCATACACCGATGCACAGTTGCCCGCACCACCCGGAACCCCATTCACACGCCAGAGAGACAAGGCGCGCTCGGCAACGGCTGCAGGGATGCTTCTGCAGGAGTTGTATGGCAGGCGCACGGTGTAGGTGGTGGGAGTGATGGTGTGGTTGGTCTGATCGTAGAAGGTGATGCTGGTGGAGGAGGCAGTGGGGGTGGCGCCTGCAAGGGGAGGGAGATATGAGGAAGACAGCTGATTTATACACACGCATGGTGAAGATGTTGGACGTGATGGTGTAGTTGGGCTAATCGTAGAAGGTGATACTGGTGGAGGAGGCATTGGGGCGAATACTTGAGTAGCATGCCATAATTCGATAGACATGCTGTTAACGGGAGTTGGGTGTTGGCCTCGTCCTCACTTGGACAGAGCCGACTTTGTGGTCGGGTGCGCGATAAGTGCAGCTGACTGACTGCAGTGGACGACGCCGACTTGGGCGAGCAGGTCGACAGAGTTAGTCGACCTGCACGAGGCCAGTGCGAAGCCGCCGACGACGAGGGCCGGCGGCCAACTTCAACTCGGTAGTCGACGAAGGGAGTCGTCGACCAGAGAGGGGCGTTGACTTGGTAACGCCGACATGGGGAAGGTGACTCGGTGCAGTTGGCGAGCAGCCAGTCTGGTCGCCCCGGAGTTGGTCGACTTGTGGAGTGGTTGACTTGGTGAAATCGGCTGGTGGCCGTCGACCTGGGTGGTCGACAAGCACGTACAACTGTAGGTCAATTTCTACCAAGCAAGTGGACGCTGACCTGGTGGCTTCCAGGTCGACCATGTAACCAAGGCGACGAGGTTTTGCGGGGCGTGCGACCGTCGCCCAGGTGGTTCTGGCGAAACCGACCTCAGAGTGGTACCCCGATCCGATGTCGACGTGGCTCATTAGGCGCTGCCAACGGCACGTGACCGATTTGTCACCTGCACTATGCACGTAACGGTGCATGTTGCGCCAACCGACTACGAGCACCTGCGAAGTAGGTGCGCTGCTGTCATCCGCGGGAGCAAGGCTAGACAGCCTTGCTGCAGCGTTGGCACGCCGTCGACTTGCAGTGTTGGCAAGCCTCCTTTTTGCAGCGCTGGAGCGGTGCGGACTTTGCAGTGCTGGAACGCGGTCAACCTTGCTACGCTGGAAGTCGACTTGCTTGCATGCTAAGCAGACTTACTTCTGATGTAGTCAGCTTTGCCACTGTAACTACCATTAATGTTCTCAACTTTTCCAAGTAAAACTTCGCGGTTTTGCCCTGTAAACGCGCAAGTGCTAGAGAACACTAAAGAACGCTACGATCACTCCTAGAACCCCTGCCTTCCTCCGTAGTCATGTTTTCGATGTAAAGGTAACTCTCCGCACATGCCACAATTGGATAGACATGCCACATTTGGAAAGACATGCTACAATTGATAGACATGCCACAATGGGAAAGACATGCCACAATCGGATAGACATGCCACAACTAGATAGACATGCCACAATTGGGTAGACAGACATGCCACAATTGGATAGACATCCACAATTAGATCGACATGCCACAATTGGATAGACATGCCACAGTTGGATAGACATGCCACAATCGGAAAGACATGCCACAAAATGATATGCCACAATTGGACAGTTCGAAAGACATGCCACAATTGGATAGACATGTCACAAAAGGATATGCCACAGTCGGAAGAAAGGACATGCCACAGTTTGAAGAAAGGACATGCCACAGTCAGAAGGCTATGCCACAATTGAAAGGACATGCCAAATGTGAAAGCCCATGCCATTGTTGGAATTCCATGCCATTATTGGAAGCCCCTGCCATTATTGGAAGCCCCTGCCATTATTGGAAGCACGTGCCATGATTTAGAGACATGACCTTACCGCTGATGCAAGACGAGTAACCCATGCCATAGCCGGGAGGACAGATGCAGTACGGCACATTGCTAGAAGTAACCGTGCATGTGGCTCCTGTAGGGCAGCTCCCACATGTGGTAGGGCCTGGGGAGGTGGGAAGAGGGAGGAGATCAAGAAAGGGAGGAGATGAGGAGGAGCAAGGAGACGAAAGAAAGAGACTAGATAAGGAAAAGGGAGAAAACCAATATTCACGACACAGCACGACAAAAAAACAAAGAAACGGTGCAGGTGGCTCGTGTAGGGCAGTCTCCACATGTGACGGGGCCTGGGGAGGCGGGGAAGGAGAAGAGATGAGGAAGAGTGCAAAAGGTGAAACATCACATCACAACACACTAGCAAAGCACATTATAGCACAAGATGGAACAACAAACACCAACATGGAGCAGCAGAGGAGCACAGAGCTCTCGACAAAACACCAGCGCGGCATCCGAGTTGACCGACACCCCTACACCAACATGAATGCCGCAGCACAAAGACGAACAAACACACGCACACGCACACGAATGAACGCCTTACCAGATTACACCGCTAATATGACCTGGCCGTACCGACACATTTGCCGGAGGTGCTCTGATAGCCTATTTTGAGTGGACTAAAAAAGACTGCACCAGCACGTACCAACACATTTGCCGGAGATGCTCTGATAGCCCGCCTTGCACACACAGGTTGCACCGCCTGCAGCGTCCCTCACACAGTCAGTCGTGGGATCGCAGATCTTGGTCCCACACGCCTCTGAAGGAGATTAGACGAGAGTGGTACGAAGGGAACACCAAGGGATGACTTCAAATCTTGGACCCACGCGCCTCTGAGGGAGATTAGATGGGAGAAGTACGAAGAGAACACCAAGATAAGAGATGACTTTGGATCTTAGTCCCACTCGCTTCTGCGGGAGGAGAAAAGAATGGCAAGAAGAAATTATTGGTACTGACATGGAACGGAGATCTGGACCGGACATGGGGGCTTGGGAGGGTATGGGAAGAAGAGGCACACATGCGTGAGAGGGAAAGAGACTGAGCACATGGATGGGAAGAAGAGGAGGGAAAGAGATTGAGCAAATGGATGGGAAGAAGAGGAGGGAAAGAGACTGAGAAAATGGATGGGAAGAAGAGGAGGGAAAGAGATTGAGAAAATGGATGGGAAGAAGAGGAGGGAAAGAGACTGAGAAAATGGATGGGAAGAAGAGGAGGGAAAGAGATTGAGAAAATGGATGGGAAGAAGAGGAGGGAAAGAGATTGAGAACATGGATGGGAAGAAGAGGAGGGAAAGAGATTGAGAAAATGGATGGAAAGAAGAGGAGGGAAAGAGATTGAGCAAATGGATGGGAAGAAGATGAGGGAAAGAGACTGAGAAAATGGATGGGAAAAAGAGGAGGGAAAGAGATTGAGAAAATGGATGGGAAGAAGAGGAGGGAAGAGATTGAGAACATGGATGGGAAGAAGAGGAGGGAAAGAGATTGAGAAAACGGATGGAAAGAAGAGGAGGGAAAGAGATTGAGCAAATGGATGGGAAGAAGAGGAGGGAAAGAGACTGAGAAAATGGATGGGAAGAAGAGGAGGGAAAGAGATTGAGAAAATGGATGGGAAGAAGAGGAGGGAAAGAGATTGAGCAAATGGATGGGAAGAAGAGGAGGGAAAGAGACTGAGAAAATGGATGGGAAGAAGAGGAGGGAAAGAGATTGAGAAAATGGATGGGAAGAAGAGGAGGGAAAGAGATTGAGAACATGGATGGGAAGAAGAGGAGGGAAAGAGATTGAGAAATTGGATGGAAAGAAGAGGAGGGAAAGAGATTGAGCAAATGGATGGGAAGAAGAGGAGGGAAAGAGACTGAGAAAATGGATGGGAAGAAGAGGAGGGAAAGAGATTGAGAAAATGGATGGGAAGAAGAGGAGGGAAAGAGATTGAGAACATGGATGGGAAGAAGAGGAGGGAAAGAGATTGAGAAAATGGATGGAAAGAAGAGGAGGGAAAGAGATTGAGCAAATGGATGGGAAGAAGAGGAGGGAAAGAGACTGAGAAAATGGATGGGAAGAAGAGGAGGGAAAGAGATTGAGAAAATGGATGGTAAGAAGAGGAGGGAAAGAGATTGAGAACATGGATGGGAAGAAGAGGAGGGAAAGAGATTGAGAAAATGGATGGAAAGAAGAGGAGGGAAAGAGATTGAGCAAATGGATGGGAAGAAGAGGAGGGAAAGAGACTGAGAACATGGATGGGAAGAAGAGGAGGGAAAGAGATTGAGAACATGGATGGGAAGAAGAGGAGGGAAAGAGATTGAGAAAATGGATGGAAAGAAGAGGAGGGAAAGAGACTGAGAACATGGATGGGAAGAAGAGGAGGGAAAGAGATTGAGAAAATGGATGGGAAGAAGAGGAGGGAAAGAGATTGAGAACATGGATGGGAAGAAGAGGAGGGAAAGAGATTGAGAAAATGGATGGAAAGAAGAGGAGGGAAAGAGATTGAGCAAATGGATGGGAAGAAGAGGAGGGAAAGAGACTGAGAACATGGATGGGAAGAAGAGGAAGGAAAGAGATTGAGCAAATGGATGGGAAGAAGAGGAGGGAAAGAGACTGAGAAAATGGATGGGAAGAAGAGGAGGGAAAGAGATTGAGAAAATGGATGGGAAGAAGAGGAGGGAAAGAGATTGAGAACATGGATGGGAAGAAGAGGAGGGAAAGAGATTGAGAAAATGGATGGAAAGAAGAGGAGGGAAAGAGATTGAGCAAATGGATGGGAAGAAGAGGAGGGAAAGAGATTGAGAAAATGGATGGGAAGAAGAGGAGGGAAAGAGATTGAGAAAATGGATGGGAAGAAGAGGAGGGAAAGAGATTGAGAACATGGATGGGAAGAAGAGGAGGGAAAGAGATTGAGAAAATGGATGGAAAGAAGAGGAAGGAAAGAGATTGAGCAAATGGATGGGAAGAAGAGGAGGGAAAGAGACTGAGAAAATGGATGGGAAGAAGAGGAGGGAAAGAGATTGAGAAAATGGATGGGAAGAAGAGGAGGGAAAGAGACTGAGAAAATGGATGGGAAGAAGAGGGAAAGAGACTGAGAAAATGGATGGGAAGAAGAGGAGGGAAAGAGATTGAGAAAATGGATGGGAAGAAGAGGAGGGAAAGAGACTGAGAAAATGGATGGGAAGAAGAGGAGGGAAAGAGACTGAGAAAATGGATGGAAGAAGAGGAGGGAAAGAGACTGAGAAAATGGATGGGAAGAAGAGGAGGGAAAGAGACTGAGCAAATGGATGGGAAGAAGAGGAGGGAAAGAGACTGAGAAAATGAATGGAAAGAAGAGGAGGGAAAGAGACTCAGCAAATGGATGGGAAGAAGAGGAGGGAAAGGGACTGAGAAAATGGATGGGAAGAAGAGGAGGGAAAGAGATTGAGAAAATGGATGGGAAGAAGAGGAGGGAAAGAGATTGAGAACATGGATGGGAAGAAGAGGAGGGAAAGAGATTGAGAAAATGGATGGAAAGAAGAGGAGGGAAAGAGATTGAGCAAATGGATGGGAAGAAGAGGAGGGAAAGAGACTGAGAACATGGATGGGAAGAAGAGGAGGGAAAGAGATTTAGCAAATGGATGGGAAGAAGAGGAGGGAAAGAGACTGAGAAAATGGATGGGAAGAAGAGGAGGGAAAGAGACTGAGAAAATGGATGGGAAGAAGAGGAGGGAAAGAGACTGAGAAAATGGATGGGAAGAAGAGGAGGGAAAGAGATTGAGAACATGGATGGGAAGAAGAGGAGGGAAAGAGATTGAGAAAATGGATGGAAAGAAGAGGAGGGAAAGAGATTGAGCAAATGGATGGGAAGAAGAGGAGCGAAAGAGACTGAGAAAATGGATGGGAAGAAGAGGAGGGAAAGAGATTGAGAAAATGGATGGGAAGAAGAGGAGGGAAAGAGACTGAGAAAATGGATGGGAAGAAGAGGAGGGAAAGAGACTGAGAAAATGGATGGGAAGAAGAGGAGGGAAAGAGATTGAGAAAATGGATGGTAAGAAGAGGAGGGAAAGAGATTGAGAACATGGATGGGAAGAAGAGGAGGGAAAGAGATTGAGAAAATGGATGGAAAGAAGAGGAGGGAAAGAGATTGAGCAAATGGATGGGAAGAAGAGGAGGGAAAGAGATTGAGAAAATGGATGGGAAGAAGAGGAGGGAAAGAGATTGAGAACATGGATGGGAAGAAGAGGAGGGAAAGAGATTGAGAAAATGGATGGAAAGAAGAGGAGGGAAAGAGATTGAGCAAATGGATGGGAAGAAGAGGAGGGAAAGAGACTGAGAACATGGATGGGAAGAAGAGGAGGGAAAGAGATTGAGCAATTGGATGGGAAGAAGAGGAGGGAAAGAGACTGAGAAAATGGATGGGAAGAAGAGGAGGGAAAGAGATTGAGAAAATGGATGGGAAGAAGAGGAGGGAAAGAGACTGAGAAAATGGATGGGAAGAAGAGGAGGGAAAGAGACTGAGAAAATGGATGGGAAGAAGAGGAGGGAAAGAGACTGAGCAAATGGATGGGAAGAAGAGGAGGGAAAGAGACTGAGAAAATGGATGGAAAGAAGAGGAGGGAAAGAGACTCAGCAAATGGATGGGAAGAAGAGGAGGGAAAGGGACTGAGAAAATGGATGGGAAGAAGAGGAGGGAAAGAGATTGAGAAAATGGATGGGAAGAAGAGGAGGGAAAGAGATTGAGAACATGGATGGGAAGAAGAGGAGGGAAAGAGATTGAGAAAATGGATGGAAAGAAGAGGATGGAAAGAGATTGAGCAAATGGATGGGAAGAAGAGGAGGGAAAGAGACCGAGAACATGGATGGGAAGAAGAGGAGGGAAAGAGATTGAGCAAATGGATGGGAAGAAGAGGAGGGAAAGAGACTGAGAAAATGGATGGGAAGAAGAGGAGGGAAAGAGACTGAGAAAATGGATGGGAAGAAGAGGAGGGAAAGAGACTGAGAAAATGGATGGGAAGAGGAGGAGGGAAAGAGATTGAGAACATGGATGGGAAGAAGAGGAGGGAAAGAGATTGAGAAAATGGATGGAAAGAAGAGGAGGGAAAGAGATTGAGCAAATGGATGGGAAGAAGAGGAGGGAAAGAGACTGAGAAAATGGATGGGAAGAAGAGGAGGGAAAGAGATTGAGAAAATGGATGGGAAGAAGAGGAGGGAAAGAGACTGAGAAAATGGATGGGAAGAAGAGGAGGGAAAGAGACTGAGAAAATGGATGGAAAGAAGAGGAGGGAAAGAGATTGAGCAAATGGATGGGAAGAAGAGGAGGGAAAGAGACTGAGAAAATGGATGGGAAGAAGAGGAGGGAAAGAGATTGAGAAAATGGATGGGAAGAAGAGGAGGGAAAGAGACTGAGAAAATGGATGGGAAGAAGAGGAGGGAAAGAGACTGAGAAAATGGATGGGAAGAAGAGGAGGGAAAGAGATTGAGAAAATGGATGGGAAGAAGAGGAGGGAAAGAGATTGAGAACATGGATGGGAAGAAGAGGAGGGAAAGAGATTGAGAAATTGGATGGAAAGAAGAGGAGGGAAAGAGATTGAGCAAATGGATGGGAAGAAGAGGAGGGAAAGAGACTGAGAAAATGGATGGGAAGAAGAGGAGGGAAAGAGATTGAGAAAATGGATGGGAAGAAGAGGAGGGAAAGAGATTGAGAACATGGATGGGAAGAAGAGGAGGGAAAGAGATTGAGAAAATGGATGGAAAGAAGAGGAGGGAAAGAGATTGAGCAAATGGATGGGAAGAAGAGGAGGGAAAGAGACTGAGAAAATGGATGGGAAGAAGAGGAGGGAAAGAGATTGAGAAAATGGATGGTAAGAAGAGGAGGGAAAGAGATTGAGAACATGGATGGGAAGAAGAGGAGGGAAAGAGATTGAGAAAATGGATGGAAAGAAGAGGATGGAAAGAGATTGAGCAAATGGATGGGAAGAAGAGGAGGGAAAGAGACCGAGAACATGGATGGGAAGAAGAGGAGGGAAAGAGATTGAGCAAATGGATGGGAAGAAGAGGAGGGAAAGAGACTGAGAAAATGGATGGGAAGAAGAGGAGGGAAAGAGACTGAGAAAATGGATGGGAAGAAGAGGAGGGAAAGAGACTGAGAAAATGGATGGGAAGAGGAGGAGGGAAAGAGATTGAGAAAATGGATGGAAAGAAGAGGAGGGAAAGAGATTGAGCAAATGGATGGGAAGAAGAGGAGGGAAAGAGACTGAGAAAATGGATGGGAAGAAGAGGAGGGAAAGAGATTGAGAAAATGGATGGGAAGAAGAGGAGGGAAAGAGATTGAGAAAATGGATGGGAAGAAGAGGAGGGAAAGAGACTGAGAAAATGGATGGGAAGAAGAGGAGGGAAAGAGACTGAGAAAATGGATGGGAAGAAGAGGAGGGAAAGAGATTGAGAAAATGGATGGGAAGAAGAGGAGGGAAAGAGATTGAGAACATGGATGGGAAGAAGAGGAGGGAAAGAGATTGAGAAATTGGATGGAAAGAAGAGGAGGGAAAGAGATTGAGCAAATGGATGGGAAGAAGAGGAGGGAAAGAGACTGAGAAAATGGATGGGAAGAAGAGGAGGGAAAGAGATTGAGAAAATGGATGGGAAGAAGAGGAGGGAAAGAGATTGAGAACATGGATGGGAAGAAGAGGAGGGAAAGAGATTGAGAAAATGGATGGAAAGAAGAGGAGGGAAAGAGATTGAGCAAATGGATGGGAAGAAGAGGAGGGAAAGAGACTGAGAAAATGGATGGGAAGAAGAGGAGGGAAAGAGATTGAGAAAATGGATGGTAAGAAGAGGAGGGAAAGAGATTGAGAACATGGATGGGAAGAAGAGGAGGGAAAGAGATTGAGAAAATGGATGGAAAGAAGAGGATGGAAAGAGATTGAGCAAATGGATGGGAAGAAGAGGAGGGAAAGAGACCGAGAACATGGATGGGAAGAAGAGGAGGGAAAGAGATTGAGCAAATGGATGGGAAGAAGAGGAGGGAAAGAGACTGAGAAAATGGATGGGAAGAAGAGGAGGGAAAGAGACTGAGAAAATGGATGGGAAGAAGAGGAGGGAAAGAGACTGAGAAAATGGATGGGAAGAGGAGGAGGGAAAGAGATTGAGAAAATGGATGGAAAGAAGAGGAGGGAAAGAGATTGAGCAAATGGATGGGAAGAAGAGGAGGGAAAGAGACTGAGAAAATGGATGGGAAGAAGAGGAGGGAAAGAGATTGAGAAAATGGATGGGAAGAAGAGGAGGGAAAGAGACTGAGAAAATGGATGGGAAGAAGAGGAGGGAAAGAGACTGAGAAAATGGATGGGAAGAAGAGGAGGGAAAGAGATTGAGAAAATGGATGGTAAGAAGAGGAGGGAAAGAGATTGAGAACATGGATGGGAAGAAGAGGAGGGAAAGAGATTGAGAAAATGGATGGAAAGAAGAGGAGGGAAAGAGATTGAGCAAATGGATGGGAAGAAGAGGAGGGAAAGAGACTGAGAAAATGGATGGGAAGAAGAGGAGGGAAAGAGATTGAGAAAATGGATGGGAAGAAGAGGAGGGAAAGAGATTGAGAACATGGATGGGAAGAAGAGGAGGGAAAGAGATTGAGAAAATGGATGGAAAGAAGAGGAGGGAAAGAGATTGAGCAAATGGATGGGAAGAAGAGGAGGGAAAGAGACTGAGAACATGGATGGGAAGAAGAGGAGGGAAAGAGATTGAGAAAAAGGATGGGAAGAAGAGGAGGGAAAGAGACTGAGAAAATGGATGGGAAGAAGAGGAGGGAAAGAGATTGAGAAAATGGATGGTGAGAAGAGGAGGGAAAGAGATTGAGAACATGGATGGGAAGAAGAGGAGGGAAAGAGATTGAGAAAATGGATGGAAAGAAGAGGAGGGAAAGAGATTGAGCAAATGGATGGGAAGAAGAGGAGGGAAAGAGATTGAGAACATGGATGGGAAGAAGAGGAGGGAAAGAGATTGAGAAAATGGATGGAAAGAAGAGGAGGGAAAGAGATTGAGCAAATGGATGGGAAGAAGAGGAGGGAAAGAGACTGAGAACATGGATGGGAAGAAGAGGAGGGAAAGAGATTGAGCAAATGGATGGGAAGAAGAGGAGGGAAAGAGACTGAGAAAATGGATGGGAAGAAGAGGAGGGAAAGAGATTGAGAAAATGGATGGGAAGAAGAGGAGGGAAAGAGATTGAGAAAATCGATGGAAAGAAGAGGAGGGAAAGAGATTGAGCAAATGGATGGGAAGAAGAGGAGGGAAAGAGACTGAGAACATGGATGGGAAGAAGAGGAGGGAAAGAGATTGAGCAAATGGATGGGAAGAAGAGGAGGGAAAGAGACTGAGAAAATGGATGGGAAGAAGAGGAGGGAAAGAGACTGAGAAAATGGATGGGAAGAAGAGGAGGGAAAGAGACTGAGAAAATGGATGGGAAGAAGAGGAGGGAAAGAGATTGAGAACATGGATGGGAAGAAGAGGAGGGAAAGAGATTGAGAAAATGGATGGAAAGAAGAGGAGGGAAAGAGATTGAGCAAATGGATGGGAAGAAGAGGAGGGAAAGAGACTGAGAACATGGATGGGAAGAAGAGGAGGGAAAGAGATTGAGCAAATGGATGGGAAGAAGAGGAGGGAAAGAGACTGAGAAAATGGATGGGAAGAAGAGGAGGGAAAGAGATTGAGAAAATGGATGGGAAGAAGAGGAGGGAAAGAGACTGAGAAAATGGATGGGAAGAAGAGGAGGGAAAGAGACTGAGAAAATGGATGGGAAGAAGAGGAGGGAAAGAGACTGAGCAAATGGATGGGAAGAAGAGGAGGGAAAGAGACTGAGAAAATGGATGGAAAGAAGAGGAGGGAAAGAGACTCAGCAAATGGATGGGAAGAAGAGGAGGGAAAGGGACTGAGAAAATGGATGGGAAGAAGAGGAGGGAAAGAGATTGAGAAAATGGATGGGAAGAAGAGGAGGGAAAGAGATTGAGAACATGGATGGGAAGAAGAGGAGGGAAAGAGATTGAGAAAATGGATGGAAAGAAGAGGAGGGAAAGAGATTGAGCAAATGGATGGGAAGAAGAGGAGGGAAAGAGACTGAGAAAATGGATGGGAAGAAGAGGAGGGAAAGAGATTGAGAAAATGGATGGGAAGAAGAGGAGGGAAAGAGATTGAGAACATGGATGGGAAGAAGAGGAGGGAAAGAGATTGAGAAAATGGATGGAAAGAAGAGGAGGGAAAGAGATTGAGCAAATGGATGGGAAGAAGAGGAGGGAAAGAGACTGAGAACATGGATGGGAAGAAGAGGAGGGAAAGAGATTGAGCAAATGGATGGGATGAAGAGGAGGGAAAGAGACTGAGAAAATGGATGGGAAGAAGAGGAGGGAAAGAGATTGAGAAAATGGATGGGAAGAAGAGGAGGGAAAGAGACTGAGAAAATGGATGGGAAGAAGAGGAGGGAAAGAGATTGAGAAAATGGATGGTGAGAAGAGGAGGGAAAGAGATTGAGAACATGGATGGGAAGAAGAGGAGGGAAAGAGATTGAGAAAATGGATGGAAAGAAGAGGAGGGAAAGAGATTGAGCAAATGGATGGGAAGAAGAGGAGGGAAAGAGATTGAGAAAATGGATGGGAAGAAGAGGAGGGAAAGAGATTGAGAAAATGGATGGAAAGAAGAGGAGGGAAAGAGATTGAGCAAATGGATGGGAAGAAGAGGAGGGAAAGAGACTGAGAACATGGATGGGAAGAAGAGGAGGGAAAGAGATTGAGCAAATGGATGGGAAGAAGAGGAGGGAAAGAGACTGAGAAAATGGATGGGAAGAAGAGGAGGGAAAGAGATTGAGAAAATGGATGGTAAGAAGAGGAGGGAAAGAGATTGAGCAAATGGATGGGAAGAAGAGGAGGGAAAGAGACTGAGAACATGGATGGGAAGAAGAGGAGGGAAAGAGATTGAGCAAATGGATGGGATGAAGAGGAGGGAAAGAGACTGAGAAAATGGATGGGAAGAAGAGGAGGGAAAGAGATTGAGAAAATGGATGGGAAGAAGAGGAGGGAAAGAGACTGAGAAAATGGATGGGAAGAAGAGGAGGGAAAGAGACTGAGAAAATGGATGGGAAGAAGAGGAGGGAAAGAGATTGAGAAAATGGATGGTAAGAAGAGGAGGGAAAGAGATTGAGAACATGGATGGGAAGAAGAGGAGGGAAAGAGATTGAGAAAATGGATGGAAAGAAGAGGAGGGAAAGAGATTGAGCAAATGGATGGGAAGAAGAGGAGGGAAAGAGACTGAGAAAATGGATGGGAAGAAGAGGAGGGAAAGAGATTGAGAAAATGGATGGGAAGAAGAGGAGGGAAAGAGACTGAGAACATGGATGGGAAGAAGAGGAGGGAAAGAGATTGAGAAAATGGATGGAAAGAAGAGGAGGGAAAGAGATTGAGCAAATGGATGGGAAGAAGAGGAGGGAAAGAGACTGAGAACATGGATGGGAAGAAGAGGAGGGAAAGAGATTGAGAAAATGGATGGGAAGAAGAGGAGGGAAAGAGACTGAGAAAATGGATGGGAAGAAGAGGAGGGAAAGAGATTGAGAAAATGGATGGTAAGAAGAGGAGGGAAAGAGATTGAGAACATGGATGGGAAGAAGAGGAGGGAAAGAGATTGAGAAAATGGATGGAAAGAAGAGGAGGGAAAGAGATTGAGCAAATGGATGGGAAGAAGAGGAGGGAAAGAGACTGAGAAAATGGATGGGAAGAAGAGGAGGGAAAGAGATTGAGAAAATGGATGGGAAGAAGAGGAGGGAAAGAGATTGAGAACATGGATGGGAAGAAGAGGAGGGAAAGAGATTGAGAAAATGGATGGAAAGAAGAGGAGGGAAAGAGATTGAGCAAATGGATGGGAAGAAGAGGAGGGAAAGAGACTGAGAAAATGGATGGGAAGAAGAGGAGGGAAAGAGATTGAGAACATGGATGGGAAGAAGAGGAGGGAAAGAGATTGAGAAAATGGATGGAAAGAAGAGGAGGGAAAGAGATTGAGCAAATGGATGGGAAGAAGAGGAGGGAAAGAGACTGAGAAAATGGATGGGAAGAAGAGGAGGGAAAGAGATTGAGAAAATGGATGGGAAGAAGAGGAGGGAAAGAGACTGAAAAAATGGATGGGAAGAAGAGGAGGGAAAGAGACTGAGAAAATGGATGGGAAGAAGAGGAGGGAAAGAGATTGAGAAAATGGATGGTAAGAAGAGGAGGGAAAGAGATTGAGAACATGGATGGGAAGAAGAGGAGGGAAAGAGATTGAGAAAATGGATGGAAAGAAGAGGAGGGAAAGAGATTGAGCAAATGGATGGGAAGAAGAGGAGGGAAAGAGACTGAGAAAATGGATGGGAAGAAGAGGAGGGAAAGAGATTGAGAAAATGGATGGGAAGAAGAGGAGGGAAAGAGACTGAGAAAATGGATGGGAAGAAGAGGAGGGAAAGAGACTGAGAAAATGGATGGGAAGAAGAGGAGGGAAAGAGATTGAGAAAATGGATGGGAAGAAGAGGAGGGAAAGAGACTGAGAAAATGGATGGAAAGAAGAGGAGGGAAAGAGATTGAGAAAATGGATGGGAAGAAGAGGAGGGAAAGAGATTGAGAACATGGATGGGAAGAAGAGGAGGGAAAGAGATTGAGAAAATGGATGGAAAGAAGAGGAGGGAAAGAGATTGAGCAAATGGATGGGAAGAAGAGGAGGGAAAGAGACTGAGAAAATGGATGGGAAGAAGAGGAGGGAAAGAGATTGAGAAAATGGATGGGAAGAAGAGGAGGGAAAGAGATTAAGAACATGGATGGGAAGAAGAGGAGGGAAAGAGATTGAGAAAATGGATGGAAAGAAGAGGAGGGAAAGAGATTGAGCAAATGGATGGGAAGAAGAGGAGGGAAAGAGACTGAGAAAATGGATGGGAAGAAGAGGAGGGAAAGAGACTGAGAAAATGGATGGGAAGAAGAGGAGGGAAAGAGACTGAGAAAATGGATGGGAAGAAGAGGAGGGAAAGAGACTGAGAAAATGGATGGGAAGAAGAGGAGGGAAAGGGATTGAGAAAATGGATGGGAAGAAGAGGAGGGAAAGAGACTGAGAAAATGGATGGGAAGAAGAGGAGGGAAAGAGACTGAGCAAATGGATGGGAAGAAGAGGAGGGAAAGAGACTGAGAAAATGGATGGGAAGAAGAGGAGGGAAAGAGACTGAGCAAATGGATGGGAAGAAGAGGAGGGAAAGAGACTGAGAAAATGGATGGAAAGAAGAGGAGGGAAAGAGACTGAGCAAATGGATGGGAAGAAGAGGAGGGAAAGAGACTGAGAAAACGGATGGGAAGAAGAGGAGGGAAAGAGATTGAGAAAATGGATGGGAAGAAGAGGAGGGAAAGAGATTGAGAACATGGATGGGAAGAAGAGGAGGGAAAGAGATTGAGAAAATGGATGGAAAGAAGAGGAGGGAAAGAGACTGAGAAAATGGATGGGAAGAAGAGGAGGGAAAGAGATTGAGAACATGGATGGGAAGAAGAGGAGGGAAAGAGATTGAGAAAATGGATGGAAAGAAGAGGAGGGAAAGAGATTGAGCAAATGGATGGGAAGAAGAGGAGGGAAAGAGACTGAGAAAATGGATGGGAAGAAGAGGAGGGAAAGAGATTGAGAAAATGGATGGGAAGAAGAGGAGGGAAAGAGACTGAGAAAATGGATGGGAAGAAGAGGAGGGAAAGAGACTGAGAAAATGGATGGGAAGAAGAGGAGGGAAAGAGACTGAGAAAATGGATGGGAAGAAGAGGAGGGATTGAGACTGAGCAAATGGATGGGAAGAAGAGGAGGGAAAGAGACTGAGAAAATGGATGGAAAGAAGAGGAGGGAAAGAGACTGAGCAAATGGATGGGAAGAAGAGGAGGGAAAGAGACTGAGAAAATGGATGGGAAGAAGAGGAGGGAAAGAGATTGAGAAAATGGATGGGAAGAAGAGGAGGGAAAGAGACTGAGAAAATGGATGGGAAGAAGAGGAGGGAAAGAGACTGAGAAAATGGATTGGAAGAAGAGGAGGGAAAGAGACTGAGAAAATGGATGGGAAGAAGAGGAGGGAAAGAGACTGAGAAAATGGATGGGAAGAAGAGGAGGGAAAGAGATTAAGAACATGGATGGGAAGAAGAGGAGGGAAAGAGATTGAGAAAATGGATGGAAAGAAGAGGAGGGAAAGAGATTGAGCAAATGGATGGGAAGAAGAGGAGGGAAAGAGACTGAGAAAATGGATGGGAAGAAGAGGAGGGAAAGAGACTGAGAAAATGGATGGGAAGAAGAGGAGGGAAAGAGACTGAGAAAATGGATGGGAAGAAGAGGAGGGAAAGAGACTGAGAAAATGGATGGGAAGAAGAGGAGGGAAAGGGATTGAGAAAATGGATGGGAAGAAGAGGAGGGAAAGAGACTGAGAAAATGGATGGGAAGAAGAGGAGGGAAAGAGACTGAGAAAATGGATGGGAAGAAGAGGAGGGAAAGAGACTGAGAAAATGGATGGGAAGAAGAGGAGGGAAAGAGACTGAGCAAATGGATGGGAAGAAGAGGAGGGAAAGAGACTGAGAAAATGGATGGAAAGAAGAGGAGGGAAAGAGACTGAGCAAATGGATGGGAAGAAGAGGAGGGAAAGAGACTGAGAAAACGGATGGGAAGAAGAGGAGGGAAAGAGATTGAGAAAATGGATGGGAAGAAGAGGAGGGAAAGAGATTGAGAACATGGATGGGAAGAAGAGGAGGGAAAGAGATTGAGAAAATGGATGGAAAGAAGAGGAGGGAAAGAGATTGAGCAAATGGATGGGAAGAAGAGGAGGGAAAGAGACTGAGAACATGGATGGGAAGAAGAGGAGGGAAAGAGATTGAGCAAATGGATGGGAAGAAGAGGAGGGAAAGAGACTGAGAAAATGGATGGGAAGAAGAGGAGGGAAAGAGACTGAGAAAATGGATGGGAAGAAGAGGAGGGAAAGAGATTGAGAAAATGGATGGGAAGAAGAGGAGGGAAAGAGATTGAGAACATGGATGGGAAGAAGAGGAGGGAAAGAGATTGAGAAAATGGATGGAAAGAAGAGGAGGGAAAGAGATTGAGCAAATGGATGGGAAGAAGAGGAGGGAAAGAGACTGAGAAAATGGATGGGAAGAAGAGGAGGGAAAGAGATTGAGAAAATGGATGGGAAGAAGAGGAGGGAAAGAGACTGAGAAAATGGATGGGAAGAAGAGGAGGGAAAGAGACTGAGAAAATGGATGGGAAGAAGAGGAGGGAAAGAGACTGAGAAAATGGATGGGAAGAAGAGGAGGGAAAGAGATTAAGAACATGGATGGGAAGAAGAGGAGGGAAAGAGATTGAGAAAATGGATGGAAAGAAGAGGAGGGAAAGAGATTGAGCAAATGGATGGGAAGAAGAGGAGGGAAAGAGACTGAGAAAATGGATGGGAAGAAGAGGAGGGAAAGAGACTGAGAAAATGGATGGGAAGAAGAGGAGGGAAAGAGACTGAGAAAATGGATGGGAAGAAGAGGAGGGAAAGAGACTGAGAAAATGGATGGGAAGAAGAGGAGGGAAAGGGATTGAGAAAATGGATGGGAAGAAGAGGAGGGAAAGAGACTGAGAAAATGGATGGGAAGAAGAGGAGGGAAAGAGACTGAGAAAATGGATGGGAAGAAGAGGAGGGAAAGAGACTGAGAAAATGGATGGGAAGAAGAGGAGGGAAAGAGACTGAGCAAATGGATGGGAAGAAGAGGAGGGAAAGAGACTGAGAAAATGGATGGAAAGAAGAGGAGGGAAAGAGACTGAGCAAATGGATGGGAAGAAGAGGAGGGAAAGAGACTGAGAAAACGGATGGGAAGAAGAGGAGGGAAAGAGATTGAGAAAATGGATGGGAAGAAGAGGAGGGAAAGAGATTGAGAACATGGATGGGAAGAAGAGGAGGGAAAGAGATTGAGAAAATGGATGGAAAGAAGAGGAGGGAAAGAGATTGAGCAAATGGATGGGAAGAAGAGGAGGGAAAGAGACTGAGAACATGGATGGGAAGAAGAGGAGGGAAAGAGATTGAGCAAATGGATGGGAAGAAGAGGAGGGAAAGAGACTGAGAAAATGGATGGGAAGAAGAGGAGGGAAAGAGACTGAGAAAATGGATGGGAAGAAGAGGAGGGAAAGAGACTGAGAAAATGGATGGGAAGAAGAGGAGGGAAAGAGATTGAGAAAATGGATGGTAAGAAGAGGAGGGAAAGAGATTGAGAACATGGATGGGAAGAAGAGGAGGGAAAGAGATTGAGAAAATGGATGGAAAGAAGAGGAGGGAAAGAGATTGAGCAAATGGATGGGAAGAAGAGGAGGGAAAGAGACTGAGAAAATGGATGGGAAGAAGAGGAGGGAAAGAGATTGAGAAAATGGATGGGAAGAAGAGGAGGGAAAGAGATTGAGAACATGGATGGGAAGAAGAGGAGGGAAAGAGATTGAGAAAATGGATGGAAAGAAGAGGAGGGAAAGAGATTGAGCAAATGGATGGGAAGAAGAGGAGGGAAAGAGACTGAGAACATGGATGGGAAGAAGAGGAGGGAAAGAGATTGAGAAAATGGATGGGAAGAAGAGGAGGGAAAGAGACTGAGAAAATGGATGGGAAGAAGAGGAGGGAAAGAGATTGAGAAAATGGATGGTAAGAAGAGGAGGGAAAGAGATTGAGAACATGGATGGGAAGAAGAGGAGGGAAAGAGATTGAGAAAATGGATGGAAAGAAGAGGAGGGAAAGAGATTGAGCAAATGGATGGGAAGAAGAGGAGGGAAAGAGACTGAGAAAATGGATGGGAAGAAGAGGAGGGAAAGAGACTGAGAAAATGGATGGGAAGAAGAGGAGGGAAAGAGACTGAGAAAATGGATGGGAAGAAGAGGAGGGAAAGAGACTGAGAAAATGGATGGGAAGAAGAGGAGGGAAAGGGATTGAGAAAATGGATGGGAAGAAGAGGAGGGAAAGAGACTGAGAAAATGGATGGGAAGAAGAGGAGGGAAAGAGACTGAGAAAATGGATGGGAAGAAGAGGAGGGAAAGAGACTGAGAAAATGGATGGGAAGAAGAGGAGGGAAAGAGACTGAGCAAATGGATGGGAAGAAGAGGAGGGAAAGAGACTGAGAAAATGGATGGAAAGAAGAGGAGGGAAAGAGACTGAGCAAATGGATGGGAAGAAGAGGAGGGAAAGAGACTGAGAAAACGGATGGGAAGAAGAGGAGGGAAAGAGATTGAGAAAATGGATGGGAAGAAGAGGAGGGAAAGAGATTGAGAACATGGATGGGAAGAAGAGGAGGGAAAGAGATTGAGAAAATGGATGGAAAGAAGAGGAGGGAAAGAGATTGAGCAAATGGATGGGAAGAAGAGGAGGGAAAGAGACTGAGAAAATGGATGGGAAGAAGAGGAGGGAAAGAGATTGAGAAAATGGATGGGAAGAAGAGGAGGGAAAGAGATTGAGCAAATGGATGGGAAGAAGAGGAGGGAAAGAGACTGAGAACATGGATGGGAAGAAGAGGAGGGAAAGAGATTGAGCAAATGGATGGGAAGAAGAGGAGGGAAAGAGACTGAGAAAATGGATGGGAAGAAGAGGAGGGAAAGAGACTGAGAAAATGGATGGGAAGAAGAGGAGGGAAAGAGACTGAGAAAATGGATGGGAAGAAGAGGAGGGAAAGAGATTGAGAAAATGGATGGTAAGAAGAGGAGGGAAAGAGATTGAGAACATGGATGGGAAGAAGAGGAGGGAAAGAGATTGAGAAAATGGATGGAAAGAAGAGGAGGGAAAGAGATTGAGCAAATGGATGGGAAGAAGAGGAGGGAAAGAGACTGAGAAAATGGATGGGAAGAAGAGGAGGGAAAGAGATTGAGAAAATGGATGGGAAGAAGAGGAGGGAAAGAGATTGAGAACATGGATGGGAAGAAGAGGAGGGAAAGAGATTGAGAAAATGGATGGAAAGAAGAGGAGGGAAAGAGATTGAGCAAATGGATGGGAAGAAGAGGAGGGAAAGAGACTGAGAACATGGATGGGAAGAAGAGGAGGGAAAGAGATTGAGAAAATGGATGGGAAGAAGAGGAGGGAAAGAGACTGAGAAAATGGATGGGAAGAAGAGGAGGGAAAGAGATTGAGAAAATGGATGGTAAGAAGAGGAGGGAAAGAGATTGAGAACATGGATGGGAAGAAGAGGAGGGAAAGAGATTGAGAAAATGGATGGAAAGAAGAGGAGGGAAAGAGATTGAGCAAATGGATGGGAAGAAGAGGAGGGAAAGAGACTGAGAAAATGGATGGGAAGAAGAGGAGGGAAAGAGATTGAGAAAATGGATGGGAAGAAGAGGAGGGAAAGAGATTGAGAACATGGATGGGAAGAAGAGGAGGGAAAGAGATTGAGAAAATGGATGGAAAGAAGAGGAGGGAAAGAGATTGAGCAAATGGATGGGAAGAAGAGGAGGGAAAGAGACTGAGAACATGGATGGGAAGAAGAGGAGGGAAAGAGATTGAGAAAATGGATGGAAAGAAGAGGAGGGAAAGAGATTGAGCAAATGGATGGGAAGAAGAGGAGGGAAAGAGACTGAGAACATGGATGGGAAGAAGAGGAGGGAAAGAGATTGAGAAAATGGATGGGAAGAAGAGGAGGGAAAGAGACTGAGAAAATGGATGGGAAGAAGAGGAGGGAAAGAGATTGAGAAAATGGATGGGAAGAAGAGGAGGGAAAGAGATTGAGAACATGGATGGGAAGAAGAGGAGGGAAAGAGATTGAGAAAATGGATGGAAAGAAGAGGAGGGAAAGAGATTGAGCAAATGGATGGGAAGAAGAGGAGGGAAAGAGACTGAGAACATGGATGGGAAGAAGAGGAGGGAAAGAGATTGAGAAAATGGATGGGAAGAAGAGGAGGGAAAGAGACTGAGAAAATGGATGGGAAGAAGAGGAGGGAAAGAGATTGAGAAAATGGATGGTAAGAAGAGGAGGGAAAGAGATTGAGAACATGGATGGGAAGAAGAGGAGGGAAAGAGATTGAGAAAATGGATGGAAAGAAGAGGAGGGAAAGAGATTGAGCAAATGGATGGGAAGAAGAGGAGGGAAAGAGACTGAGAAAATGGATGGGAAGAAGAGGAGGGAAAGAGATTGAGAAAATGGATGGGAAGAAGAGGAGGGAAAGAGATTGAGAACATGGATGGGAAGAAGAGGAGGGAAAGAGATTGAGAAAATGGATGGAAAGAAGAGGAGGGAAAGAGATTGAGCAAATGGATGGGAAGAAGAGGAGGGAAAGAGACTGAGAACATGGATGGGAAGAAGAGGAGGGAAAGAGATTGAGCAAATGGATGGGAAGAAGAGGAGGGAAAGAGACTGAGAAAATGGATGGGAAGAAGAGGAGGGAAAGAGACTGAGAAAATGGATGGGAAGAAGAGGAGGGAAAGAGACTGAGAAAATGGATGGGAAGAAGAGGAGGGAAAGAGATTGAGAAAATGGATGGTAAGAAGAGGAGGGAAAGAGATTGAGAACATGGATGGGAAGAAGAGGAGGGAAAGAGATTGAGAAAATGGATGGAAAGAAGAGGAGGGAAAGAGATTGAGCAAATGGATGGGAAGAAGAGGAGGGAAAGAGACTGAGAAAATGGATGGGAAGAAGAGGAGGGAAAGAGATTGAGAAAATGGATGGGAAGAAGAGGAGGGAAAGAGATTGAGAACATGGATGGGAAGAAGAGGAGGGAAAGAGATTGAGAAAATGGATGGAAAGAAGAGGAGGGAAAGAGATTGAGCAAATGGATGGGAAGAAGAGGAGGGAAAGAGACTGAGAACATGGATGGGAAGAAGAGGAGGGAAAGAGATTGAGAAAATGGATGGGAAGAAGAGGAGGGAAAGAGACTGAGAAAATGGATGGGAAGAAGAGGAGGGAAAGAGATTGAGAAAATGGATGGTAAGAAGAGGAGGGAAAGAGATTGAGAACATGGATGGGAAGAAGAGGAGGGAAAGAGATTGAGAAAATGGATGGAAAGAAGAGGAGGGAAAGAGATTGAGCAAATGGATGGGAAGAAGAGGAGGGAAAGAGACTGAGAAAATGGATGGGAAGAAGAGGAGGGAAAGAGATTGAGAAAATGGATGGGAAGAAGAGGAGGGAAAGAGATTGAGAACATGGATGGGAAGAAGAGGAGGGAAAGAGATTGAGAAAATGGATGGAAAGAAGAGGAGGGAAAGAGATTGAGCAAATGGATGGGAAGAAGAGGAGGGAAAGAGACTGAGAACATGGATGGGAAGAAGAGGAGGGAAAGAGATTGAGCAAATGGATGGGAAGAAGAGGAGGGAAAGAGACTGAGAAAATGGATGGGAAGAAGAGGAGGGAAAGAGATTGAGAAAATGGATGGGAAGAAGAGGAGGGAAAGAGATTGAGAACATGGATGGGAAGAAGAGGAGGGAAAGAGATTGAGAAAATGGATGGAAAGAAGAGGAGGGAAAGAGATTGAGCAAATGGATGGGAAGAAGAGGAGGGAAAGAGACTGAGAACATGGATGGGAAGAAGAGGAGGGAAAGAGATTGAGCAAATGGATGGGAAGAAGAGGAGGGAAAGAGATTGAGAACATGGATGGGAAGAAGAGGAGGGAAAGAGATTGAGAAAATGGATGGAAAGAAGAGGAGGGAAAGAGATTGAGCAAATGGATGGGAAGAAGAGGAGGGAAAGAGACTGAGAACATGGATGGGAAGAAGAGGAGGGAAAGAGATTGAGCAAATGGATGGGAAGAAGAGGAGGGAAAGAGACTGAGAAAATGGATGGGAAGAAGAGGAGGGAAAGAGACTGAGAAAATGGATGGGAAGAAGAGGAGGGAAAGAGACTGAGAAAATGGATGGGAAGAAGAGGAGGGAAAGAGATTGAGAACATGGATGGAAAGAAGAGGAGGGAAAGAGATTGAGAAAATGGATGGAAAGAAGAGGAGGGAAAGAGATTGAGCAAATGGATGGGAAGAAGAGGAGGGAAAGAGACTGAGAAAATGGATGGGAAGAAGAGGAGGGAAAGAGATTGAGAAAATGGATGGGAAGAAGAGGAGGGAAAGAGACTGAAAAAATGGATGGGAAGAAGAGGAGGGAAAGAGACTGAGAAAATGGATGGGAAGAAGAGGAGGGAAAGAGATTGAGAAAATGGATGGTAAGAAGAGGAGGGAAAGAGATTGAGAACATGGATGGGAAGAAGAGGAGGGAAAGAGATTGAGAAAATGGATGGAAAGAAAAGGAGGGAAAGAGATTGAGCAAATGGATGGGAAGAAGAGGAGGGAAAGAGACTGAGAAAATGGATGGGAAGAAGAGGAGGGAAAGAGATTGAGAAAATGGATGGGAAGAAGAGGAGGGAAAGAGACTGAGAAAATGGATGGGAAGAAGAGGAGGGAAAGAGATTGAGAAAATGGATGGGAAGAAGAGGAGGGAAAGAGACTGAGAAAATGGATGGAAAGAAGAGGAGGGAAAGAGATTGAGAAAATGGATGGGAAGAAGAGGAGGGAAAGAGATTGAGAACATGGATGGGAAGAAGAGGAGGGAAAGAGATTGAGAAAATGGATGGAAAGAAGAGGAGGGAAAGAGATTGAGCAAATGGATGGAAGAAGAGGAGGGAAAGAGACTGAGAAAATGGATGGGAAGAAGAGGAGGGAAAGAGATTGAGAAAATGGATGGGAAGAAGAGGAGGGAAAGAGATTAAGAACATGGATGGGAAGAAGAGGAGGGAAAGAGATTGAGAAAATGGATGGAAAGAAGAGGAGGGAAAGAGATTGAGCAAATGGATGGGAAGAAGAGGAGGGAAAGAGACTGAGAAAATGGATGGGAAGAAGAGGAGGGAAAGAGACTGAGAAAATGGATGGGAAGAAGAGGAGGGAAAGAGACTGAGAAAATGGATGGGAAGAAGAGGAGGGAAAGAGACTGAGAAAATGGATGGGAAGAAGAGGAGGGAAAGGGATTGAGAAAATGGATGGGAAGAAGAGGAGGGAAAGAGACTGAGAAAATGGATGGGAAGAAGAGGAGGGAAAGAGACTGAGAAAATGGATGGGAAGAAGAGGAGGGAAAGAGACTGAGAAAATGGATGGGAAGAAGAGGAGGGAAAGAGACTGAGCAAATGGATGGGAAGAAGAGGAGGGAAAGAGACTGAGAAAATGGATGGAAAGAAGAGGAGGGAAAGAGACTGAGCAAATGGATGGGAAGAAGAGGAGGGAAAGAGACTGAGAAAACGGATGGGAAGAAGAGGAGGGAAAGAGATTGAGAAAATGGATGGGAAGAAGAGGAGGGAAAGAGATTGAGAACATGGATGGGAAGACGAGGAGGGAAAGAGATTGAGAAAATGGATGGAAAGAAGAGGAGGGAAAGAGATTGAGCAAATGGATGGGAAGAAGAGGAGGGAAAGAGACTGAGAACATGGATGGGAAGAAGAGGAGGGAAAGAGATTGAGCAAATGGATGGGAAGAAGAGGAGGGAAAGAGACTGAGAAAATGGATGGGAAGAAGAGGAGGGAAAGAGACTGAGAAAATGGATGGGAAGAAGAGGAGGGAAAGAGACTGAGAAAATGGATGGGAAGAAGAGGAGGGAAAGAGATTGAGAACATGGATGGGAAGAAGAGGAGGGAAAGAGATTGAGAAAATGGATGGAAAGAAGAGGAGGGAAAGAGATTGAGCAAATGGATGGGAAGAAGAGGAGGGAAAGAGACTGAGAAAATGGATGGGAAGAAGAGGAGGGAAAGAGATTGAGAAAATGGATGGGAAGAAGAGGAGGGAAAGAGACTGAGAAAATGGATGGGAAGAAGAGGAGGGAAAGAGACTGAGAAAATGGATGGGAAGAAGAGGAGGGAAAGAGACTGAGAAAATGGATGGGAAGAAGAGGAGGGATTGAGACTGAGCAAATGGATGGGAAGAAGAGGAGGGAAAGAGACTGAGAAAATGGATGGAAAGAAGAGGAGGGAAAGAGACTGAGCAAATGGATGGGAAGAAGAGGAGGGAAAGAGACTGAGAAAATGGATGGGAAGAAGAGGAGGGAAAGAGATTGAGAAAATGGATGGGAAGAAGAGGAGGGAAAGAGACTGAGAAAATGGATGGGAAGAAGAGGAGGGAAAGAGACTGAGAAAATGGATTGGAAGAAGAGGAGGGAAAGAGACTGAGAAAATGGATGGGAAGAAGAGGAGGGAAAGAGACTGAGAAAATGGATGGGAAGAAGAGGAGGGAAAGAGATTAAGAACATGGATGGGAAGAAGAGGAGGGAAAGAGATTGAGAAAATGGATGGAAAGAAGAGGAGGGAAAGAGATTGAGCAAATGGATGGGAAGAAGAGGAGGGAAAGAGACTGAGAAAATGGATGGGAAGAAGAGGAGGGAAAGAGACTGAGAAAATGGATGGGAAGAAGAGGAGGGAAAGAGACTGAGAAAATGGATGGGAAGAAGAGGAGGGAAAGAGACTGAGAAAATGGATTGGAGGAAGAGGAGGGAAAGGGATTGAGAAAATGGATGGGAAGAAGAGGAGGGAAAGAGACTGAGAAAATGGATGGGAAGAAGAGGAGGGAAAGAGACTGAGAAAATGGATGGGAAGAAGAGGAGGGAAAGAGGCTGAGAAAATGGATGGGAAGAAGAGGAGGGAAAGAGACTGAGCAAATGGATGGGAAGAAGAGGAGGGAAAGAGACTGAGAAAATGGATGGAAAGAAGAGGAGGGAAAGAGACTGAGCAAATGGATGGGAAGAAGAGGAGGGAAAGAGACTGAGAAAACGGATGGGAAGAAGAGGAGGGAAAGAGATTGAGAAAATGGATGGGAAGAAGAGGAGGGAAAGAGATTGAGAACATGGATGGGAAGAAGAGGAGGGAAAGAGATTGAGAAAATGGATGGAAAGAAGAGGAGGGAAAGAGATTGAGCAAATGGATGGGAAGAAGAGGAGGGAAAGAGACTGAGAACATGGATGGGAAGAAGAGGAGGGAAAGAGATTGAGCAAATGGATGGGAAGAAGAGGAGGGAAAGAGACTGAGAAAATGGATGGGAAGAAGAGGAGGGAAAGAGACTGAGAAAATGGATGGGAAGAAGAGGAGGGAAAGAGATTGAGAAAATGGATGGGAAGAAGAGGAGGGAAAGAGATTGAGAACATGGATGGGAAGAAGAGGAGGGAAAGAGATTGAGAAAATGGATGGAAAGAAGAGGAGGGAAAGAGATTGAGCAAATGGATGGGAAGAAGAGGAGGGAAAGAGACTGAGAAAATGGATGGGAAGAAGAGGAGGGAAAGAGATTGAGAAAATGGATGGGAAGAAGAGGAGGGAAAGAGACTGAGAAAATGGATGGGAAGAAGAGGAGGGAAAGAGACTGAGAAAATGGATGGGAAGAAGAGGAGGGAAAGAGACTGAGAAAATGGATGGGAAGAAGAGGAGGGAAAGAGATTAAGAACATGGATGGGAAGAAGAGGAGGGAAAGAGATTGAGAAAATGGATGGAAAGAAGAGGAGGGAAAGAGATTGAGCAAATGGATGGGAAGAAGAGGAGGGAAAGAGACTGAGAAAATGGATGGGAAGAAGAGGAGGGAAAGAGACTGAGAAAATGGATGGGAAGAAGAGGAGGGAAAGAGACTGAGAAAATGGATGGGAAGAAGAGGAGGGAAAGAGACTGAGAAAATGGATGGGAAGAAGAGGAGGGAAAGGGATTGAGAAAATGGATGGGAAGAAGAGGAGGGAAAGAGACTGAGAAAATGGATGGGAAGAAGAGGAGGGAAAGAGACTGAGAAAATGGATGGGAAGAAGAGGAGGGAAAGAGACTGAGAAAATGGATGGGAAGAAGAGGAGGGAAAGAGACTGAGCAAATGGATGGGAAGAAGAGGAGGGAAAGAGACTGAGAAAATGGATGGAAAGAAGAGGAGGGAAAGAGACTGAGCAAATGGATGGGAAGAAGAGGAGGGAAAGAGACTGAGAAAACGGATGGGAAGAAGAGGAGGGAAAGAGATTGAGAAAATGGATGGGAAGAAGAGGAGGGAAAGAGATTGAGAACATGGATGGGAAGAAGAGGAGGGAAAGAGATTGAGAAAATGGATGGAAAGAAGAGGAGGGAAAGAGATTGAGCAAATGGATGGGAAGAAGAGGAGGGAAAGAGACTGAGAACATGGATGGGAAGAAGAGGAGGGAAAGAGATTGAGCAAATGGATGGGAAGAAGAGGAGGGAAAGAGACTGAGAAAATGGATGGGAAGAAGAGGAGGGAAAGAGACTGAGAAAATGGATGGGAAGAAGAGGAGGGAAAGAGATTGAGAAAATGGATGGGAAGAAGAGGAGGGAAAGAGATTGAGAACATGGATGGGAAGAAGAGGAGGGAAAGAGATTGAGAAAATGGATGGAAAGAAGAGGAGGGAAAGAGATTGAGCAAATGGATGGGAAGAAGAGGAGGGAAAGAGACTGAGAAAATGGATGGGAAGAAGAGGAGGGAAAGAGACTGAGAAAATGGATGGGAAGAAGAGGAGGGAAAGAGACTGAGCAAATGGATGGGAAGAAGAGGAGGGAAAGAGACTGAGAAAATGGATGGAAAGAAGAGGAGGGAAAGAGACTGAGCAAATGGATGGGAAGAAGAGGAGGGAAAGAGACTGAGAAAACGGATGGGAAGAAGAGGAGGGAAAGAGATTGAGAAAATGGATGGGAAGAAGAGGAGGGAAAGAGATTAAGAACATGGATGGGAAGAAGAGGAGGGAAAGAGATTGAGAAAATGGATGGAAAGAAGAGGAGGGAAAGAGATTGAGCAAATGGATGGGAAGAAGAGGAGGGAAAGAGACTGAGAAAATGGATGGGAAGAAGAGGAGGGAAAGAGACTGAGAAAATGGATGGGAAGAAGAGGAGGGAAAGAGACTGAGAAAATGGATGGGAAGAAGAGGAGGGAAAGAGACTGAGAAAATGGATGGGAAGAAGAGGAGGGAAAGGGATTGAGAAAATGGATGGGAAGAAGAGGAGGGAAAGAGACTGAGAAAATGGATGGGAAGAAGAGGAGGGAAAGAGACTGAGAAAATGGATGGGAAGAAGAGGAGGGAAAGAGACTGAGAAAATGGATGGGAAGAAGAGGAGGGAAAGAGACTGAGCAAATGGATGGGAAGAAGAGGAGGGAAAGAGACTGAGAAAATGGATGGAAAGAAGAGGAGGGAAAGAGACTGAGCAAATGGATGGGAAGAAGAGGAGGGAAAGAGACTGAGAAAACGGATGGGAAGAAGAGGAGGGAAAGAGATTGAGAAAATGGATGGGAAGAAGAGGAGGGAAAGAGATTGAGAACATGGATGGGAAGACGAGGAGGGAAAGAGATTGAGAAAATGGATGGAAAGAAGAGGAGGGAAAGAGATTGAGCAAATGGATGGGAAGAAGAGGAGGGAAAGAGACTGAGAACATGGATGGGAAGAAGAGGAGGGAAAGAGATTGAGCAAATGGATGGGAAGAAGAGGAGGGAAAGAGACTGAGAAAATGGATGGGAAGAAGAGGAGGGAAAGAGACTGAGAAAATGGATGGGAAGAAGAGGAGGGAAAGAGACTGAGAAAATGGATGGGAAGAAGAGGAGGGAAAGAGATTGAGAACATGGATGGGAAGAAGAGGAGGGAAAGAGATTGAGAAAATGGATGGAAAGAAGAGGAGGGAAAGAGATTGAGCAAATGGATGGGAAGAAGAGGAGGGAAAGAGACTGAGAAAATGGATGGGAAGAAGAGGAGGGAAAGAGATTGAGAAAATGGATGGGAAGAAGAGGAGGGAAAGAGACTGAGAAAATGGATGGGAAGAAGAGGAGGGAAAGAGACTGAGAAAATGGATGGGAAGAAGAGGAGGGAAAGAGACTGAGAAAATGGATGGGAAGAAGAGGAGGGATTGAGACTGAGCAAATGGATGGGAAGAAGAGGAGGGAAAGAGACTGAGAAAATGGATGGAAAGAAGAGGAGGGAAAGAGACTGAGCAAATGGATGGGAAGAAGAGGAGGGAAAGAGACTGAGAAAATGGATGGGAAGAAGAGGAGGGAAAGAGATTGAGAAAATGGATGGGAAGAAGAGGAGGGAAAGAGACTGAGAAAATGGATGGGAAGAAGAGGAGGGAAAGAGACTGAGAAAATGGATTGGAAGAAGAGGAGGGAAAGAGACTGAGAAAATGGATGGGAAGAAGAGGAGGGAAAGAGACTGAGAAAATGGATGGGAAGAAGAGGAGGGAAAGAGATTAAGAACATGGATGGGAAGAAGAGGAGGGAAAGAGATTGAGAAAATGGATGGAAAGAAGAGGAGGGAAAGAGATTGAGCAAATGGATGGGAAGAAGAGGAGGGAAAGAGACTGAGAAAATGGATGGGAAGAAGAGGAGGGAAAGAGACTGAGAAAATGGATGGGAAGAAGAGGAGGGAAAGAGACTGAGAAAATGGATGGGAAGAAGAGGAGGGAAAGAGACTGAGAAAATGGATTGGAGGAAGAGGAGGGAAAGGGATTGAGAAAATGGATGGGAAGAAGAGGAGGGAAAGAGACTGAGAAAATGGATGGGAAGAAGAGGAGGGAAAGAGACTGAGAAAATGGATGGGAAGAAGAGGAGGGAAAGAGACTGAGAAAATGGATGGGAAGAAGAGGAGGGAAAGAGACTGAGCAAATGGATGGGAAGAAGAGGAGGGAAAGAGACTGAGAAAATGGATGGAAAGAAGAGGAGGGAAAGAGACTGAGCAAATGGATGGGAAGAAGAGGAGGGAAAGAGACTGAGAAAACGGATGGGAAGAAGAGGAGGGAAAGAGATTGAGAAAATGGATGGGAAGAAGAGGAGGGAAAGAGATTGAGAACATGGATGGGAAGAAGAGGAGGGAAAGAGATTGAGAAAATGGATGGAAAGAAGAGGAGGGAAAGAGATTGAGCAAATGGATGGGAAGAAGAGGAGGGAAAGAGACTGAGAACATGGATGGGAAGAAGAGGAGGGAAAGAGATTGAGCAAATGGATGGGAAGAAGAGGAGGGAAAGAGACTGAGAAAATGGATGGGAAGAAGAGGAGGGAAAGAGACTGAGAAAATGGATGGGAAGAAGAGGAGGGAAAGAGATTGAGAAAATGGATGGGAAGAAGAGGAGGGAAAGAGATTGAGAACATGGATGGGAAGAAGAGGAGGGAAAGAGATTGAGAAAATGGATGGAAAGAAGAGGAGGGAAAGAGATTGAGCAAATGGATGGGAAGAAGAGGAGGGAAAGAGACTGAGAAAATGGATGGGAAGAAGAGGAGGGAAAGAGATTGAGAAAATGGATGGGAAGAAGAGGAGGGAAAGAGACTGAGAAAATGGATGGGAAGAAGAGGAGGGAAAGAGACTGAGAAAATGGATGGGAAGAAGAGGAGGGAAAGAGACTGAGAAAATGGATGGGAAGAAGAGGAGGGAAAGAGATTAAGAACATGGATGGGAAGAAGAGGAGGGAAAGAGATTGAGAAAATGGATGGAAAGAAGAGGAGGGAAAGAGATTGAGCAAATGGATGGGAAGAAGAGGAGGGAAAGAGACTGAGAAAATGGATGGGAAGAAGAGGAGGGAAAGAGACTGAGAAAATGGATGGGAAGAAGAGGAGGGAAAGAGACTGAGAAAATGGATGGGAAGAAGAGGAGGGAAAGAGACTGAGAAAATGGATGGGAAGAAGAGGAGGGAAAGGGATTGAGAAAATGGATGGGAAGAAGAGGAGGGAAAGAGACTGAGAAAATGGATGGGAAGAAGAGGAGGGAAAGAGACTGAGAAAATGGATGGGAAGAAGAGGAGGGAAAGAGACTGAGAAAATGGATGGGAAGAAGAGGAGGGAAAGAGACTGAGCAAATGGATGGGAAGAAGAGGAGGGAAAGAGACTGAGAAAATGGATGGAAAGAAGAGGAGGGAAAGAGACTGAGCAAATGGATGGGAAGAAGAGGAGGGAAAGAGACTGAGAAAACGGATGGGAAGAAGAGGAGGGAAAGAGATTGAGAAAATGGATGGGAAGAAGAGGAGGGAAAGAGATTGAGAACATGGATGGGAAGAAGAGGAGGGAAAGAGATTGAGAAAATGGATGGAAAGAAGAGGAGGGAAAGAGATTGAGCAAATGGATGGGAAGAAGAGGAGGGAAAGAGACTGAGAACATGGATGGGAAGAAGAGGAGGGAAAGAGATTGAGCAAATGGATGGGAAGAAGAGGAGGGAAAGAGACTGAGAAAATGGATGGGAAGAAGAGGAGGGAAAGAGACTGAGAAAATGGATGGGAAGAAGAGGAGGGAAAGAGATTGAGAAAATGGATGGGAAGAAGAGGAGGGAAAGAGATTGAGAACATGGATGGGAAGAAGAGGAGGGAAAGAGATTGAGAAAATGGATGGAAAGAAGAGGAGGGAAAGAGATTGAGCAAATGGATGGGAAGAAGAGGAGGGAAAGAGACTGAGAAAATGGATGGGAAGAAGAGGAGGGAAAGAGATTGAGAAAATGGATGGGAAGAAGAGGAGGGAAAGAGACTGAGAAAATGGATGGGAAGAAGGGGAGGGAAAGAGACTGAGAAAATGGATGGGAAGAAGAGGAGGGAAAGAGACTGAGAAAATGGATGGGAAGAAGAGGAGGGATTGAGACTGAGCAAATGGATGGGAAGAAGAGGAGGGAAAGAGACTGAGAAAATGGATGGAAAGAAGAGGAGGGAAAGAGACTGAGCAAATGGATGGGAAGAAGAGGAGGGAAAGAGACTGAGAAAATGGATGGGAAGAAGAGGAGGGAAAGAGATTGAGAAAATGGATGGGAAGAAGAGGAGGGAAAGAGACTGAGAAAATGGATGGGAAGAAGAGGAGGGAAAGAGACTGAGAAAATGGATGGAAAGAAGAGGAGGGAAAGAGACTGAGAAAACGGATGGGAAGAAGAGGAGGGAAAGAGATTGAGAAAATGGATGGGAAGAAGAGGAGGGAAAGAGATTGAGAACATGGATGGGAAGAAGAGGAGGGAAAGAGATTGAGAAAATGGATGGAAAGAAGAGGAGAGAAAGAGATTGAGCAAATGGATGGGAAGAAGAGGAGGGAAAGAGACTGAGAAAATGGATGGGAAGAAGAGGAGGGAAAGAGATTGAGAAAATGGATGGGAAGAAGAGGAGGGAAAGAGACTGAGAAAATGGATGGGAAGAAGAGGAGGGAAAGAGACTGAGAAAATGGATGGGAAGAAGAGGAGGGAAAGAGACTGAGCAAATGGATGGGAAGAAGAGGAGGGAAAGAGACTGAGAAAATGGATGGAAAGAAGAGGAGGGAAAGAGACTGAGCAAATGGATGGGAAGAAGAGGAGGGAAAGAGACTGAGAAAACGGATGGGAAGAAGAGGAGGGAAAGAGATTGAGAAAATGGATGGGAAGAAGAGGAGGGAAAGAGATTGAGAACATGGATGGGAAGAAGAGGAGGGAAAGAGATTGAGAAAATGGATGGAAAGAAGAGGAGGGAAAGAGATTGAGCAAATGGATGGGAAGAAGAGGAGGGAAAGAGACTGAGAACATGGATGGGAAGAAGAGGAGGGAAAGAGATTGAGCAAATGGATGGGAAGAAGAGGAGGGAAAGAGACTGAGAAAATGGATGGGAAGAAGAGGAGGGAAAGAGACTGAGAAAATGGATGGGAAGAAGAGGAGGGAAAGAGATTGAGAAAATGGATGGGAAGAAGAGGAGGGAAAGAGATTGAGAACATGGATGGGAAGAAGAGGAGGGAAAGAGATTGAGAAAATGGATGGAAAGAAGAGGAGGGAAAGAGATTGAGCAAATGGATGGGAAGAAGAGGAGGGAAAGAGACTGAGAAAATGGATGGGAAGAAGAGGAGGGAAAGAGATTGAGAAAATGGATGGGAAGAAGAGGAGGGAAAGAGACTGAGAAAATGGATGGGAAGAAGAGGAGGGAAAGAGACTGAGAAAATGGATGGGAAGAAGAGGAGGGAAAGAGACTGAGAAAATGGATGGGAAGAAGAGGAGGGAAAGAGATTAAGAACATGGATGGGAAGAAGAGGAGGGAAAGAGATTGAGAAAATGGATGGAAAGAAGAGGAGGGAAAGAGATTGAGCAAATGGATGGGAAGAAGAGGAGGGAAAGAGACTGAGAAAATGGATGGGAAGAAGAGGAGGGAAAGAGATTGAGAAAATGGATGGGAAGAAGAGGAGGGAAAGAGACTGAGAAAATGGATGGGAAGAAGAGGAGGGAAAGAGACTGAGAAAATGGATGGAAAGAAGAGGAGGGAAAGAGACTGAGAAAACGGATGGGAAGAAGAGGAGGGAAAGAGATTGAGAAAATGGATGGGAAGAAGAGGAGGGAAAGAGATTGAGAACATGGATGGGAAGAAGAGGAGGGAAAGAGATTGAGAAAATGGATGGAAAGAAGAGGAGAGAAAGAGATTGAGCAAATGGATGGGAAGAAGAGGAGGGAAAGAGACTGAGAAAATGGATGGGAAGAAGAGGAGGGAAAGAGATTGAGAAAATGGATGGGAAGAAGAGGAGGGAAAGAGACTGAGAAAATGGATGGGAAGAAGAGGAGGGAAAGAGACTGAGAAAATGGATGGGAAGAAGAGGAGGGAAAGAGACTGAGCAAATGGATGGGAAGAAGAGGAGGGAAAGAGACTGAGAAAATGGATGGAAAGAAGAGGAGGGAAAGAGACTGAGCAAATGGATGGGAAGAAGAGGAGGGAAAGAGACTGAGAAAACGGATGGGAAGAAGAGGAGGGAAAGAGATTGAGAAAATGGATGGGAAGAAGAGGAGGGAAAGAGATTGAGAACATGGATGGGAAGAAGAGGAGGGAAAGAGATTGAGAAAATGGATGGAAAGAAGAGGAGGGAAAGAGATTGAGCAAATGGATGGGAAGAAGAGGAGGGAAAGAGACTGAGAACATGGATGGGAAGAAGAGGAGGGAAAGAGATTGAGCAAATGGATGGGAAGAAGAGGAGGGAAAGAGACTGAGAAAATGGATGGGAAGAAGAGGAGGGAAAGAGACTGAGAAAATGGATGGGAAGAAGAGGAGGGAAAGAGATTGAGAAAATGGATGGGAAGAAGAGGAGGGAAAGAGATTGAGAACATGGATGGGAAGAAGAGGAGGGAAAGAGATTGAGAAAATGGATGGAAAGAAGAGGAGGGAAAGAGATTGAGCAAATGGATGGGAAGAAGAGGAGGGAAAGAGACTGAGAAAATGGATGGGAAGAAGAGGAGGGAAAGAGATTGAGAAAATGGATGGGAAGAAGAGGAGGGAAAGAGACTGAGAAAATGGATGGGAAGAAGAGGAGGGAAAGAGACTGAGAAAATGGATGGGAAGAAGAGGAGGGAAAGAGACTGAGAAAATGGATGGGAAGAAGAGGAGGGAAAGAGATTAAGAACATGGATGGGAAGAAGAGGAGGGAAAGAGATTGAGAAAATGGATGGAAAGAAGAGGAGGGAAAGAGATTGAGCAAATGGATGGGAAGAAGAGGAGGGAAAGAGACTGAGAAAATGGATGGGAAGAAGAGGAGGGAAAGAGACTGAGAAAATGGATGGGAAGAAGAGGAGGGAAAGAGACTGAGAAAATGGATGGGAAGAAGAGGAGGGAAAGAGACTGAGAAAATGGATGGGAAGAAGAGGAGGGAAAGAGATTGAGAAAATGGATGGGAAGAAGAGGAGGGAAAGAGACTGAGAAAATGGATGGGAAGAAGAGGAGGGAAAGAGACTGAGAAAATGGATGGGAAGAAGAGGAGGGAAAGAGACTGAGAAAATGGATGGGAAGAAGAGGAGGGAAAGAGACTGAGCAAATGGATGGGAAGAAGAGGAGGGAAAGAGACTGAGAAAATGGATGGAAAGAAGAGGAGGGAAAGAGACTGAGCAAATGGATGGGAAGAAGAGGAGGGAAAGAGACTGAGAAAACGGATGGGAAGAAGAGGAGGGAAAGAGATTGAGAAAATGGATGGGAAGAAGAGGAGGGAAAGAGATTGAGAACATGGATGGGAAGAAGAGGAGGGGAAGAGATTGAGAAAATGGATGGAAAGAAGAGGAGGGAAAGAGATTGAGCAAATGGATGGGAAGAAGAGGAGGGAAAGAGACTGAGAACATGGATGGGAAGAAGAGGAGGGAAAGAGATTGAGCAAATGGATGGGAAGAAGAGGAGGGAAAGAGACTGAGAAAATGGATGGGAAGAAGAGGAGGGAAAGAGACTGAGAAAATGGATGGGAAGAAGAGGAGGGAAAGAGATTGAGAAAATGGATGGGAAGAAGAGGAGGGAAAGAGATTGAGAACATGGATGGGAAGAAGAGGAGGGAAAGAGATTGAGAAAATGGATGGAAAGAAGAGGAGGGAAAGAGATTGAGCAAATGGATGGGAAGAAGAGGAGGGAAAGAGACTGAGAAAATGGATGGGAAGAAGAGGAGGGAAAGAGATTGAGAAAATGGATGGGAAGAAGAGGAGGGAAAGAGACTGAGAAAATGGATGGGAAGAAGAGGAGGGAAAGAGACTGAGAAAATGGATGGGAAGAAGAGGAGGGAAAGAGACTGAGAAAATGGATGGGAAGAAGAGGAGGGATTGAGACTGAGCAAATGGATGGGAAGAAGAGGAGGGAAAGAGACTGAGAAAATGGATGGAAAGAAGAGGAGGGAAAGAGACTGAGCAAATGGATGGGAAGAAGAGGAGGGAAAGAGACTGAGAAAATGGATGGGAAGAAGAGGAGGGAAAGAGATTGAGAAAATGGATGGGAAGAAGAGGAGGGAAAGAGACTGAGAAAATGGATGGGAAGAAGAGGAGGGAAAGAGACTGAGAAAATGGATGGGAAGAAGAGGAGGGAAAGAGACTGAGAAAATGGATGGGAAGAAGAGGAGGGAAAGAGACTGAGAAAATGGATGGGAAGAAGAGGAGGGAAAGAGATTAAGAACATGGATGGGAAGAAGAGGAGGGAAAGAGATTGAGAAAATGGATGGAAAGAAGAGGAGGGAAAGAGATTGAGCAAATGGATGGGAAGAAGAGGAGGGAAAGAGACTGAGAAAATGGATGGGAAGAAGAGGAGGGAAAGAGACTGAGAAAATGGATGGGAAGAAGAGGAGGGAAAGAGACTGAGAAAATGGATGGGAAGAAGAGGAGGGAAAGAGACTGAGAAAATGGATGGGAAGAAGAGGAGGGAAAGGGATTGAGAAAATGGATGGGAAGAAGAGGAGGGAAAGAGACTGAGAAAATGGATGGGAAGAAGAGGAGGGAAAGAGACTGAGAAAATGGATGGGAAGAAGAGGAGGGAAAGAGACTGAGAAAATGGATGGGAAGAAGAGGAGGGAAAGAGACTGAGCAAATGGATGGGAAGAAGAGGAGGGAAAGAGACTGAGAAAATGGATGGAAAGAAGAGGAGGGAAAGAGACTGAGAAAACGGATGGGAAGAAGAGGAGGGAAAGAGATTGAGAAAATGGATGGGAAGAAGAGGAGGGAAAGAGATTGAGAACATGGATGGGAAGAAGAGGAGGGAAAGAGATTGAGAAAATGGATGGAAAGAAGAGGAGGGAAAGAGATTGAGCAAATGGATGGGAAGAAGAGGAGGGAAAGAGACTGAGAACATGGATGGGAAGAAGAGGAGGGAAAGAGATTGAGCAAATGGATGGGAAGAAGAGGAGGGAAAGAGACTGAGAAAATGGATGGGAAGAAGAGGAGGGAAAGAGACTGAGAAAATGGATGGGAAGAAGAGGAGGGAAAGAGACTGAGAAAATGGATGGGAAGAAGAGGAGGGAAAGAGATTGAGAACATGGATGGGAAGAAGAGGAGGGAAAGAGATTGAGAAAATGGATGGAAAGAAGAGGAGGGAAAGAGATTGAGCAAATGGATGGGAAGAAGAGGAGGGAAAGAGACTGAGAAAATGGATGGGAAGAAGAGGAGGGAAAGAGATTGAGAAAATGGATGGGAAGAAGAGGAGGGAAAGAGACTGAGAAAATGGATGGGAAGAAGAGGAGGGAAAGAGACTGAGAAAATGGATGGGAAGAAGAGGAGGGAAAGAGACTGAGAAAATGGATGGGAAGAAGAGGAGGGAAAGAGACTGAGCAAATGGATGGGAAGAAGAGGAGGGAAAGAGACTGAGAAAATGGATGGAAAGAAGAGGAGGGAAAGAGACTGAGCAAATGGATGGGAAGAAGAGGAGGGAAAGAGACTGAGAAAATGGATGGGAAGAAGAGGAGGGAAAGAGATTGAGAAAATGGATGGGAAGAAGAGGAGGGAAAGAGACTGAGAAAATGGATGGGAAGAAGAGGAGGGAAAGAGACTGAGAAAATGGATGGGAAGAAGAGGAGGGAAAGAGATTGAGAAAATGGATGGGAAGAAGAGGAGGGAAAGAGACTGAGAAAATGGATGGAAAGAAGAGGAGGGAAAGAGACTCAGCAAATGGATGGGAAGAAGAGGAGGGAAAGAGACTGAGAAAATGGATGGGAAGAAGAGGAGGGAAAGAGATTGAGAAAATGGATGGGAAGAAGAGGAGGGAAAGAGATTGAGAACATGGATGGGAAGAAGAGGAGGGAAAGAGATTGAGAAAATGGATGGAAAGAAGAGGAGGGAAAGAGATTGAGCAAATGGATGGGAAGAAGAGGAGGGAAAGAGACTGAGAACATGGATGGGAAGAAGAGGAGGGAAAGAGATTGAGCAAATGGATGGGAAGAAGAGGAGGGAAAGAGACTGAGAAAATGGATGGGAAGAAGAGGAGGGAAAGAGACTGAGAAAATGGATGGGAAGAAGAGGAGGGAAAGAGACTGAAAAAATGGATGGGAAGAAGAGGAGGGAAAGAGATTGAGAACATGGATGGGAAGAAGAGGAGGGAAAGAGATTGAGAAAATGGATGGAAAGAAGAGGAGGGAAAGAGATTGAGCAAATGGATGGGAAGAAGAGGAGGGAAAGAGACTGAGAAAATGGATGGGAAGAAGAGGAGGGAAAGAGATTGAGAAAATGGATGGGAAGAAGAGGAGGGAAAGAGACTGAGAAAATGGATGGGAAGAAGAGGAGGGAAAGAGACTGAGAAAATGGATGGGAAGAAGAGGAGGGAAAGAACAGCATCAGCACCCCCAGCGGCAGCACCAGCGCCAGCAGCACCTCCAGCTCCAGTAACTCCAGCAGCAAGAAAATGGATGGGAAGAAGAGGAGGGAAAGAGACTGAGAAAATGGATGGGAAGAAGAGGAGGGAAAGAGACTGAGCAAATGGATGGGAAGAAGAGGAGGGAAAGAGACTGAGAAAATAGATGGAAAGAAGAGGAGGGAAAGAGACTGAGAAAATGGATGGGAAGAAGAGGAGGGAAAGAGACTGAGAAAATGGATGGGAAGAAGAGGAGGGAAAGAGACTGAGAAAATGGATGGGAAGAAGAGGAGGGAAAGAGACTGAGAAAATGGATGGGAAGAAGAGGAGGGAAAGAGACTGAGCAAATGGATGGGAAGAAGAGGAGGGAAAGAGACTGAGAAAATGGATGGAAAGAAGAGGAGGGAAAGAGACTGAGCAAATGGATGGGAAGAAGAGGAGGGAAAGAGACTGAGAAAATGGATGGGAAGAAGAGGAGGGAAAGAGATTGAGAAAATGGATGGGAAGAAGAGGAGGGAAAGAGACTGAGAAAATGGATGGGAAGAAGAGGAGGGAAAGAGACTGAGAAAATGGATGGGAAGAAGAGGAGGGAAAGAGACTGAGAAAATGGATGGGAAGAAGAGGAGGGAAAGAGACTGAGCAAATGGATGGGAAGAAGAGGAGGGAAAGAGACTGAGAAAATGGATGGAAAGAAGAGGAGGGAAAGAGACTGAGCAAATGGATGGGAAGAAGAGGAGGGAAAGAGACTGAGAAAATGGATGGGAAGAAGAGGAGGGAAAGAGATTGAGAAAATGGATGGGAAGAAGAGGAGGGAAAGAGACTGAGAAAATGGATGGGAAGAAGAGGAGGGAAAGAGACTGAGAAAATCGATGGGAAGAAGAGGAGGGAAAGAGACTGAGAAAATGGATGGGAAGAAGAGGAGGGAAAGAGACTGAGCAAATGGATGGGAAGAAGAGGAGGGAAAGAGACTGAGAAAATGGATGGAAAGAAGAGGAGGGAAAGAGACTGAGCAAATGGATGGGAAGAAGGATGAGAGAGAACGTGGGAGTGGACGTAAGGGAGGGAGCATGAGAAAGCATGATTCACAGTTGCAGACAGCGGCGCTCAGCACCACACAGCACCACGCAGCACCATACAGAACCGCACAGCACCACACAGGACCACACAGCACCACACAGCACCAACTACAGAGCACCTCACAGAACCACACAGCAGCACATACCAGTGCACGTGGTGCCGTCAGATTGCAGGAGAAACCCAGCATTACAGACACAGGAGGCAACCCCAGGTGCAGACAGACAATAGCGCACAGCACCACACAACACCACAGAGCACCACACAGAATCACATAGTACCGCACAGAACCACATACCAGTGCATGTGGTGCCGTCAGGTTGCAGCAGAAACCCAGCGTTACAAACACAGGAGGCAACCCCAGCACTATCCTCCATGCACGTGCCGTTGCCTCCACAGCTCTTGGTTGCACATGAATCTGTGAGGGAAAGAGATAGAATATTCTACAGGATGAAATTTCGCTTTGGGTGTATGTGCACTTGGTGTGGTGTGGTATGACATTGCAGCAGCAGCAGCGCGGGTGACATGTGACATGTGAGCAGAACGGGAGTTTGCTGAGGTGCCTCAAAAGAGATTGTTGTAGTAGTAGCCAGCAGCGGGTGACATGCGACACATGTGAGAAGAACGGGAGTCATAACTACGAGATTGCAGGAGGGAATTGGGCAGTTTGAAGTGCACTTAAACAAGATCGGTGAAAAGGTGACTTTTGCGTCGACAAAAAAGTCACGCCGCTACAGTAAGAACATTGCAGGTGGGACCTGTGCGGTCTGAAGTGCACTTGCGATCATGAGAGCTGTGAAAGCAGCCGTACTCACCAACCAACACAGCAGCACTTTTGAGACGTCTCAAAAGGAAACTGTGTTGTAACCTGTTTGACGTGCAATGTGAGAAACTGTGCTGTTTGACGTGCACTTGCAATAACAAGAAATTTGGAAAGCAGCAGCACCCACCAACACAGCCAGAACTCACCAGCAGCAACGCAGCTGAAGGAGCTGTACGGATATCCGAAATAATAGCTGTAGGCGAGGAAAAAGAACACACAAACAGGCAGGCAGTGATGAAATTAGTTTTGAGGTGCCTAACAAACAGACTCTAAAAAAATAAGAGTTGTAGGAATATTCAAAATATTAGCCGTGGGAGAGGAAAACGCGCACTCAAGCAAGCGAGCAGTAAGGAAACGGATACAGAGAATAACCCAAGGATCCATGCGTGCCCGAATGCACAGACCATCAAGCCGATTGGATGAGGAACGACTTGTTTGACCAACCAAACGGTTTGATCATATTCTGAAGGAAACCAGAAAAACGCCCTTCCATGTCGATTTCATTTCAACATGTGTGCCGTTTAAAGGAAAATCATATTTTTCCATGTGTGATGTGGGTCATGTGTGATGTGGGTCATGTGTGATGTGGGTCATGTGTGATGTGGGTCATGTGTGCGTGCGCACTCCTTCTCACACCCACCCGCCTCACTCACACCCACCTCTCACTCACACCCACCCGCCCCTCTCACATCCATCCGCCCCTCTCACACCCATCCGCCCTCTCACACCCATCCGCCCCTCTCACTCACACCCACCGCCTCTCACTCGCACCCACCCTCCTCTCACTCGCACCCGCCCTCCTATCACTCGCACCCACCCTCCTCTCTCTCACGCCCATCCACCACTCTCACACCCATCCGCCTCTCACTCACACCCACCTGCCTCTCACTCGCACCCACCCTTCTCTCACTCGCACCCACCCTCTTCTCACTCACACCCACCCGGCCCTCTCACACCCTTCTTCCCGAACTAAACCATCAACTCACATCGACCCGCCCGTTTTATTAACTGGAGGGCGAAGCGCCGTCTTGGGACCAAACCCTAAGCCGCTCCAGGGAACGTGTACACAGCAGCAGCACACCCCTCCTGCCCCTCCAGATTCTTACATCACCCTGTTTCATTCACACCACCATGCCCACAAGAAACCATCAACTCACTCACATCGCCCTGCCCGTTCCATTAGCCGGAGGGCGAAGCACTCCAGGAGTATGAATGCATACACAGCAGCAGCACAAACCCCCTGCTTCTCCTGACTCCCAATCACTCGCCTCGCACCACCCCATCCTGCCCACAACAACCTATCGACGCACTCACATCGACCCGCCTGTTCCATTAACTGGAGGGCGAAGCGTTGTCTTGGGACCAATGCACCAGCTGCTCCACGGGAACGCGTACACAGCAGCACAGTCCCCCGCCCCCCCAGGCACCATGTCCGCTCGCAGAATCGCTCGCGTGGCCTCAACGGTGATAGGAGGGAGGGTGGTGCAGGCGTTGAAGTTGAGTCGCATTGTGTAGGTGTTGAAAGTGACGGTGTAGTTGGTCTGATCGTAGAAGGTGATGCTGGTGGAAGAGACGGTGGGGGTGGCACCTGCAAGGGAGGGGAGAGGAGAGGAACACAGGGAGGTGGAACGTGAAGGGTGGCCAAGGAGAGGCTGTGACTCGCCCATAGGGTAACACGGGTGGATTGGGGTGGGCACTGGGCAGGGAGTAAGAAACGGGTACATATTCAGACATTGTTATAAACACCAGCGTTGGTCACAGCGAGACTACAAACAGCATTGGGTCATGATGACTGGATTGCAAACAACATGGGGCTTACCGTTGATGCAGCCAGTGCTAGTCATGCCATAGCCGGGAGGGCACATGCAGTATGGAACGTTCCCAGAGGCAGTGGCAGTGCACGTGGCTCCTGCAGGGCAGCCCCCACATGGGTCGATGCCTGGACAGATGGGAAGGAGAGAGAGAGGATGGATGAGATGAGGTGAATTTTGAGTCGACTCAAAAGTGGCAGCAACAGTGCATGTTGGTCCTACAGGGCAGCCCCCACATGGGTCGATGCCTGGACAGATGGGAAGGAGAGAGAGAGGATGGATGAGATGAGGTGAATTTTGAGTCGACTCAAAAGTGGCAGCAACAGTGCATGTTGGTCCTACAGGGCAGCCCCCACATGGGTCGATGCCTGGACAGATGGGAAGGAGAGAGAGAGGATGGATGAGATGAGGTGACTTTTGAGTCGACTCAAAAGTGGCAGCAACAGTGCATGTTGGTCCTGCAGGGCAGCCCCCACATGGGTCGATGCCTGGACAGATAGGGAAGAAGAGAGGATGGAGAGATGGAAAGGAAAGTGGAGGGAGTGTGGATTAGGAAGAAGGCAGTGGAGAACGATTTTGTCTTTTCTAGAACCCTTATGGTGGATTGGGAGTGTGAGGGATGAGAGCGAGGGGCTGTATAGTGATGGAGCTTGTTTTGTTTGTTGAAGCAAAGGAGTGGGTGATGTGATGCGAATGGGGTTATTTTGAGCACAGAGCAAAGCACAAAGTTGAGCCACACGCAACTCGCAAAAGGTCATTGTGGCCTCAAAGGTAGTGTATTTATCTTATCTGAATGAACACATACAAGGAGGGTGTACAGGATTGAATGAAATAAAGGCGTAGAAAACAGAAAAAGGGATGCATGCAGCAAAGGTCATCCTAACGTATTCATTCACTCAATCACTGTACGTCAGTCAATGCCACCTGCACGTCAGTCAATGCCACCTGCACGTCAGTCAATGCCACCTGTACGTCAGTCAATGCCACCTGTACGTCAGGTCAGTCAATGCCATGTGTGCGTCAATCAATACCACCTGTACGTACCCACACACGTGCCCAACACATTCCGATAGCCTGTCTTGCAAACACAGGAGGCCATGCCTGCACCGTCCTTCACACAATCAGAAACCGTAACGTTGCAGCCCTGACTGTCGCAGGTATCTAAGGGAAGGATGGAGGGGGGGGGGAGTGAGGAATGACTGTCAGCAGCGTCCTTCACGCACTCAGAAACTGTAGCGTCGCCGCCCTGAATGGCACAGGTATCTGAAGGGAAGGATGGAGGGGAGATGGAGGGAGAGGAACATGGCACCACATGGATGGCACCACATGGATGGCACCAAAGGCACACACATCGGATCAGGACAACTGCTCACATTTCGCCTTGAAGACGCCTCAAACCGGGCCAAGAAGAGCATACAAGAAACTAAAAAAAGAACGGGTGTTAGCGTGAACAACGATTGGGAAGGATGTTGCTTTCATCTGGCCTCGAAAATTTAGAATGAACTTTTGGAAGGAGGTGGCTTTTGGAATAGACTTGGGAGTGGAAAGGGGGTTGGTGGGCGGCTGAGAATGGAGGGAGTTGAAGAAGAGATGGGAAGGGGGAGAGGAGAGAAACAGAGGCAAGGCGAAGAACATAACAGCAGCACGTACCAGTGCACGTCTTGCCATCCGGCTGCAGCTCAAAGCCAGTGTAACACAGACAGGACGCCACTTTAGTAGTGCCAAACTTCATGCACCACCCGTTCACACCACAGGCCTTGAGTGCGCATGTGTCTGGGAGGGGGAAGAGAGTGAGGAAGGAGAATAACATGTGAACGGAGAGTGCTATTTCTTACAGAACTGGGGTTTCGGGTATAAGGATTGTCAGGAACAGAGGTTTGGCTTGCTTTGCCATGGAGCACAGCATAGGAACATGCCATAGGGGGGGTTGGAAGAGACGGGAGAAGGGGGGCCATAGGAGAAGCACAGCACAGCAGTACATGCCATCAGGATTCAGGAACACAGCTTGCACAAGTTTCAATCAAAGCATTGCAGCGCATACAAGCATAAGCACACAGCAGCAGGCACTAGTGCGCGCGCGCATCCTGTCATCAGTGCACCAGAACACATGGCAGCATGTGGAAGCACATGGCATGATGTCAGCATGTAGCAAGGCAAAGAACCCACCAGTGCACGTCCTGCCATCAGCCTGCAGGACGAAGCCAGAGTTACAAACACAGTACGCCACAGCATAGCAAATGGCACATGGCATGGCACATAGCAAATCACATGGCACATAGCAAATCACATGGCACATAGCAAATCACATGGCATTGAGTAGGCATGGCACAGCACCCACCAATGCACGTCCTGCCATCAGCCTGCAGCACAAAGCCAGCGCCACAAACACAGGACGCCACTCCAGCACTGTCCTTGATGCTCGTGGCGTTGCCTCCACACGCCTTGAAAAAGCATGTGTCTGGGTGGATGGGGGGCAGGGGGGCAAGGCAACCAAGGTTCCCGGTTGCAGCACTTACCAGCACATATGGCAGGGCACATGGCATAGCACAAGGCATGGCATAGCACAAGGCATGGCATGGCATAGAACATAGCTTAGCCCATACTGAATGGCATTGCCATGGCGATAACACATGGCACAGCGCAGTATTGGACGAGGCATTGTTCACATGGCATGGCATGGCATGGCACATACCGGTGCACGTGACGCCATCAGGCTGCAGCACGAAGCCAGTGTCACACACACAGGACGCCACTCCTGCAGCGCTCTTCACACACTTGGCGTTACTCCCACACTTCTTGAGCACACACGTGTCTGCCAAGGGAAAGGGTAGAAAGGCATGATAGTGAGTGGGGAAGGCAAGCCCTACTTAAAGAGTTAAGGAACGAAGCAGAGAGAGTGTAGAAGGTAGTAAGTGTTTGACGAATCGGCAAAAGAGGCAAAAAAATACATGCATTACGTGAGAGATAGCCTCGGGGAACTACATGACTGTCGCTTTGCAATCACACGTCGGCACACACGCACCAATGCATGTAGTCTTGTCAGCCTGCAGCACGAAGCCAGTATCACACACGCAGGATGCCACTCCTGCAGCGCTCTTCACGCACTCGGCGTTACTCCCACACTTCTTGAGCACACACGTGTATGCAAGAAAGGGGGAGGGGCAGAGGGGACAGTGAGTAGGAAGGGCAGCGTGCGTAAAGCAACAGCAATGGATGACATCGGCATAACGCACGGAACACCATAGGCATGAGCACCGGGTCAGTTGACTAATGAGTCGACTCAAAAGTCATCAGCATAACGCACGGAATACCATAGGCATGAGCACCGGGTCAGGTTGGCTGGGACAGTCAACCCAACCCAACCCGGAGTTTTCGCCTCAGGTCACTTCACTCTGGTAAGCTCAACCCGACCTGACCCGACCCGACCCGACCCGACCCGACCCGACCCGACCCGACCCGACCCTTCCAAGGTTCAAAATTACGACCGTATTTTTTATTTTTTACCATAAATTACGGTATCGTAAATTACGGTAAAAAACGGTCAATCATTGTAAATTCAAGTTGGTTTAAAGGTAAAAAACGGTCAATCATTGTAAATTCAAGTTGGTTTAAAAATACGGTCGTAAATTACGACCGAAATTTTGATACCGAGTTTGCAATAGCGAATTTCGACATTTCCCAACCGTCACCCTGGGTTTGAGACATTCGTGCAGCCAAATGCACACGTGTTTGTATTTTTCCCGAGTCGCGCATTTCAGGTGTTTCTCGAGGTGCGACATTTTGTTTTTTGGCGAACGTTGTGCTGCTCTGTCGCCCTTACGAAATGTCAGTTTGTGAATTTCGCCGACGCGCAAATGTACAAATTTCCGCGATGCGGTAATTTGTACATTTGGCGAACCGTTATCACCCGTCAACCCGTTTCGCCAGGTCGGTGGGACGATTCGCGGCCCCGTCGTTATTTTCGCCCGCGTGCGCGACACAACCCAATTTTGCGCTGCGAAACAATTTTAACCAATAGCATTAGTCCAATCTCCATCCCATCACATCCCATCCCTTTCGCCTTTTCCATTCGCCAAAGCAACACAACCAAGTCTTGCAAGGTACAAAGAGCAGGGCGATAAACCTACTCGACAAGTGCTTCTTAGTAGGCATTTTACAGCTTCAACCATCTGCTATATTCCACCATGGTTAGACCTTTCTCGGAGGTGTGGGAGCACGTGACGAAGGTTACATCTCATAGCGGCGTAGTCACCGCGACTTGCAGCTATTGCCCTGCTACCGTGACCCCAAATGCCACTCGTATTAGAGAGCACATCTACGGGACCCCTCGTTCAAGGGAGAAGAACGTGACGCCGTGTCTGTCCGAGTTTGCCAAGCGGCTTCGTGAAGCCGCCGAGAGGGATCGGTCTTCCACACCCTCCAGTTCCAACCGTGCCTCTGGCTCTACCTCCACCACGGTCGAGATGCAGCCCGCAAGACGTTCTAGGCAGCGGGACATCCGCGATATTGCGGATACCGTTGCCCGCGCGCGTTTGGACTACCTGTGGGCGGCAGTTGTGGCAGAGAATGATCTAGCCTTCAACGTCTCCAAATCGCGTGCGCTACAAGCCTTCGTTGACGCGGCGGTCGTGTTCGCGAAGCCCTACACACTCCCAACCCCTTACAAGGTGTCCGGCTCTCTCCTCGACAAGCTAAGGGCGGACGCCGAGGAGCTTGTAAGGCCATTGAAGGAGAGTTGGAAGACGACCGGGTGCAGTCTCTCGGTGGACGGGTGGATGTGCATGAAGTCCCGCGGGATTGTGTGCGTCATCGCCCACAACGACACCGCGCCCGTCATTGTGGACATTGTCGACTCGAAAACCGCTAAGAAAACTGGAGACTACCTCGCGGGTCTCATCGGGAACTCGATCTCCGAAGTGGGGAAGGACCTCGTGGTCCAGGTCATCATGGACAATGCGTCTAACAACCGATCCGCGGCTGAGAAGCTTAAGGAGGAGTTTCCCTCAGTTTTTTTCGCCAACTGCGCCGCCCACTGCTTGGATCTTATGCTTCACGACCTAGGGAAAGTTGGGCCCGTCAAACGCGTGTTAGAGCAAGTGCATCGAGTCGTCATGATGATCAAGGGTAGTGCCTCCGCCGTCGTTCTATTCCGCGAGCTCTTTACCAAGCTTTCATTGGTGCGGCCGGGTGCGACACGGTTCGGCACTCAAGTCATCATGATACGCCGCTTCTTGGAGGTGAAGGGGGCACTCCAGGCCATGGTCATCAGCAATGAATGGAAAGGGGTGGCGGTGGCGCAAAAGGCTGAAGGGCAGGAGGTGCGGGCGCTTCTTCTTGACGACGTCTTTTGGGACTGTGTTACTGCGGTGCTCCGCCTCCTCACGCCGGTTTATGAAGTGCTAAGGGTGGTTGACACGCGGGCACAAGTCATGGGCCAAATCTATGGCCTCATGATTGATATCACGGTCAAGACACTGGAAGCTGCAGAGGCCGCCGGTAAGTCTGAAGCTCTTTTATGTTTAGTTCTATTCCTACTTCCGAATCTGTGTTGCATGCTTGATCACACCGCGCGTGCCATTCCCTATGTTAACAATAAACTCCTCCATCCACACCGTGAGCAGCCTCGGTATTCATCAAGAAGACGGGCCTGCTCTTGGCCAAGGACAAGAGCACCTTCATGGCATCCATCAAGGGCATCCTTGCCCGGCGATGGGACGGGCAACTCCACAACCCTCTGCATGCCCTGGGATGGCTTCTTAATCCCCGCAACCAGTACGCGGGGGAGGTGGGAACCGATGCGGAGGTAAGGAAGGGGGCCGACGCGGTGATTCAGGCCCGGGGGGGGGATGTGGCCCAGCGCATCAAGCTGCAGACACAGCTGGTGCAGTTCCATAAGGGTGAGGGCCGCCTCGGGTCGGATGATGCGCTATGGGCAGCCAAGACCTTGGTGGAGGGGGGGCGCATGACGGATGCGGAGTGGTGGTGGATTTTCGGTGGGGAAGTGCAAGCGCTCCAAGAACTGGCTGTCACGAACCTATCACAGCCCGTCACCTCGTCCGAGGTGGAGCGGTACTTTTCCGCCCTTGCACGAGTGCAAAGGCGGGATCGGAACCGCATCGCGGCCAAGAAGATGACTGATGTCACCTTCGTGGCCTTCACCAGGAGGGCCCGCGATGCGTTTGATCGCAAAACTCAGACGCGTGCGAAGTTGTATGCTGATCTCACCGACGGAACCCTCAAAGAGGGCATTCCCGTGCCCCCGCCCGCAACAGTGGAAGAGGATGAAGGTGGGGCTGAAGAGGAGGAGGGAGCCGAGGTGGCAGAGTGCACCATCGACTGGACTGTATTTGGGAGCATTGGTAAGAAGAAGAAGAAGAAGAAGCGCGCGGGAGAGAGCTCCAAGAGGAAGAGGAAGGAAAAGGGAAAGGGGCCATGCAAGCGGAAGGGGAGAGGAAAGAAGCGTGTGGTGGAGGAGGAGGAGGAGGAGGAGGAGGAGGAGGAGGAGGAGGAGGAGGAGGAGGAGGAGGAGGAGGAGGAGGAGGAGGAGGAGGAGGAGGTGGAGGAGGAGGAGGAGGAGGAGGAGGAGGAGGAGGAGGAGGAGGAGGAGGAGGAGGAGGAGGAGGAGGAGGAGGAGGAGGAGGAGCAGGAGGAGGAGGAGGAGGCGGCAGAGAGCAATGGGCGGGAGGTAGGACCCTCCAAGCGTCCTAAGGCAGTCTGGCCGTGGGAGTGGGACTGCAGTGATGGTGAGAGTGGGGAGGAGAAGGAGGATGAGGAGGAGGAGGATGAGGAGGAGGAGGACGACGAGGAGGAGGAAGGGTAGGAGGTGGAGGAGGAGAGGAGTAGGAGAAGGTGGAGGAGGAGTAGGAGGTGGAGGAGGAGTAGGAGGAGGAGGAGTAGGAGGAGGAGTAGGAGGGAGGAGGAAGAGGAGGGATTAGGTGCAGATTTGCCTAGGTAGTGTAGTGTAGTTTCCTATAGGCTTCCTTGTCATCGTTGTAAGCTGCCTAGAAGTTTCAGAAAAATAAAAAGTACAAAAAAATGTCCAACAAAAAAACGGCTGTATTTTTGCCAAAACCATCATAAATTACAACCGTAAATCACGGACCGTAATTTACGACTGCCGTATTTTTGAACCTTGGACCCTTCCCGGCCCGACCGACCCGACCCGACCCGACCCGACCCGACCCGGCCCGACCCGACCCGACCCGACCCGACCCGGCCCGACCCGACCCGACCCGACCCGACCCGACCCGACCCGACCGACCTGACGACCCGTCCCGTCCCGTCCCGTTCCGTCCCGTCCCGAACCGACCCGACCCAACCCAACCCGACTCGTCCCTTCCCGACCCAACCTGGCTCTCGGGCCGGGATCTGCCAGTAGGTCGACCCGACCCTGTGTACGCCGATCCGACCCCTTTGACCTGGGCCGGGTCGGGTAAATCCTGAGCGTAACCAGGTTCGGTTGGGAAAATCCTCAGTCTGACCCAACCCGGCCAGCGCGAAACCAGGTTGGGTCAATTGGGTCGACCCGACCCATTGCTCACCCCTAACCTAATCGCTGCCTTCTTAGCCGTATGCAGCAACACATACATACTTTTGAGACGTCTCAAAAGTCCATTGCTCACCCTAACCGAATTGCTGTCTTCTTGGTCGTATGCAGCAGCACATACATACCAAGCAGTGCATTCCGCACAGCACCCACCAGTGCACGTTCTCTTGTCAGCCTGCAGTACATGCACGCTGAGGCACATAGAAGCACATGCACACGTACACACACAGCAGCAGCACATACCAGTGCACGTCCTCTTGTCAGCCTGCAGCACAAAGCCAGAGCGACAAACACAGGACGCCACTCCAGCACTGTCCTTGATGCACGTGGCGTTGCCTACACACGCCTTCAGCACGCATGTGTCTGGGCGAAGGGCAAGGGAGAGGGGAGGGGGGAGAGGAGAGAGGAGAGAGTAAGAATGACTGGTGTAATAAATTACAGCAGATTTACATTCTCAGAATTCCAAAAAGTGATTCGAGTAGTGCATGTGAGGAGAGGATAAGGACTGACTGACGTAGTACATGACTGCCAATGTACACGAAGGGTAAACGACCCCTCTAACTTAGTGAGTAAAGGCACGGGGCGAAATTACCTATTAATTCAAAATCACAGATCTGTATCAGAACAGCACAGCAGCACTCAACCCCATGAAGCATACACCACCACTTTAACAGCACTCGCTCACCAACACAGCCGGCGTGGGTCATGGAGAATCCAACGTTGCAGATGCATATGGTATCGCCCCTCTCCTTCACGCAGACCGCATTGGCCCCACACTTCCTCTGCACACACGAGTCTGGCGCATGCTTTTCAAAGGGAGCAGAGAGGGAGAGTAGATCCAGACAGAGGGATGGATCAGAGAGGAACAGAGGAGGAGGAGGGGAGAAACAGAGAAGGATAGGAACAGGAAAGCGCGATGGAGAATGGATAGGGGAAACGGAGAGAGCAAAAAGCGGTGGGAAGGAAGGAACGACCAGCAACCTCACATTCTACTAAGGAATTTCTTACTAGAAACTTACGTGTGGACGAAAGAAACTTACGTGTGAACGAGATAGGAGGGAGAAATGGATTGTGGAGGGACAGGGGGGGGTGGCTTACGTGTGAAAGAGCACCACTAGGTATCAGCAGACACTAGTTGTTGTTGTTGCGTGGTGGTGGTATCAAGCATTGCTTCACACCCATGAGTTGAGGGGCATGGTTGCGTTTCAGCAGACACTAGTTGTTGTTGTTGCGTGGTGGTGGTGCCTACGAGGGGCAGCGTTACTCGCAGCGTTACTGGCTAGCTATGCTGCTGACTTACGGCTGGCAGCGTTTCTCGCAGCTGACAACCATGGGGGATTGAGGGCAAAGAGACGGGCCATGGTGCGTTTCAGCAGGCCCTAACTGTCGCGTTTCAGGTCTTGGTGGCGGCCGTGAATACTATAGACTGCTATGCTGCTGACTTACGGTCTGCGGCGTTACTCGCTGCTGGCAGGCGCACAGCAGCAGCCCTGAGCGCACAGGCTGAGAGCGGATGGGTGGGATGGGAGGTAGGGAGGGGAGGGGGGCGGGGGATGAGAGAGGAAAGAGAGGAAGGAGGATGGGAAATGAGGCGAGCAGCAGCAGCCCTGGGCGCACAGGCTGAGAGCGGATGGGGTGGCGGGACGGGAGGGGAAGGGGTGTGGGGGGTGGGAGGAAAGAAAGAAAGGAGGATGACAGCAGCGGCCCTGGGATGGGAGCACAGGTTGAGAGCGGATGGGAAAAGGCGGGAGGGGCGGCGGGTTGAAAAGAGGGTTGAGATGAGAAGGGAAGGGCATGACGGAAGGGAAGGGAAGGGAAGGGAACGAGGCGAAATCAGCAGCTGATGACGGCAGTGACACGCGCAGCAGCTGGAGAAGAAAGGCAGCAGCCCTGGGTACAGGCTGTGAGCGGGTGGGGCAGAAATGTGGGAGGCGGAGGTGGAAAGTAAGAAAGGGATGGAGAGGGAGAAATGAGAAGGGAAGGAAGGCGGGCCCAGGGAGGGGTGGAGGATGCTGGAAGCAGTGGACGATAGGCAGAAGCTGACCGGGGCATGTTGAGAGCATGATTGAGAGCATGGCCGAGAGCATGGCTGAGAGCATGGATGAGTGCATATCTGAGTGCACGGCTGAGAGCATGGCTGAGAGCATGGCTGAGAGCATGGCTGAGTGCATATCTGAGTGCATGGCTGAGAGCATGGCTGAGAGCATGGCTGAGTGCATATCTGAGTGCATGGCTGAGAGCATGGCTGAGAGCATGGTCGGGTGCATGGCTGAGAGCATGGTCGGGTGCATGGCTGAGAGCATGGCTGAGAGCATGGTCGGGTGCATGGCTGAGAGCATGGTCGGGTGCATGGCTGAGAGCATGGTCGGGTGCATGGCTGAGAGCATGGCTGAGAGCATGGCTGAGAGCATGGAAGAGAAAATGTGCATAACCTGATAGCAAGGGAGCACAGGTGAGAGCATGTGAGGATACCTGAAAACATGAGAGCCAGCAGTGCAGCAAGCACGAGGCGAGAGGGTCGCGTCACCACGCCGCTCTGCGAATGCGCAATGATCGTGCCTCTTTCAACTTTTGAGACGTCTCGAGAGGGTCGCGTCACAGCCACGCTCTGCGAACGCGCCATGATCGTGCCTCTTTCAAATCGGGCGAGACTGAGAAATATGCTAAGTAGTATTGACGCGGAGATTTCAGACACCAGCAGCAGCAACAGCGGTAGAGCAGTAAACTCAGGTGCAAGCGCAAGCAAGTTTAAGCAGGTAATGATATCGCTAGGAAAAGGATCATTTGGGGAGTAGCTTCAGATTCAGCGACTCAAAGAATCAGCAATGGGAGTTGAAAAAGCCGTGAAAGTGGATACCTCCCAAGGTTAGGGTTAGGTATCCGAAGTAAGGGAACCATGGAGGAGTAGTGCAGTGCAGACGGAACAGTACAGTCTGGTCGAGCTTCTCGGGGGAAACTGATTCCAGCAGTTGGAATGACGTGTTGGGGTTGACGCGCTACAAGCGTGGATGTGAAGAAACCCTTTTCACGTAGCAACGATGACGATGACGGTAACGATCTCTCTGTTGCCGCCCGTTTTTTTCGCGCTAGAAACAGAAGGGTCCAACGAAGACTTGTGTAGGCAGAAACTGGAACTGGCTTCAAGCAGAAACACCCTCCGCGCAGTTGTTCAACCTGACAGGACGAGGGGGTAGTATCACGTGGCTCAGGTAATACCGTACAGTACTACGTATGGTTCAGCTACACCGTCTCTCTCAGGGTTTCGACAACCCAACAGACAAACGAGTTTCGTGATGTCGGAGATGTTTGTACAGCGCATGCTGTTACATTTGGAACACGACAAGAATGCTGCCATGCGTACAGTCGCCGTCAAACAAGTCCTTTTCCTAGAGCCAAGGCAACCGTTGGAAGGATGAGGAAACCGTTCTGCTTTACTACTTTTGACGGACAAAGAAACCAGTCGGATTGGGAAACGTCGATGCGCGAAGTTATGCCAAAATTTCTTACTGTATCTGACAATCGCCAACCAGCCGGCTCCCACTCTCGCATTGGCCAAGCAAGCAGACCAGCCCGCATGCTTCGCTGGTTCAATGCAACCCTTCGGAGAGATTTGCTCCAAACCCTTGTTTGGTGATTCTGTATTGCACACGTAGCCTTGAATTGCTCGCGTGGTCCTGAAATTGCACGATAATTGCTCGAGTGGTTTTGCCAGAAGATTCCCACTGACTTTTTTTCCCATGGCACAATACCCGATTAGGGTATTTAACCCCTAATGTTAAATTGTAAGCGACGTAAATGCGCGGTCATATCATTATGCCTCAAAAAAACTCTCGGTCATGTAGGGTGTGCCCGAGCGAAACAATATATGATCGCGCACCCATATGTCCGCGCGTGATTGGTCGCACGATGGCTCTATATGACCGCGCATTTACATATATATCCCTACACATGACCCCCATAAATAAAACCCAATCTGAAAGGGATGCGACTCGGGGAGGCAACCCTAAAAACATTGAAAGTGAAGACGAGTGAGTAAACAACTTAGGGTTGATCCCCTCCCGGAAATGCGTCCAGGTCCCTAGGGGTTTTATTATTTCTCATACGCGGAATAAGACTCGTGCGACGCAAACATTTTGGGAATAAATACCCTTTTAGGGTAATGTACCTGGTTAAAAAAAGCTGCGCGAATCCTCTGGCAAGACCACTCGAGCAATTATCGTGCAATTTCAGGACCACGCGAGCAATTCGAGACCACGTGTGCAATGTCGAATCACCAAACAAGGGTTTGAAGCAATTCTCTCAACCCTTCGATTCTGTACCGAAGTCCCGAGACACCGTGACGGTCGATTTTCCGACGAATTCTCGTTGCAGCTCGATTGCCGTGTCGCCACGCCAAATTTGAGATATTTTCAAAATGGCTCCACCCACACACCACCCGCCCACACCACCTTCTTCCAGGCTTCCCGCGCCTATCCGTCCGCCAAATCACATCGTTCCTTCCACTAGTGAGCGTCTCATCCCAACTTGTTACATTCTCCAAACCCCACTCAAACGTTCTATAGTGCAGAATAATCGGTCTGACACGCAAGAACAACTCACCAAACCGCATTAAACTGGACACCCCTTCACTAATCCCACTCCCTCGCCATAAAATCAAGAACTCACTCCATCTGCTCAGTCAGTTACACAAGCAGTTTCTTTCACACAATTTTTCACTCCTTGCTGTCACCTATTGGGACCGACCTAGGCAGAGCTGTTTTATCATGACAAGCCGGGAGAGTGTGTACGGAACGGAGACTGTACATATACTGTGGCATTATTGTCTTGTAGTAAGAATGTAGCATTTCGCCAGCAATGTCACCGGCTCAGGAATGTTGTTTGTGTCTCAGTACCCATGCTGGAGCCCATGGCCTTGCCTGTGGATTTTTACCAATCCGAATCCCAACGCAAACCCATGCAAGAAAGTTATTATCAACCACGTGTCATCCCAGACGAGGACTGGGTCAAGTCGCCCCTTCAATTCATAAACCGCTGACGACATAGCGTGCAAATGCCACCATCGCGGACGAATCAGGTCTTCTTGAAATCGAACCGGACTGGTCGGCTGGTTCCACTGCCTCGGCTTCGCAGCCTTGGTTCTGTTTTCGCCAGAAAGAAGCCATCAAGCAACACAAAGAAAGTCATGACTCCCATGAACTTGATGCTGATAGATTATTTTTGCGGACCATGTCCTCTTTGTCATGCGTGCCTTCATCAACCAGCCGGCGACTGCACTCCTGTCCTAGCTGCACTATCTTCAAGGCTCAGACAATCGCGACACCCTTCGGGAGCACTTTCCTCTTGGGTGTTCTGCTTCATTCGTTAAAGAAAACTCTGGTTTCTAGAGGATTTGTTTTTTCCCAGAGAGTTTTCTACCCTCTTACCTGCCAAACAGACTGTTTACTACTTCCCGCTGACGCCATTCCCGTTGCCGCGGTCGCTTCGAGGAGACATCAAGGCATGACGCGACGCTTGAGTCTCCTGCTCGCTGCACTGGCTGCTCTCATGCTCTCAGGCATGCTCTCAGGTATGCTCTCAGGTATGCTCTCACGTATGCTCTCAGGTATGCTCTCAGGTGTGCTCTCATGCTATCAGATCTGCTCTCATCCTCTCAGGTGTGCGCTTTCGGTCTCGGACATGCCATGTTCAATTGGCTGAAGTAGATAGAGCGACTATCACGGGACTGACAAGAATGAAGCTTCTCCTACTCCAACAATCTTAATCTCCTCGTGTGACACCTTGTTGATCACCGCCATCTGCAACCTCAGATCAGGGGCTTACTTCAACATTCCCGTTCCCCCTTCTCTTTTCCCCTACCTTCTCCAACTTCGTCCCCCCCCACCGTCCTCTTTCGTGCATCTTGTGCGTTGAAAGCCCTCTTTCTTTCCACATTCTCCCTTTTCCCCTCCCCCCTTTCCCTCCCCTTGGCCTCTTTCGTGCAGCTTGTGCATTTAAAGTTTCCAAACTTGAGTTGGACCTTCCGTTCCTTCCCCCTCATCCCATCCTCTTTCCTCTCGTTCCTTCCCTCCTCCCCACTCCCCCTTTCTCCCACCCATTCGCTCTCAGCCTCTGCGCCCATGGCTGCTGCTGTTCGTCTGCCAGATGCGAGCAAGGCAGCCGACCGTAAGTCAGGCACCTGCAGTTACCCCTAATAGGGACTGAACCGCTCACATTCCTCCCCGATCCCTCCCACCCATCCCCCGCTCTCAGCCTGTGCGCCCAGGGCTGCTGCTGTTCGTCTGCCAGATGCGAGCAAGGCTGCCGACCGTAAGTCAGCAGCCCGTACTTACCCCTACTAGGGCCTGAACCGCAAGACTTAGGGCCTGCTGAAACGCACTATTGCCCGTCCCTTTGTCTTCAAACCCTGATGGGAGCGATGCTTGATACCTGTTGCGCTCTTTTTATTCAACCTGTCAACTCGCAATCCCCTTCTCCCCCTTCTCAGCCTGTTCCACTCCTCACTCCGTTTCCTCTCCTCGCCCCGTTTTCCTGTCATCTTCCGCGTTTCCTCTCCTCGCCCCGTTGTGCTCTCCTCGCCCCGTTTTCCTCTCCTCTCCCCGTTTTCCTCTCCTCGCCCCGTTTTCCTCTCCTCGCCCCGTTTTCCTCTCCTCGCCCCGTTTTCCTCTCCTCTCTGCCTCTCCTCTCCCTCGCTGGTCCCTGCGAATAACACGTGGAACAGATTCGTGTGTGCAGAGGAAGTGTGGCGCCAATTCGATCTGTGTGAAGGAGAGGGGCGACGCCAAATGCATCTGCAACGCTGGATTCTCCATGACCCCCGCCGGCTGTGTTGGTGCTGGTATGTGCTGCTAGCTAGAGTGGTGGTGGATGCTGCAGGGGTTGAGTGCTGATGTGCTGTTTGGAGATAGAGAGAGAGACCAGGGTTTGAGTTGGGGTAAATGGGGGGTACTTGTCATTCTGTGTCATTCGTGGACACCACCACCATGAGGCCTCCAGTCCAGGGATTCAAGACATTCCTCGGAATCATTCGCTGGCATTACAATGAGGCCTCCAATCCAGGGATTCAAGGCATTCCTCGGAATCATTCGCTGGCATTACAATGAGGCCTCCAGTCCAGGGATTCAAGGCATTCCTCGGAATCATTCGCTGGCATTACAATGAGGCCTCCAGTCCAGGGATTCAAGGCATTCCTCGAAATCATTCGCTGGCATTACAATGAGGCCTCCAGTCCAGGGATTCAAGGCATTCCTCGGAATCATTCGCTGGCATTACAATGAGGCCTCCAGTCCAGGGATTCAAGGCATTCGGAATCATTCGCTGGCATTACAATGAGGCCTCCAGTCCAGGGATTCAAAACATTCCTCGGAATCATTCGCTGGCATTACAATGAGGCCTCCAGTCCAGGGATTCAAGGCATTCCTCGGAATCATTCGCTGGCATTACAATGAGGCCTCCAGTCCAGGGATTCAAGGCATTCGGAATCATTCGCTGGCATTACAATGAGGCCTCCAGTCCAGGGATTCAAAACATTCCTCGGAATCATTCGCTGGCATTACAATGAGGCCTCCTGTCCAGGGATTCAAGGCATTCCTCGGAATCATTCGCTGGCATTACAATGAGGCCTCCAGTCCAGGGATTCAAGGCATTCCTCGGAATCATTCGCTGGCATTACAATGAGGCCTCAAGTCCAGGGATTCAAGGCATTCCTCGGAATCATTCGCTGGCATTACAATGAGGCCTCCAGTCCAGGGATTCAAGGCATTCCTCGGAATCATTCGCTGGCATTACCATGAGGCCTCCAGTCCAGGGATTCAAGGCATTCCTCGGAATCATTCGCTGGCATTACAATGAGGCCTCCAGTCCAGGGATTCAAGGCATTCCTCGGAATCATTCGCTGGCATTACAATGAGGCCTCCAGTCCAGGGATTCAAGGCATTCCTCGGAATCATTCGCTGGCATTACAATGAGGCCTCCAGTCCAGGGATTCAAGGCATTCCTCAGAATCATTCGCTGGCATTACAATGAGGCCTCCAGTCCAGGGATTCAAGGCATTCCTTGATCGAGCCAGAAGCCCTGCTTTGATGAACCAGGTCCCAGGAGCGCTGTCACGTCCCAGGAGCCCTGTCAGGTGGCAGTAGCGTTGAAAGGTGGCAGTAGCGCTGACAGGTGGCAGTAGCGCTGACAGGTGGCAGTAGCGCTGTCAGGTGGCAGGCAAGAGCGCTTAGAGCTTTATCCTATTGAGGAGGACTGCCATGTGGACAGTAACTCCTTTCATTCGTTGCTCTTGATTCCCCCTCACTCGCCAACCTCCCTCCCCTCTGTTCCCCTTTCCCAAGACACATGTGCGCTCAAGGCCTGTGGCAGCAATGGCAAGTGCATCAAGGACAGTGCTGGAGTAGCGTCCTGTGTGTGCGATACTGGCTTTGTGCTGCAGACTGATGGCATCACATGCACCGGTATTTGCCATGCCTTGTCCCATGTTGCCATTGCCATGCTCCTTGTGCTATGCCCTGTGCTTTGCCCTGTGCTGTGTCTTGTGGTACGCCATGTGCAATGCCATGCTGCATGTGCCACACCTTGTGCTATGCCATGTGCCATGTCTTGTGCTATGCCATGTGCCATGTCTTGTGCTATGCCATGTGCCATGTCTTGTGCTATGCCACGTGTTTTCTCATGTGCTATGCAGTCAGCTATGCTGGCTATGTCATGTGCAACAGCATGGAATCTCAATTGCCCTGACCCCTTTCCCCCTTCGCTCAGACACGTGCGTGCTCAAGGCGTGTGGAGGCAACACCGCGTGCTTCAAGGACAGTACTGGAGTGGCTTCCTGCATTTGTCGCACTGGCTTTGTGCTGCAGGCTGACAACAGGACGTGCACTGGTATGTGTGTGCTGCTACGTGCCTTGTAGCACTTGGCTTTGTGCTGCAGGATGACGGCAGGACTTGCACTGGTATGGACTGCTGCACGCCTAGGCGTGTATGTGCTGCTATGTGCTACAATCTTGCGTGTTGATCAATCGCACAAAAATGGCCCTTGAGTCTCCTCGCTTCTACTCAAAAGTCTCCTCGAAAGTCCCAAGGTTGAGTCTACTCAAAAGTCTCCTCGCTTCTATGTGCTGCAGCTTTGTGCTGTTTCTGATCGACAGCTTTGTGCTGTTTCTGATCGACAGCACAAAGTTCCACTCAATTCCCTTTAAGCCAACAGCAAAAACGTGGACGATAAAGCTACACTCCTGTTCCTTTCCGCTCTTCTCTCTGGGCACCTGCACTTTGGAGGCCATATGCTGCTGTGATCCGTCTCTCTCTTTCTCTCTCCCATGCATACACATGCGCAACTTTTTTTCTTCTTCTTCTTCTTCTTTCTTTTTTCCTCTCTGTATTCTCCTCTCTCTCTCCACTCTCAGACACATGCATGCTCAAGGCCTGTGGTGTGAACGGCCGGTGCGTCAAGGACACTGCTGGAGCGGCGTCCTGTGTGTGTGACACTGGCTTTGTGCTGCAGGTGGATGGCACGACGTGCACTGGTACGTGCTGTGTGCTTATGCTTGTGCTACTGACTGAAGGTCTGTACGTGCTGTGTGCTTGGCTTAGGTTTCAATGTGCTTCGATCGGCTTTGGCTTGGCTTGCATGTGCATGCTGTGCTGATGGCATGTGCATGCTGTGCTGATGGCATGTGCATGCTGTGCTGATGGCATGTGCATGCTGTGCTGATGGCATGTGCATGCTGTGCTGATGGCATATGCATGCTGTGCTGATGGCATGTGCATGCTGTGCTGATGGCATGTGCATGCTGTGCTGATGGCATGTGCATGCTGTGCTGATGGCATGTGCATGCTGTGCTGATGGCATGTGCATGCTGTGCTGATGGCATGTGCATGCTGTGCTGATGGCATGTGCATGCTGTGCTGATGGCATGTGCATGCTGTGCTGATGGCATGTGCATGCTGTGCTGATGGCATATGCATGCTGTGCTGATGGCATGTGCATGCTGTGCTGATGGCATGTGCATGCTGTGCTGATGGCATGTGCATGCTGTGCTGATGGCATGTGCATGCTGTGCTGATGGCATGTGCATGCTGTGCTGATGGCATGTGCATGCTGTGCTGATGGCATGTGCATGCTGTGCTGATGGCATGTGCATGCTGTGCTGATGGCATGTGCATGCTGTGCTGATGGCATGTGCATGCTGTGCTGATGGCATGTGCATGCTGTGCTGATGGCATGTCCATGATTGATGACGAAGCAGAGTCTGCCTTTGCTGTTTAAAACCCACATTCTCTTTCTTCACTCTCCCCCCTCCCAGACACATGCGCACTCAAGGGTTGTAGGGGGAACGGCCTGTGCATCAAGAACAGCACTACTGGAGCGGCATCCTGTGTCTGTGACACTGGCTTTGAGCTGGACGCGGATGGCAGGACGTGCATTGGTGGGTGCTGCATGCTTGTGGTTCGCGCTGATGTCATGTGCTGATGTCATGTGCTGATGTCATGTGCCGATGTCAGTGCGTCAAGAACAGCTCCTGTGTGTGTGGCACTAGCTTTGAGCCGGAGGAGGACGGCAGGACGTACATTGGGATGTTTTAAAATGTGCTTAGGCTTCTTTGCGTGGCTTTCTGCTTGGGCTTAAACTTGTATGTGCATGCTTTGCTGGTGGCACGTGCATGATTGCTGACAAATTAGAAACCAATTCAACTGTCTAGATGTTTGCCTTCCTCGTTCTCCCCCCTTCCCAGACGCATGCACACTCAAGGCCTGCGGGAGAAACGGCCGGTGCATCAAGGACAGCACTACTGGAGCGGCGTCCTGTGTGTGTGACACTGGCTTCGTGCTGCAGGCGGATGGCAGGACGTGCATGGGTACGTGCTGTGCTATGTGACAAGCCTGATGGCTGCTGTATGCAATGGCTGCTGAATGCCATGGCTGCTGTATGCGAGTCATGTGAGTGATGTTCCTGCACGAGTGGTCGCTTGACTTAAATCGTAGCTTTTTCATTCCTCTCCCTTCATACCACCTCCAGATACCTGTGTCATCAAGGGCTGCAACGATGTGGTTACCGATTGTGTGAAGGACGCTGCAGGCGCCGCCTCCTGTGTCTGCAAGACGGGCTACCAGAACGTATCGGGCACGTGCATGGGTACGTTTCTCTACTGTCCTGACCCTAAATCGCATTTCTTCCGTTTCACTTGACCGATTGCTACACTGGCTCGGTTCTCACTGGCTCGTATCCCGCCTGCGCAGTTCTCACTGAATCGGATCCCGCCTGCGCAGTTCTCACTGAATCGGATCCCGCCTGCGCAGTTCTCACTGAATCGGATCCCGCCTGCGCAGTTCTCACTGAATCGGATCCCGCCTGCGCAGTTCTCACTGAATCGGATCCCGCCTGCGCAGTTCTCACTGAATCGGATCCCGCCTGCGCAGTTCTCACTGAATCGGATCCCGCCTGCGCAGTTCTCACTGAATCGGATCCCACCTGCGCAGTTCTCACTGAATCGGATCCCGCCTGTGCAGTTCTCACTGAATCGGATCCCGCGTGTGCAGTTCTTACTGGCTCGGGTCCCTCTGGCTCATCTTGCCCCGGCCCTGATCCGAGCCACTTGCTCCTTTCGAATCGTTTCGGATTGTCACGACATGCTAGCTCAGCTTGGCTTAGCCACTTGATTCTGCCCCTACACGCCCTGCTGCTTTGGGTGATGTACCATACTGTGTGCATGCACCATCTGCTGTCTGTCTCAGTCTGTGTGCTCCGCTCTCTCCCACCACCTCCACAGGGCCTGCCTCGTGTGGAGTGTGCCCTGCAGGAGCCAGCTGCACTGTGCTGCCGTACAGCAAAGCACCCTGCCCTACTGCGTGTACACATGCATGCACCATCTGCTGCCTCACTCTGTATGCTCCTCCCCGCCCTCCCTCACCACCACAGGGCCTGCCTCATGTGGGGTCTGCCCTGCAGGAGCCAGCTGCACTGTGCTGCCGTACAGCCAAGCGTCCTACTGCACCATACTGCACCAAAATTCACCATGTCTCGCTCTGTATGCTCCCCTCTCCCTCACCACCACAGGACCTGCCTCGTGCGGGGCGTGCCCCCCAGGAGCTAGCTGCACTCTCGTTCCGTACAGCAAAGCCGCCTACTGCCTCTGCCCTCCAGGCTATGGCATGAACGCTGCCGGTTGCGTTCAAGGTGGGTGGGTATGCCCTTGGTGCCCGCACTTTAGGTGTTACCCTGTTACCACTAGTAGTATCTGATTCTGAGGCGCCTCAAAGTCGCTTACTGCGCCTGCCCTCCCGGCTATGGCATGATGTTGCAGAGTGTTCTCAAAAACACTCTGCAACATCCCGGCTATGGCATGACCGCTGCAGGTTGCGTGCAAGGTGGGTGGGTATGCAATCGGCAGCTTTATATGTAAGTAAAACAATGCATTTCGGGGCTTCTGGAGGCGAGATGTTTTTTTCGTTGATTCAATGCACCCTGACGCTTCTGGAGGCGGCTGCGTTCTAGGTGTTACCACTCCACCCCACTCCACTCCACTCCACTCCACTCTACTCCACTTCACTCCACTCCACTCCACTCCACTCCACTCCACTCCACTCCACTCCACTCCACTCCACTCCACTCCATCCACTCCATCCACTCCACTCCACTCCATCCACTCCACTCCACTCCACTCCACTCTACTCCACTTCACTCCACTCCACTCCACTCCACTCCACTCCACTCCACTCCACTCCACTCCACTCCACTCCACTCCACTCCACTCCACTCCATCCACTCCATCCACTCCACTCCACTCCATCCACTCCACTCCACTCCACTCCACTCCACTCCACTCCACTCCACTCCACTCCACTCCACTCCGCTGCACTGATATCTGTTTTTGAGGCACCTCAAAGCACATACTTTAGGTTAGGCTATAAGAAAGTAGATCAACACGGGGGTGTAGCTCACATGGTAGAGCGATCGCTTCGCATGCGATAGGTAAGGGGATCGATACCCCTCACTTCCACTACCTCTGATGGTTGAAAACCAACCTAACTGGCCTGCTATTTCTGAGGTCACCCAGCCCAGTACTGCTCTCGCCCACCGGCGCTCTTACCTTGACCTAGCTTACCTAGCCATGGCTGCCTACTAAGGAGCCTCCTAAACCTACTATTTCGAGTTGCTTAAGGACAAAGTGATTGTGATAGTTGTTTATGTTATAGTTATAAGCGTTTCCAACGGTTAGTTTTTTAGTTTCGACTGTCGAGTTCGACGGGACGGGGGTCGCGAGTTTCGCGCGCGACCCTCAGGAGTCTCGGAAACGGAACTCGCGGGGTGTTACGGAACCGTTTGTTCGACCCCGCCATCGCGGGATCGCTGCGGACGCGCTGCAGCCGGTGTAACGGGAGGTGGGGCGCTGACGCGAAGTTCGCCCGCGGAGTGTAACAGCGCGCGCGACTCACAACCACAACTCCGCCAGACACGGTGTTCCCGCCCATCCCCTCTCTCGACACTCTCCCTTATCCCCCCGCTCTTTTCTGCTCACGGCTTTTCTATTCGAAGCGATTAGCTGCTACCGAGTTTTTTCCCGCGGTTTCCCTCTCTCGAAGTCACTGAGCTTAGCTTCCGCCCGTAGTTAGCACTCTTCCTTCCCTTTCGGTGCGCCCTTCTTTATCGTAACCCTAATTCGAAGAGCCGCGCGTTTCCAAGCACGCTTTCTCGTCGCCTATCATGTTTAGTCATGCACTCGTTTTCCCCGCCTGTTCAATCTAGCCGCGACGTAGACGGAACCGCGCACGGGGCGCTTACCGCCAGGGAAAGGCAGCGCGGAGGGAGGCGAAATTGCTACGTTCGTAGCGATTAAGCAGCCCTCCCCTTGCGCGCCTCCCGAAGCGCGTTTTCTGCCTAGAGCGTTTTAGCCGCCCACGTTTGGCACACAAGCCGCCCCACTCCCCTTTTGCTCACTCCCACCCTGCCGTGCCTCGTCGCGCACTCGTGCATGCCACCCACACGTCGTAATTTTACCCCGTCGCCACCCACATAGTCACCTCCCTGCTCACACCGCCCCTTTCCCCCTCACACGCGCGCTTTAGCCACCCCGCCACCTAACCTCTTTCCCTAACGGCGCTTAGCTAGCAGAGGCCGCCCTGTTTCTGGAAACCGTAGGAAATAAGAGGAAACAACTTCAAGGAAAAAAGAAAAGAAAAAGAAATTCATATAAATCCGAAAAAACCAGGAAAAATCAGAAAGGCAGCTTACACCTTGTTCTCCCAACCCTCCAGGGCCCCACCCAGTCCGCCACCCCCCCCATTCTGTTTCATCATACTACACCACACCCTCCCCTTTTGCCCACCAGCATTACCGCCCCTCTCCCCTTATCCCCCACCACGCCCCCAAGCAGGCCTTTCTCCCCCCAGCCTCCCGTCTCCCTGCCCTTAGTACCGCCGCGCTCTGCCCGTGCGTCACCCTTGCCCACTTCATACCACCTCCCCCTTCTCCCCCCCCCCCGGCTTCTCCCTATCATCACCCGCATGTTCCCCCACTCCCCTGTCCACAACGTCCCTCCACCCCCCTTCCTGCTTTCCCCACTCCCACTCTGCCCCCCACACCTCTACGAGCCGTACTTCCCCCTCCAGCCTCCCTTTCCCCCCCCAGCTACTTCCGCATCCAGCGTGGGCTGCACCTCTGCATCCCGCCCTGCCAGGCCCTTCGGTGACCCAACTGCCGCCACCTGGCACCACGCCGCCTTTCCCACCCCCATCCAATCTCTACACCCCCTGCCCCTGCTCCCTGCGCAATCCAGCCACCTACCCCAGCCTCCCTCTACCTCTCCCTAACTCCACACCGCCGTTCCTACCCCCAGCCAAGGTCTACACCCCTTGCTTTTGCTCCCTGGGCTGTGCCGTCCCCAACCTCCCTCCGCCTTTCCGCGGCACCAGACCGCCTCTCCCTCCCCCAGCCAACTTTTGCACCCCCTGTTCCTGCCCCTTGTGCCCTCCAACACCCTACCTCAACCCCCCCCAGTCTCCCCCTTCTCCAACACCCTCCATATTTCCTCCCCCCTGGGGCTCGCCCATCCGCAGCTATCACCCTTCATCGATTCCCCAATTCCCTCTGTCCCCTGTTTCCCGGCCCCGCATCCTATCCTGCATTTACCACAGCACCTCCTTTCGGTGCCCTCTCTGCCCTCCCACGTTCTCACCCCCCGCCTCCCAACCTTCTCATTACCCGCTACCAGGCTCACGCCAACTCGACTACCCACTACCCTTTGCCCCTTCCTCTCTGTTCCCCACCCTTCCTTTCCCACCTGGCTCCACCTGCCCACCCCCACCTCCCGTGGAATTCTGCCCTGCCCTCCCCACCTCTGGCCCACCACCTGTCCCCACACCCTGCTCACCCACCGCTACACCACCCCCGCCCCCCCACCTCCACTACAGCCCGCCAACACTTCCCCTCTCAATCGGCCCCCAGCCCGCCCCCCCCTTGGGCCCCAATCCCCTCCAACTGTCAGGCCCCCTCTACCCTCTCTTCCACCCACTGCGCACCGCTTTCCCCACCCTTTTCCCCTTTCCCCAAGCTAACCCCCCGCACCCCGGCCTCTGCCAGGGAGTTCCTTCCCCCTTTGACGCCCTCTTGAGCCAACCCCAGCAACTCACACCGCCACCGCCAGGCATGCTGCCTCTGTAACAATGCCCCAGCACCCCGCGAGTGGGGGAAAGGCAGGCCCGGGAGCCCCTCGGCGATCTGGGAGGTCCCGCAGCCGAGCCACCCCCTACTCTCCCACTCCCCCCACTTCAACAGTCAGGAAGAAACAACACACACCTGACCAAGCGAAAACACTCACACAATCTGACCCTAGGGGCCAGAAGCGTACCTTTGAAGAGGATGGAACAGAGGAACGCCAAGCCCCACTGGAGGAAATACACGAGGAGGAGCCAGCACGCTCAAAACCGCGCCCTACCCCCGCTGCCCCATCCCAGTCTACCCCCCCTTCAGGTGACAGCGGGGGCGGCACCCATGCATGCTCAGTAGAGAGATCCTCCAACTCACTCGCTACCTCCCATTCGCAAACCAGATTACTTGTGAAAACACTTAATCCTACCCGCACCCCCAAGCACATAGAAGCGGGAGAGGGCAGAGCCAGGGGGGAACTTGCAGCTGACACTGCACGGGAAGGGGTAAGTGAGTTTGTGTGTGAAGGAGCAGCAGAGGCTACAGAGGATGGGGCAGCAAAGGCTGCACGGGAAGGGGCAATGGGGGTTGTGGGGGAAGGGGCAGCAGAGGCTGCAGAGGAAAGGGCAGCAGAGGCTGCAAGGGAAGGGGCAGCAGCGGCTGCACGGGAAAGGGCGGCAGGGGCTGCACGGGAAGGGGCGGCAGGGACCGTGACTCTGGCCAGGCAAAGGGCAGAGGCCATGGAGACAGGTTTTGCAGGAGTAGGGGCCACGGAACCTGCTGCTGTGTCGGCTGGGGGAACCGCAGCAGAGGAGGCTATAGGGACCGCACCAGGTGAGGCCGCACAGACCACAGCAGGTGTGGCTGCAGGGATCACAACGGGTGAGGCTGCAGGAGGGACCATGGCAGGTGAGGCCGCAGGGAGCGCAGTAGGTGAGGCTGCGGGGAGCGCAGCAGGTGAGGCTGTAGGGGGCGCAGCAGGTGAGGCTGCAGAGAGCGCAGCAGGTGAGGCCGCAGGGAGCGCAGCAAGCGAGGCTGCAGGGAGCGCAGCAGGCGAGGCTGCAGGGAGCGCAGCAGGCGGGACTGCAGGGGCCACAGCAGGTGAGGCTGCGGCGGACGCAGCAGGTGAGGCTGCGAGGGCTGCATCATGTAAGGTTGGGCAGACTCTAGCAGGTGAGGCTGCACAGTCTACAGCTGGTGAGGTCGCATGGACTGCAACAGGTGAGGCCGCAGGGACTGCAGCAGGTGAGGCGGCAGGGACCACAGCGGATGAGGCTGCAGGCGGGACCATGGCAGGTGAGGCCGCAGGGAGCGCAGCAGGTGAGGCTGAAATAGCCGCAGCAGGTGAGGCTGCAGAGGCCGCAGCATGTGAGGTTGAGCAGATTCTAGCAGGTGAGGCTGCACAGACTGCAGCAGGTGAGGCCGCAGGGACTGCAGCGGGTGAGGCTGCAGGGACTGCAGCACGTGAGGCTGCAGGGACTGCAGCACGTGAGGCTACAGGGATCGCGGCTGGTGAGGCTGAGCAGATTACGGTAGGCGAGGTTTTACAGACTGCAGCAGTCGAGGCTGCAAGGACTGCAGCAGGAGCGACAGAGGCCACAGCGGGGGCTGGTATAGGGGGAGGTGCTACGGGTGCAGCGGGGAAGGGGGTAACGGGGACTGGTGCGAGGGAGAGTGCCGCCCCGGCTGTAGCAAGAGAGGGTACGGCAGGGGCCTCAAAGGCAGAAGGTGAGGCTGCAGCTGAAGCAGCAGGGAGGGCCATAGCACGGCCAGTAGGGGCGGCAGGGGCCGCAGCAAACTCGGGGAAACACACAGCAGGGCCGGCAGGGCCGGCAGAGACTGCAAAAGGGGCTAGCAGTAAAGCGGCAGCAGGCGGGGTGGGCTTGGGGGACATAGGGGCAACAGGGGAAGGAGAGGGGAGGGTGGTCCCGACCGGGGTGGGCACTGAAGAGGGGGATGTGATAGCGATAGAGGAGGATGAGGGAGAGGATGTGATGCACATTGACGGGCCACTGGCCCAATACCTCACGCTTGACGGTGAGGCCGACCCGGCCCCCCTGCAGCCTCACGTCGAGGTTCCCCCTCTACCCCCCATGCCCGTCCCCATGCTAGCAGAAGGACCGATGGAGGGGCTGGGGGAGACCTTGAGGACAGAGCCGCGCGAGGGAGCCCCCATCCTCACCTCCCGTCCTCCAGCCCACCAGCCCCCAGGAGCACCACTTCCCCACCCCCACCCTCAGGTCCCGGTAGTGTCCAGGGGGGCAGCCAAGGCCCTGGCCTTCTTGGCGGAGCCGTGCTCCCCGACCCCCACGCTGCTCCATGGCCAGCCCCCCTCTCCGTCCCCAACGCCTGACCCCACGGTTGCAGGCGGTCCACCGGGAGAGCACGCGGGTGCGACAAGAGCAGAGTCACCCGAGGGCACCCCTTCTCTCACCTCTCACCCCTCCCCGCCCCTTCCCTCACTCCTTCCTTCACCCCCAAGGGCAGCACACCTCTGCCCCCACCCTCAGGGGCTCCTTAGAGCACCACGTGGAGCAGCCAGGGCTCTGGTCTTCCTAGAGGAGCCATGCTCCCCGACTCCTACCAACACCCAGCCACCCCTTACCGGCCCACTACCCCCTCCTCCACCAGGCCCCCCCCCCACCCGGTAGTACACACATCTCGGAGGTTGAAGCATCTCTGCGGCCAAATCCCTCTCCCACACGCTACAGGCACCCAAACCACCCGAGTCGCCGCACAGCCCCAACACGCCCACCCAACAGGCTGCCCTCCCCACACCACCCCCCCCAGGCAGCCGAGACCCACCCGCAAGGGCTTGCGCCCCAGGCTCATGGGAGCGGCGGCACCCGGGTAGAGGGGCCCACAGGAGAGGCCACCACAGAGCCCACACAAATCTCTCTCCCCCCACCGTTTGTACCTCGCTCTAACCTCCACACTGGCCCAGCCCCTCGACCCCCACCTCCAACCCCCTCTCCCGGCCGGGTTCCCCACGAGTGGCCCCGTTGGGCAGCCATCACCCCCCACACACAGCTTGCCCGATCTGTTCCCACGGAGGGGGATGTTTCGAGGAGAGTGGGGATGCACACAGAGCACCCCCTGCCTGGCGAACCACCCATCCTCCCTCCACCCACCCCTTTGGCCCCACAGCCCCCCCTTCCTTCACAAACAGGCGCGGACAACCAGGTTGGCCGCCGGCGGAAGAACAGGGGCAGAGGAGGCAGAGGGTCAGCCCACGTACTCCCCCCTCCCTCCCTCCCCCACCAAGAGCCCCTCCCCACCTCACATCCCGTTGAACAATTACCAGGCCCTACCTCTACAGCCCGTCCACCAAACCTACACTCCCGCCCCGCTCCTGCACCTCCACAGGGCCATGGGAGCGGACCAGCCCACTCACCCCCATTCTGCCCCTCCCGTGCTGTGTCCCCCTCCCAGGTGGCGGCGGCCGCGATCGCTACTGGGAGGGGGGCCGTCGGGTTGAGGGATGCGCCCATGGCAGACGCCACCGACTCCCCCTCCCATCCCTCCCACCCCTTCCATGTCGACGACCCCCTACCGCAACCCATGGTGATTGGGGAGGGCCAAGGGGGCCTTCTAGGGCAGGGTCCACACCCGAGCTCCGCTCAGCCAGCACGCCCCACTCCACCCTCTACCCTGCCAGCCCTCCTACTCTCACCTACAGGCAGGCAGGTCTTCGAGACCCCAGAGGAGGTGAGGGCTGGCATTTCAGATTTGCTGGCGATACACCGCCTGAGCAGCTCTCCGGCTGCCCCCACCCTTCCAGTCCCACAGGACCGGACCCGGACGTATGCGGAGGTCACCCGGTCTGTCCCTTCTTTTATCCCCCCCGCCACTCAGCCAGGCGCGTCACTCCCGACCCCAATGGAGACGGACCGGGGTCTGAGGCCGTGTCACTCGCACCTAGACGGGGTGGCGCCTCCCCCCGTTCAGCCCGTGGCGCAGGAGGTCACCAGCAGTAGGGATGAGGCATCCGCCCCTACCGAGACCCCTCCGCCTGGGGTAGCAGAGCCGTCACTTGAACCGCACCCCGCCGAGGGGCAGGAGCACACCACGGCACACACTTCAGGCTCACCTCCACGTCCCCCCTCCCCAGCTTCAACACCGGTGCCGGCACGAGGCCCGGCCCTATCCTGTGCGACACCACCTCTATCTTCGCTGACACCCCCCCCGCGCGGGGCTGGTGAGTCGTCTCCTCCCCTCATCCCAGGCGATCCTGTCGGAGCTCAGGCCGCCCACGGGGTCCCCTCTACAGCCAGTTCCGACGCCACGGCCCCGATTGACCCCGCCGACACGGCGACATCACCCGACCAGGTCGTGAGTTGCCCCACCTGCAGGAGCTCTCTCGCGAACCGACGCGCGCTCCAGCACCACATTCCCTTCTGCCATCCTGCGGACGCGGCTCGCAGGGCGCAGGCTGCCCATGATACCGCCTCGATCATCCCTTCCCTCTCACAGCCCCGTGCGACCGGGATGCAGTTCACCGACGCACAGTGGCAGACGCTCGACTCGGTGGACTGGACAGAGTACTTCTCGCCCGAGCGTATCCATACACGCCCTCTCCGACGTGTCCCGGAGAGGGTCCGCGGAGGATATCTTGACGTCCTCAGTGCGATCCTAGTCCGCATTGCCCAGGACCCGGAGGCTGCTGGCCCTACCTTCCTCCTCGCTGCAGCGCCGACTCTTTTCCTTGTTCCAGCGACGCCACCCGACCGCTCGCACACGGCTGCCATTGCAACGCGCATCTCTCGCTTTGGTCGAGGTGAGTGGGCTGAGCTAGTCTCAGATGCACTAGGCCGTCGCACACCCCTTCCTCGCCGCACAGGTCACCGGTCACGCACCGCCACCGATCCCTCTGCAGCAGATGAGCGCCGCATTGCACGTTGCCTTCGTCTGGCAGCGTGCAATGAGACCTCACGGGCGTGCGCGGCTCTCGAGTCCGCGGAGGCAGCCCCAGATACACAGGGGACGATACAGCGCCTGCAGTCGAAGCACCCCAACGCGGAGAGGCCGACCCCAGCTTGGCTGTCTGGCTTCCAGGGGTCCCCTCTCGTGCTCTCGGTGGATCACTTACGCCGCGCGATTTTCACAGCTCCGCGGGGCTCTTCGGGAGGACCGTCCGGTTGGGTCGCTGAGCACCTGCGAGACACTTTCCTAGCTTTCCCTCAGAGTCTCCATTTCCTCCTGGCCGTGTACCAGCAGTGGCTCCGAGGCCGTTGCGCTCCAGCTGCGCGCTCCTTGCTAGCGTCCTCCACCCTCGTGGCTCTGGCGAAGTCGAACATGGATGTTCGGCCGATTGCCATCGGCGAGGTTTTGGTCCGCATTCTTTCTCGGGCAGTTTGTCTCCAGCTACGTGACCAGATGGCGAGGGTCTTCTTGGCATCACAGCAGTTTGGGGTGGGGGTTACGTGCGGGACAGAGGTCGTAGTTAGAGGCGTCCGCCGCGCTCTGGCTGACCACCCAGACTGGGTGGTCCTGCAGCTAGACGTGGCGAATGCCTTTAACTCTTTCCACCGAGACAGGATGTTTCAGGCGCTGCAGGCCAGTCCGGAGTTTCAGTGTCTGATCCCCTTCATCGGCCTCTTCTACGGGACGCCCTCGGATCTCCACTACAGGTCAGGCACGGGAGTGGTCACGATGCACTCGGAGCGGGGCACTCGCCAGGGAGACCCTCTCAGCCCCTTCTTGTACGCTCTGACACAGCGTCTTGCTTTGGAGCCGGTTCTGGCGGAGGGGGATGTCCAGCTCTGGTCGTACGCCGATGACACGTACGTGCTAGGTCCCCCAGACAGGGTGCTGCACCATTTTGCCGAGATCGTGAGGCGCTTGGGCGAGATGGGCCTTGCAGCCCAGCCGCACAAGTGCCTCGTCTACCAGACAGAGTCCTTTCTGTCCAGGGATCTGGAGGCTTTCACGGGCCTAGGGATCGAGGTCGCACGCCGAGGGCTCACCGTGACAGGCGTACCGGTAGGCACCGTTTCGTTCGTGGAGCAGAGTCTCCCGGATCGTCTCGAGAGGATGGGGCGGGTGCTACCTTGGCTTCCGAGGTTGCGCCAGCCCCAGACAGCTGCCCGCCTTCTTTCGGCGTGTGTCAGCACTCGTCCGCAGTACCTGTCGAGGACCGTCCCTCCTTCGCCCGCAGTGATCTCCAGTTTTACACGGTGGGACGCACGCCTGGGAGAGACTTTTCAGCAGCTTTTAGCTTCAGGGACCTGGGCTTGTCGCGAGGACGTCCGAGAGGCCGCCCTAGACCAGATCTTCCTCCCCATCCGTCTCGGGGGTTTCGGCATTCGTCGCATGGCGCGCATGGCCCCGGTGAGTTTCGTGTGCTCCTGGGTGCAGTGTGCACCCATTCTCTGTTCTCTCCCTGCGTGTGGCGAGGTGTTTCGGCAGAGCTTCGCTTCAGGTGAGCCAGAGCAGATCGACCGGGCTCTGCAGACGGCGCTAGAGGGTCTCCCTCCTGACGTTCTCTCTCTCCTTCCCCCCTGGCCCTCTTGCGCTTCTGCCTCCCCCGATTCCCTTTTTGCAGGAGCGAGCCGTCTTCTGGAGGCGCATGCCTTGGAGGCCGTGCGTGCCCGTCACACCTCTCCCTTGCACCTTGCCCGTTTGACTTCCCTTCAGGGCGGAGGTGCAGGAGCGTGGTTGACGTCGGTGCCGTACGCCGACCCACTGCGCATCCCGGAGGCGCTGTGGCAGGCGGCTTCATCTTCTCGTCTTGGTCTCCCTATCCCCCAGTTAGCCCTTGCAGGTCAGTGCTCCTGCGGACAGGCGATTGACGACATGACGGTGCCTCATCACGCGGTTCGGTGCCCGCGTTACGGGGTCGCCACTACCATCCACGACACGGTGAAGTACATGCTTCGAGACTTTGCGGTCGAGGCGGGCTTCGCGGTAAAGGTGGAGGACTCTACGCTGTTCACACAGTTGGAGGCGGCTCGAGCGAGACTACTGGGACAGCCAGTGGTGGGAGAGGGGACACGGGCTGAGGGACCGGGGGAGCGGAGAGGCGAGGCGGGACAGCCGGGTGGCGGGGGACAGTGGGGACGGCACCAGCTGCGGGGTCAGGTGGAGCGAGGGACAGGTGGGCAGAGGGGACGGCAGGGGGAGCAGACGGGCCAGGACGGGGAGGGGGGACGGCACAGGCAGCAGCAGGAGAGCCAGTGGAGGCCGCGGGCCCAGGGCGCCGCGCCTCCAGGTTCGGCCTCGGGGGCGGGGCAGGGGCGGGAGCAGCAGAGAGCGGACGGAGGTACAGGAGGGGCAGCGGGATTGGGAGGGGAGGGCCAGGGAGTGAGAGAGGCAGCAGGGGATGGAGCAGGGGGGTCGGGAGGTTTGGGGGAGGGTAGGGAGGGGGAGGGGAGAGGACAGGTGGATGGAGGAGAGGAGAGGGGGAGAGAGACGATCGGAGAGGGGGCACCAAGGGACCAGACAGGGCAGCAGCCAGCGCAACAGCAGGGACCAGTCGGACGCACAGGCCGTGTAGGCACCGCCTCCCGCATTCCAGACCTCACCTGCCGCGACGTTGGCCAGGGTCTGATGGTTCTTGTGGATGTCTCCATAGCGGATCCACAGCGGGAGGGGAACGTGCAGCTGAGACGGGCGACCCCCACACAGATTGGAGTGGCAGCAGCTAGGCGGGTGCAGGAGAAGCTGCGTCACTGGGGGCCGCACTTAGAGGGGCTGCAGCCGGCACCACACTTTTACGCGTGCGTGGCGGAGACCTTTGGCCTTCTGAGTGAGCCGCTGCGTCAGTTTCTGGGGCTCTGCGCAAAGAGGATAGCACAGCGGAGGAGGGATAGAGGTGGGGGGGATGACGGATCGGCACGGATATTTGAGGCAGGACTCACTACACGCCTCTCCGTTGCACTGCAGCGCGCGCAGGCTCAATGCATGATCCAGCATGCGGTGCGGCAGTTAGGGAGGTCCGACGACGGGTGGATGCCCGCACCAGTCCCACTGGGTGCGGGGCAGGGAACTTGGCACCACGTCACAGGGTGCTTCGAGAGTGTGGCTGATATGCAGTATATATATGATGCATATGTGTAAAAAACAATAGTGGCTGTGCTTGAAACGCTGTGCCCGTGCGGTCGTGCGGGTTGCTGCCGTGTTTGGTCCTTTGGTGCTTCCTTCTCCTTAGTCTCTCTCTCTCTCTCCTCTTCTCTTCCCACCTCCCTCTTTCTGTTCCCTTCTTCTATCCTTCCCTTCTCTTCCTACCACCCTCTTCCTTTCCCTACCACTTCTTCTTACTCCTTCATCTTTCCTTCCTTTCCTTTCTTTCCCCCTTTTCCTACAAAATATATAAATCGTCCTCATAGCGCTTAGGCTATGTCGAAATTTCCTAGTCTTGGAAAAACCATTATATTCGGCTTGTATTTGCTCTTCCCTTATTAATGAATAACTGCTATTTCTGCTACCTGACTATGGTGTAACTACCGCTGGTTGCACATTGAAGGGGTTGTGAAACCACTGATGTCCCTTTTTGTGTTCCCATCACTTTCCAGGCGCCACCCCTATCGTCTCCACTGCTAACTTCTCATTCTACACACTCCCAAGCTTCGGCATAACGCCTGCCACCTACACCATGCGCCTCGCCTACAACGGCTGCACCAACCTCACGCATCCCCTGCTGTTTACATCCCAGTTCTACTGCAACTTGGAGCGGCACGAGCACGAATGCATAACAACCTTCCGCTTGACTCTTGACTCGAGGGTCTCCCATGTTCCGTTCCTCCTCTTACCCTTCCAGGCGCCACCCCGACCGTCTCCTCGACCAGCTTCTCCTACTACATGCTCCCGAGCTTCGGCATAACCCCCGCAGCCTACACGATGCGCCTCGCATACAACAGCTGCACCAACCTCACTGCCTCCTCTGCTCTAGACATCAAGTCCTACTGCGACGTGGAGCGGGCGGTTGGGGGCGCGGGCGACTGCACTGAGATCCGCCAGTACTACCAGCCGGGGTGTGTTGGATCGTACAGCCTGTTTCCTGTCACGCCCGGGACCGGTGTCAGCACTGGATGTACTACGTGAGTAGTTTTGACTAACGGTCGTTTCATTAGTGTCCTCTCTCCCTCTCCTGCTGTCCCTCTCATTCTCTCCCTCTCTTTCTCGACTCCCTCTCGCTCTCCCTTTCTAAAGCCTGTTTCTTGCCACGCCCGGGAGCGTCATCAGCTCTGGGAGAATTCTGTGAGTCCCTTAACCTAGTTACCTACCTAGTGCCTGCCACCTCTCTGCCTTACCTTGTCCCTTTCCCCCTAGCTTTACCCCTCCCTTCTCCCTTTTCCTCTAGCTTTACCCAAATGGTCCTTCATTGAATAGAACATGTAATACATCTAGCTTTACCCCTCTCGTCTCCGAGCTTAACCTCCCTTTACCTCTTCCCTTCCGTCTCCCTCTTCCTCACCCTCTCCTCTCCTCCCTCTCTTGCACGCACTCTGTTTCCCCATAGCCCATCTTGTCGAGCATGATTCTCGCCTCTGCATGTCTACATGTAACAACAACAATCCCTTGTATTCTCTCCGCTCTTTCACCCGCACTGGTATCAGTGCCTGGTTTGACACACCCGTGACCCATCCCTCGCACTTTGCATGCGTACGAGTGATTCGTTTGCACCTACCTGTGTGTTTGCTTTCCCATGCAAACAGCAACTATCCCGGGTACCCTTTCCGCTCCTTCGCCTGCTCTATCACTGGTGAGCGCTTTTGTGTTGGTGGGTGCTGCTGTGTTGGTGCGTGCTGCAGGATTGGTAGGTGCTGCTGTGCTGGTATGTGCTGCTGTGTTGGTAGGTGGGTGCTGCTGTGTTGGTAGGTGCTGCTGTGTTGGTAGGTGCTGCTGTGTTGGTGGCTGCTGAAGTGTTGGTGGGTGCCATGCCAGTGTGTTCCCATTGTTTCCTCCCTCCCTCTCCCGTCTCGGAATCACCCTTCAGCTGTAAGTTCATTCACATAATGATTCATTCCTCATTTGTGAAGTCACTTTGGATTCGCATTTCCTTTTGCTGAAGCTGCAACACTCAGCTGTTTCAAATCTCGCCTCCCACAATGCGCTTCCTTCATGGTGCAGAATCCATACAACTCCCTGTGCTCGCCACCAGCGAAGATTGCATATTCATCCAGCTGGTTTTTTTAACTCTCAAGAACCAGATTGCATATCCATTCATACCTCAGCTTACTTCAGATGAAATGCGCTCACAAACTCCCCATGCTCACCTCACATCACTCACAGAGAAATGCGCACCCAACACCTGCGGTGGGAACGGCTCGTGCGTTCAGGACAGTGCAGGGGTTGCCTTCTGTGTTTGCAATGCTGGCTTTCTTCTGCAGCCTGACGCCAGGACGTGTGCTGGTACGTGCGCTTGTACGTGCGCTGGTACGTGCGCTGGTACGTGCGCTGGTACGTGCGCTGGTACGTGCGCTGGTACGTGCGCTGGTACGTGCGCTGGTACGTGCGCTGGTACGTGCGCTGGTACGTGCGCTGGTACGTGCGCTGGTACGTGCGCTGGTACGTGCGCTGGTACGTGCGCTGGTACGTGCGCTGGTACGTGCGCTGGTACGTGCGCTGGTACGTGCGCTGGTACGTGCGCTGGTACGTGCGCTGGTACGTGCGCTGGTACGTGCGCTGGTACGTGCGCTGGTACGTGCGCTGGTACGTGCGCTGGTACGTGCGCTGGTACGTGCGCTGGTACGTGCGCTGGTACGTGTGCTGGTACGTGCGCTGGTACGTGCGCTGGTACGTGCGCTGGTACGTGCGCTGGTACGTGCGCTGGTACGTGCGCTGGTACGTGCGCTGGTACGTGCGCTGGTACGTGCGCTGGTACGTGCGCTGGTATGTGCGCTGGTACGTGCGCTGGTACGTGCGCTGGTACGTGCGCTGGTACGTGCGCTGGTACGTGCGCTGGTACGTGCGCTGGTACGTGCGCTGGCATGTGCTACTGTTGTGAGGTGGTCCCAGTCGCTGTGCCGGTTGACTGACATAGAGGGTTCTGGGTCACAGATCTGCGATCAAGATCTGCGATCCCACGACTGTTCATTCCCCTCTGCCCTCTTTGTTGCTCTTGACTTAATCTTGTGTCCGTTCCACCCCCTTTGGATTGCCTCCCTCAGAGGCATGTGGGACCAAGATCTGCGATCCCACGACTGTTCATTCCCCTCTGCCCTCTTTGTTGCTCTTGACTTAATCTTGTGTCCGTTCCACCCCCTTTGGATTGCCTCCCTCAGAGGCATGTGGGACCAAGATCTGCGATCCCACGACTGTTCATTCCCCTCTGCCCTCTTTGTTGCTCTTGACTTAATCTTGTGTCCGTTCCACCCCCTTTGGATTGCCTCCCTCAGAGGCATGTGGGACCAAGATCTGCGATCCCACGACTGTTCATTCCCCTCTGCCCTCTTTGTTGCTCTTGACTTAATCTTGTGTCCGTTCCACCCCCTTTGGATTGCCTCCCTCAGAGGCGTGTGGGACCAAGATCTGCGATCCCACGACTGACTGTGTGATTGACGCTGCAGGCGGGGCATCGTGTGTGTGCAAGGCGGGCTACCAGAGCATCTCCGGCGCTTGTGTTGGTACGTGCTAGTGCTGTCACCCCCCGAATAAACAGCTCATACTAATAACCTTTCTGAGTTCAGCCTGTCTAATAATGGGACCTCTGTGCTGCTCTCGGTGCTCCCGTGTGTGCCTCCCTCTGTGACCCATTGTTTCCATCTCATGCAAACGGCATCATGCCATGCTGTGCTGTGCTGCAATGAGCTATGCGGCGTGGCATGGCGTGGAGTGGAGTGGCGTGGCGTGGCGTGAAGTGCCATCCCGTGCCATGCTGTGCCGTGCTGTGCTGCACTGAGTTGTATCATGCTGTTCTGCGTTGTCTTGTGCTGCATCATGCTGTGCTGCACCATGCTGTGCTGCACCATGCTGTCCTCTCACACCATGCTGTGCTCGCACACCATGCTGCTGTCCTCGCACACCCTGCTGCTGTCCTCGCACACCCTGCTGCTGTCCTCGCACACCCTGCTGCTGTCCTCGCACACCCTGCTGCTGTCCTCGCACACCCTGCTGTTGTCCTCGCACACCCTGCTGTTGTCCTCGCACACCCTGCTGTTGTCCTCGCACACCCTGCTGTTGTCCTCGCACACCCTGCTGTTGTCCTCGCACACCCTGCTGTTGTCCTCGCACACCCTGCTGTTGTCCTCGCACACCCTGCTGTTGTCCTCGCACACCCTGCTGTTGTCCTCGCACACCCTGCTGTTGTCCTCGCACACCCTGCTGTTGTCCTCGCACACCCTGCTGTTGTCCTCGCACACCCTGCTGTTGTCCTCGCACACCCTGCTGTTGTCCTCGCACACCCTGCTGTTGTCCTCGCACACCCTGCTGTTGTCCTCGCACACCCTGCTGTTGTCCTCGCACACCCTGCTGTTGTCCTCGCACACCCTGCTGTTGTCCTCGCACACCCTGCTGTTGTCCTCGCACACCCTGCTGTTGTCCTCGCACACCCTGCTGCTGTCCTCGCACACCCTCTTCCCCACCCCACCTCCCCAGGCCACCAACACGGTTGCTTTGTCCTTCCTTATCAAAATGTGTCGTGATGAGTATTTTTCTCCTTCCTCATCCCCTCCCACATCCCCATCCCCCCAGGCCCCGCCACATGTGGGAGCTGCCCTGCAGGGGCCACGTGCACTGTTGCTTTCGGCTTCATTCCATATTGCATCTGCCCTCCCGGCTATGGCATGACCAGCACTGGCTGCATCAACGGTAAGCCCAATGCTACTTGCACCTCATCTCACTCTTTCCCCTCCCACCTCTTTACCTCGGTTGTTCTTCCATACTGCATTTGCGCCCGCGGCTATGGCATGACCAGCATTGGCTGCATCAGCGCTAAGCCCGGAGGCTGTTCGCATTCTGATCGCATTCTAGCTATGACAAATGTTTTTGTGCAACGTATGTAAGACTGAAGCTTCTCACAGCCCCACGTCATTGTTTTCCCTGCCAACCCTTCCTTCCTCCCACATGTTGAATCCCCTAATGTCATGTTTCCTTTCACTGTCAACAACCCCTGCCCTCTGCTTTTTCTATCGTCCCCTTTCCTCATCCTTTCCCCACGCCATTCGTGCCTCATTTCATATCCCTCATTTCATATCCTCGCCTATCTGCTCATGCCATTCTGCTCATGCCATACACCATGGCGGCGGTCCGGCCCATGCCATGCCACGCTGCTCGCCCTTGCCCTCGCAGGTGCCACCCCTACCGTCTCCTCCACCAGCAACACCTTTCGCATTTTTGAGAATCCTCAAAAGCAACATCTTTGCACCCTCCCCATCCCACACCACCCTATCCCTGGTTTCATCCCCGCCCCACTTACCCCCATGCCATGCCACGCTGCTCGCCCTTGCCCTGGCAGGCGCCACCCCCACTGTCTCCTCCACCAGCATCACCTTCTACGATCAGCCAAGCTACACCATCACGCCCACCACCTTCACCATGCGCCTCGAATTCAACACCTGCACCACCATCCCTGCTTCAGCTGCCTCTAAAGTCTGGTCCACTTGGCGGCTAGATGGGGCTCCTGGAGGGGTGGGGGAGTGTGTGAGTTTGAACCAGTATGAGCGGGAGGGGTGCGTTGGAACGTACACATCGTCTCCCAGTGCTTCGGACGGAACCAGCATGATTGGCCTGGGTTTCACGTGAGTTTGTGAGGAGTTCACAGAGGGTTGGGGGAGTGTGTGAGTTTGAATGAGTATGAGCAGGAAGGGTGCGTTGGAACGTACACGTCGTCTAAACCCAGCGCCTCGGACGGAACCAGCATCGGCCTGGGTTTCACGTGAGTCTGGAATCGCAACAAGTTTGCAAGGTTACATGCATGCGTGATGGTGCGTGCGCACATGCATGCACGCACGCACGCACATACGTGCATGCACACATACATGACATGCACACATACATGACACGCACACCTGCACACCCAAGACACACCTGCACGCACTCCCGTGATACGTAATACTGAAAATTAACTATGCTTCTTACCTTGTGCTTCTTTCTTCTGCTAGAGGGAGATGACATGCATGTCATGCTTTTGAGTCGACTCAAAGGGAGATGACATGCATGTCATCTTCCTCTAGCCTCCTGGTTTGTCGCGCACACCGCCACATGACCAGGGGCCTTGCATCTTACTCTAGCCTCCTGGTTTGTCGCGCACACCGCCACATGACCAGGGGCCTTGCATCTTACTCTAGCCTCCTGGTTTGTCGCGCACACCGCCACATGACCAGGGGCCTTGCATCTTACTCTAGCCTCCTGGTTTGTCGCGCACACCGCCACATGACCAGGGGCCTTGCATCTTACTCTAGCCTCCTGGTTTGTCGCGCACACCGCCACATGACCAGGGGCCTTGCATCTTACTCTAGCCTCCTGGTTTGTCGCGCACACCGCCACATGACCAGGGGCCTTGCATCTTACTCTAGCCTCCTGGTTTGTCGCGCACACCGCCACATGACCAGTGGCCTTGCATCTTACTCACTCCATTCACCTGGCTGCCCCTCCCTCTCCCCCCCACCCTCCTTCCTTTGCATGCCACATCCCGCTTGCCTTCTGGGTTATGTGCATACCCAGAACCATGACTCTGCTAGTTGCTCCCTCCAGTTTCTCCGCTTCCATCCCTCTTCCCCCCCTGTGTGCTATGCATTCGCCACCCCGTTTTGCTCATTCCTCTTCTCCCACCCCTTCCATTCCCTGCTTGCGTAAATGCAACAGCAAGGATCCCGAGTATCCTTACCTCTCCTTTTTTAGATGTATCAACCCCCCCCAACCCCCCGACCCTGCGTGCAACGCATTCCCCACCCCATTTCCTCTCATTGCTGCATGCGCACATGGAATGCACCGGCATGTATCTCGGGTTTCTTTACCGCTACTATTTGAGGCATCTCAAAAAAGCTTCCTTTGTGTGCCATGCACCCCCACCCGTTTTTCCTCTCATCTCCGCATGCCTACATGGAATGCAACAGCAAGTATCTCGGGTACCCTTACCGCTCCTTCAGCTGCAATGGTGTTGGTGAGTGCTGCTGTGTCGGTGAGTGCTGCTGTGTTGCTCCAAACCTACCTAGTGTGTTCCCGTAATTTGCAACCAGCAATTTTGAGGCATTCTTTGTTTTGTTTTGTATTGTTTTGTTTTTTCTTTTTCACAAATCCCGCTCAATGCCTTTATCTCCCCTCTTGTGTGCCATAAGTTTCCCCCTTGCCTTCCTTAGGTAGCCCACTCGCGTGCAAATCCTTCCCCCCCTGCCTTTCTTCCATACCCTCTTCAGTCCCATCCATTCCCTCATTGAGTGCAAGTCCCCCCCTCCCCCCTCTCCTCCCCCCCTCCTCTTCATAATCCACCTTTTCCTTTTGCGTTCCTTTCATCCCCCCCCCTGCAAAGTTCCTTGAATCTACCCCTCATCTACATCCCCTCGATCTCGCTTGCCCATTTCTGCCCACTTTTTATTGCCCCCTGACATCCGTGTTCCCCTTTCAGCTAAGCCGTAGGATGACTCACAAATGTGTTGGCTCTCATTCTAAGTAGAGATATACCTCAGAAGAAGTGTGCGCGGAGGGGGAAGACACAGCGGATGTGACATAAGGCGGACATAAGGGGACTGTAGGGACCTCTGGGTTTGTGAACTTTGGTTTTTGACATGAGCATGAAGCAAATAGCGGCAACAATCACTGTGCTCTTAGTTTTTTTTGTGTCTACATTACCCTCAATTTGGAGGCATTTGCGATCTCTTGGATATAAGCGCAAGAGCGCTTTTGAGCGCTTTTACTATACCGGCATCATGCTTACCGTAAGATATTTTGAAAGTGTCACCACTGGCAACTTATAGTCCCAATATTTTCCGTGGCGAACGTGGTGAGGCAGGCGAAACTCATTCGTTCGGTTCATCAGTCTATTTGATTAAGGACAAAATGACATGCTAAGGTTGGGCAGCCATCAACTGTAATTAAAATTCTGGTTTTTACAAGGTGCGCTACAATCACATAACGGGTTCGAGCCCTAGCAAGGTGTCCAGTCGAAAGGCTATTTGCTGGGAGGGGGATCAGCAGAAAGGACCGCGTCACTATTGTTTTGTACACACGTACAGTATCACGCCACCCCGCGCCACCGTTGTGAGGTCCCATCCCACCATGTCATTTGTCGATTTGTTTCGCTGAAGTTGTTGGCATTCAATGCCACGTCAGAATTTTCCCGCGAAACTGTCCAGGGATTCAGAATTTTCGCCAATCCTCTCGCCAAGTGGCTTTCCTTTCGCTTCGGCGAATTTGTTTTGTACACTGTACAAACTCCAACAGTACTGCCAAATGTATACTGCTGCAGTATACATACATTTGGCAGGGGGGTGTGCCAAAGGTTTATAAAAGGACCCTGGTGGTAACCAAATTACGGGGCCACCCAACACTTTGTCTCGAAGGTCCGTGTATTCCCAACCCCCCGCAGCACACTCTCGTCAAAAGTTTATGGGATGCCAAAAGTATACTGAAGGGGTTGCCTCCTCGCCACTAGCCCCGCCCCCATACTGTAGCGCATCGTGCACAACTAGCATAGCTACCGTACGTGTGCAAAAGCCATTACACCCCGTAATAGCCAATGCGAGGTTAGCGCATCTCGCTGTTAGATCATTTAGCGACCATACCACCGTGCCGTTTTGCTTCGCTGCAACGACATTCGCTAGCGCCGCGCTGTGGAAGGCATAACGCCAACTAGAGGCAGATCGAGAAGCGCGACGGGTGGTTTTTCCACCCTCCCTTCCCCCCGCTTTGCTCCCCTTTCCGCTGCGCGATTCCAATTCCCGGCGCCCGATTCCCCCTTCCCGCCGCCCGATTCCCCTTCCCGCCGCCCGATTCCCCTTCCCGCCGCCCGATTCCCCTTCCCGCCGCTCGATTCCCCTTCCCGCCGCCCGATTCCCTTTCCCGCCGCCCGTTTCCCCTTCCCGCCACCCGATTCCCCTTCCCGCTGCCCAATTCCCCTTCCCGCCGCCCGATTCCCCTTCCCGCCGCCCGATTCCCCTTCCCGCCGCTCGATTCCCCTTCCCGCCGCCCGATTCCCCTTCCCGCCGCCCGATTCCCCTTCCCGCCGCCCGATTCCCCTTCCCGCCGCACCGTGAGCCCCTTTCCGCCGCCCGACTCCCTTTCCCTCATCCCAATTCCCCTTTCTGCATACCCTTTGACCTTCCCGCCGCCCAATTCCCCTTTCCCGCCGCCCGATTCGCGGTTCCCGCTGCCCGAATCCCCATTCCCGCCGGCCGATTCCCGTCTCGCTGCCTGATTCCCCTTCCCGCCACCCCTTTGACATTCCCGCCGGCCCATTCCCCTTCCCGCCGCCCGATTCCCCGTTCCCGACCCCAATTCTCCCCTTCCCGCCTCCCATTCTCCCCTTCCCGCCTCCCATTCTCTCCTTCCTGCCGCCCTTCTCTCCCTTCCCTCCCTTCTCTCCCTTCCCTCCCTTTTCTCCCTTCCATCCCTTCTTTCCCTTCCCTCCCTTCTCTCCTTCCCTCCCTTTTCTCCCTTCATTCCCTTCTCTCCCTTCTCTCCCTTCCCTCCCTTCCCTCCCTTCCATCCCTTCCCTCCCTGCTCTCCCTTCTCTCCCTTTTCTCCATTCTCTCCCTTACCTCCCTTCTCTCCCTTCTCTCTCTTCCCGCCCTTCTCTCCCTTCCCTCCCTTGTCTCCCTTTCCTCCCTTCTCTCCCTTTCCTCCCTTCTCTCCCTTCCCTCCCTTCTCTCCCTTCTCACCCCTCCACCCCGCCTCCCCATCTCCCTGTCCCGCCTCCCCATCTCCCTGTCCCGCCTCCCCATCTCCCTGTCCCGCCTCCCCATCTCCCTGTCTCGCCTCCCCATCTCAGTTGCCTTCCTTCTCATCTCCCCTTCCTTCTCATCTCTCCTTTCCCTGCCTCCTCATTTCCCCTCCCTCCATCCTCATTTCCCCTCCCTCCATCCTCATTTCCCCTCCCTCCATCCTCATTTCCCCTCCCTCCATCCTCATTTCCCCTCCCTCCATCCTCATTTCCCCTCCCTCCATCCTCATTTCCCCTCCCTCCATCTTCATTTCCCCTCCCTCCATCCTCATTTCCCCTCCCTCCATCCTCGTGTGCTGCCATCACTTTGTCACCATACATGTTTTTTTACTCATGTGTACTCGCTTGTATTCGCTTTTTCCCCTCCCTCCCTACCTATCTCCCCTCACTTACTACCCATCTCAACCTCCTTCCTTCCCATCTCACCTCCCTGCGTGAGTATCACACATGTACTGCCTTACGTGCCATGGGTTTGGGGCCCCATTTACCGCTGCGAAACCAGGTGTCATACAACCTGTATGCATATGCAAAGCTGCCGGTTTTGCATGCAAGTCAGCAGCATATAAGTGTGCCAATTCCCTCTGCTCCAGCGAGCTTGTCTGCGTGGAGGGGCATCACATCATGTTCCAGGAGTGTGTCGAGACATGAAGATGTCACCAAGAGTAGAGGATGGTGCGGTTTGTATATTGACAATGAAAATATGTTTACATAGAACTCTGAAAGCTTCTTCATACGACATCATACTGTGCTCACTTGCAAACCAAAAGATGGCTAATAGAAAGATCCAAGACGTTGGAAAGACAGAGTTCACATGATATATATCGGATGCATGTGAACATTTGGATATACATTTGTTGTACCATTCTGCTAATGTCAATGTACATTGAGGGCACACACAACCCTAGACTGAACGAAACTGTGCATGTGCCACACAGGTTCACCTGCCCCTCCCTCCCCACCGTCACCACACTGCCCGTGTTCAGCCCCAGCAGCATGCGCAGCGCTATGATCTGCAGGGGATGGCATGGGGGAAAGACCCGGAGGGGAAGTGATGGGAGATGGGGAGGGGTGAGACAAGAGTAGTGTGGGAGAGTGAATGAGATGGGGTGTGATGTGGGGATGCGATTGCATGTGCATGTAGGGACAGAGCTGTACCCAGCAGCACCACACGCCCACCGTTTCCACCCCTATCCACACTACTCATGCTCGCCATACTTCAAAACACATAGCTCAACGCACTCCTCCCCACAGCGGCCCGAGGCATGCCCTGGCGGGTCGAGTGCGGGCCAGCTGCCCGCGCAGCACTATCTGGCAGGCACTCAAGGGGAGGGGCGGAGAGAGTGAGCGAGGATACAGGGAAGAGGAGAGTGAGCGATGGCGTGGGAGTGCGGTGGAGTGGGGGGAAGAGGGAGATGAACAATATCGATGACAGACACAACATGATGTGAGAAGGCATGATGTGAGAAGGCATGACGTGAGAAGGCGTGACGTGAGAAGGCGTGACGTGAGAAGGCATGACGTGAGAAGGCGTGACGTGAGAAGGCATGATCTGAGGGGAGGGGAGCAGAGGGGAGGGGAGCAGAGGGGAGGGGAAGGGAGCCGAGGGGAGGGGAGGGGAGCGGAGGGGAGCGGAGCGGAGCGGAGACGAGAGCGTAGCGGAGCGGAGGGGAGCGGAGGGGAGGGGAGGGGAGCGGAGGGGAGGGGAGCGGAGGGGAGCGGAGGGGAGCGGAGACGAGAGCGTAGGGGAGCGAAGGGGAGCGGAGACGAGAGCGTAGCGGAGCGGAGGGGAGCGGAGAGGAGCGGAGGGGAGCGGAGGGGAGCGGAGAGGAGCGGAGGGAAGGGGAGGGGAGCGGAGGGAAGCGAAGGGGAACGGAGAGGAGAGCGTAGGGGAGCAAAGGGGAGCGGAGGGGAGCGGAGACGAGAGCGTAGGGGAGCGGAGGGGAGCGGAGCGTAGCGTATGGAAGCGTAGGGGAGCGGAGGGGAGCGGAGGGGAGCGGAGGGGAGCGGAGAGGAGCGGGGGGAAGCGGAGGGGAGCGGAGGGGAGCGGAGGGGAGCGGAGGGGAGCGAAGGGGAGCGGAAGGGAGCGAAGGGGAGCGGAGGGGAGCAGAGGGGAGGGGAGGGGAGTGGAGGGGAGCAGAGGGGAGTGGAGCGGGAGGGCGCTGACCATGAATTGGGCGAGCCCCCCCAGCAGCGCTGCACTAGAACCGTTCCCTCACTGTGTGGTGGAGGGCACATGCACCGATGCACGCATGCACACAGCACACATGCGTGCATGCATACATGCACACAAGCAAGCCTGCACACATGCAAATAGGCACACGTGCACACCTATCGCCATATACACACATATGCACACATATGCCCAGATGCACATATATGCACATACGCACATGCACGCACGCAACCAGGAAAACCCGAACACATGAAGACACAGATGCAAGCAGCGGTGCATGCGGGGACGGATGCCATTCCCCTAAGCGGTTGGCGCTAAGTGGGTGAGGCGAGCAGCAGGTGACGCGCTAAGCGGGTGAGGCGCGAAGCGGGTGAAACCCTAAGCGGGTGAGGCACTAAGCGGGTGAGGCGCAAAGCCCGCCGGCCTAGCTAACGATTAGAATGCGGCGAACCCGCGGAGGGCAACGCGACGGGAGCAACGACTGCACTGCAGGATGGTCGTTTCCGTTGCAAGCGACCACCCCGTGCGCATTGGATGGATCGGACTGTTCGACATGCTAACAAGCAGTTATCGCAACAGCGACAGAAACGATAACGGGGCAGACGAACATTCACGAATGTCTGCGCTGTTCGGGATAGCAAGCCGCAGACAGCGCCAACCATCGCGCTATGGAGCTAATTCGGCGGACCCTGAAAGAACAACTACTAGGTGTTTGGTGCTCTTGCTTGTTTAGCACTGTTATATATATATGCTCTGCTGCATGTGAACTGGCCTTGTGGCCTTGACCTTGTGCTCAGAATTTGTGTGGTATCCTTGAGATCCACCCTGAGCTTGCTTTGCTTTGCTTCGCTTTGCTTGACTGGTCTTGTGACCCCTTGCTCTCCCCCACTTTGCCTATGGGGGTGTGTCAGATGATTATATTGCTGATGCATATATTTAGGCTGTAGTGGGGTAGCCCATAGGGAGTACAACCCAATTAGGGTTGGTACTTGTACTCGTTTCATTTCATAGTGCACCCATTCTCTCTCTAATCTCAACACAGATTGTATTGCTTTATTAGTTATATTCAACGTTTATATTGCTGACTTCCCCGACATGCTAGGCGGGGGAAGCGGTAGTATAAATTTAGGACTTCAAACATTCATCAATCCGTTTGATGAATATGAGAAATGCAATGATTGTTTGGTCGGTCATTGCATTTCTCCACAGATTCTCAAATTTCATAATATTGCGCGTTACAAAAAAGAGTTAAGAATAGCATAGCAATGACCAGCAAAAAGGGTAAGTTTTATCAAGCTTATCAGCACCCTAAACAAACATATTTGTCGTTATTTTACATTTTTTTCTGGCGGATAATAAAAAATTCTTGAAAAAAAAAAGAAGCTTCAGGTCGATTGCAATAGGTTGCTTCGCAATCCAAAAAGAGCATCTGCAATGCTGGTGGTCATTCTTTTTCTTGAATCAGTAGCACCAATAAACATTAAAGAACACACAGGGAACAGTTGCTATATATAGGAACACATCAACAGTTCTAGCTATTCATGTACTATGAGGGGTACATTCCCTTATTGAGATATGCTACAGCTGCAACCAGCCCCACAAAAGACAAACAAAGGCAAATTAAATGGCCAACCAACAGGGCCCAAATTAGGTTTTAGCTCACTCTTTCAAATCAGGGTGGCATCCCCTCCGTACCCTGACTGGTAGGGTAAAGTTTCTCGTACACTGATTGTAGCAGCCTAAAAGTTTTGGTACACTGATTTTGGCAGGATAATATATGTCGTACACGGTTTCCTTCCTAAGCATAAGATTGTACTACTACAACAATTACTCAGTTATCACTGAGTTATCATAAGCGGATCAGGCTCAGAGGCAGGCATTCGGAACAACAAACGAGAGGGAAACGAGAGAATGGCAAGAGCCTGAGAGACCCTTCGGGAATCACAAAGCCCAAGGCGCCTCAGGCAGCAAGGTTCCATCGCTGGTAGGGAACTGCACGGCAATGGCTGCAATGCCACAGTGACTGCCAGGTGGTGGAAACGACAGCACGTACGGTACCCCACCTAGCGCGCAATTTGCCTCCGTTGGCAGTGCGCGATGTTGCGTGACGCACGGAAACTGGGTGCGTTGGCTTCAATGTCGCTCAACGGACCAATCGTAGGTGTGCGGTGCCATCCGCCCTGAATGTACGTTGGCGCGCCAGTAGGTGTATCCAACAAATGGCCCAGTGGGACCGTGGAGCATTTCGTCGTGGCGCGGACTGTGGCGGAATCCGCGGTACGGAAAAGTTCCAGTAAAAGGGTAGTTGAACCCCTATCCTGATACAGTCAGTGTAACTGGAAAAGCTACAAGAGTACTTTTAAGCGTATTCTGATCGCACTAGGGTAAAAATCTGCATACCCTGATTTGAAAAGGGTAACTGCCAAAAAGTGGCCTATGAGCAGGGCAAAAAGGGTAAAATACCCTTGAAATTTGGGCCCTGCCAACCAACACACACTATAGATCAAACAAAGCAACCAGAAAACAGGAAAAGAAGCCGTGCCCCCATGAATGCAGCTGATGCCTTGTACCCCGGTGCATGGAGATCTCGCCCCCTTGTAAGGCAAGGCCCAAAGGTCAAGCCTTCTCTCCCCATCTTCCTTTCAAGAGGCACTCAAGCAGGGGCGGTCCTGATCCACACAATTCACGCCTTTCGCAAGATGATTATGCTGGAAGACTAGCTGATGGGATGACGAGACTCGAGTGGCTGATGGGACGACGGGAGTGGCTGATGGGACGACGGGAGTGGCTGATGGGACGACGGGAGTGGCTGATGGGACGACGGGAGTGGCTGATGGGACGACGGGAGTGGCTGATGGGACGACGGGAGTGGCTGATGGGACGACGGGAGTGGCTGATGGGACGACGGGAGTGGCTGATGGGACGACGGGAGTGGCTGATGGGACGACGGGAGTGGCTGATGGGACGACGGGAGTGGCTGATGGGACGACGGGAGTGGCTGATGGGACGACGGGAGTGGCTGATGGGACGACGGGAGTGGCTGATGGGGCGACGGGAATGGCTGATGGGACGACGGGAGTGGCTGATGGGACGACGGGAGTGGCTGATGGGACGACGGGAGTGGCTGATGGGACGATGGGAGTGGCTGATGGGACGACGGAAGTGGCTGATGGGACGACGGGAGTGGCTGATGGGTGCTTTCACGGAAATGATGTGGATTTGCTTCCCTTCACGGTTCTGGGAAGGAGTTGGGGCGGGATCAAGATGCGAAGAGTGGGACCAGGGATGGGTGGATGCAGGAAGAATCATATATTGTAACAGCTGAGAAGGACAACGACACTGTAGCACACCAAACTGATGTAGAATTCAACACAAAATGAGATATAGGCTCGAGTGGCAGGGGGGGGACTGAACACGAAACGAGAATTAAAAAAGGGATGAGACGAGATGAACAGCTGCCTGCACTGGATAACAGCTGCCTGCACTGGATAACAGTTGCATGCACTGGATAACAGCTGCATGCACTGGATAACAGTTGCATGCACTGGATAACAGCTGCATGCACTGGATAACAGCTGCATGCACTGGATAACAGCTGCCTGCACTGGATAACAGCTGCATGCACTGGATAACAGCTGCATGCGCTGGATAACAGAGGCTGCTACACAGAAGCAGAGAGCAGGCAATGAAGACATATGCACACAACAGTGCGCAGGCAATGAAGACATATGCACACAACAGTGAGCACGTACCCATGCACAAATCTTCATCGACGAGCACGAGGCCATCATTGCAAACACACGTCTCCGTTGCCGCGTCACAGTGCATGTTCCAGTTACAGCCCACCAGTGTGCAGGACGGCACTGGTGGGGGTGGCGGCAGCGCAGTGGGGAGACGGGTGCAGGGGACGAGGGTGGTGGGATTCAAGTTTGAGGACGACAAGATACTTTGAAGGAGGCAAGGGGAGAGTGGGAGAGGGGGAGAGGGAGAGAGGAAGAGAGGGGAAGAGGGAGAGAGGGGGAGAGGGAGAGAGGGGGAGATGGGGAGAGGGGGAGATGGGGAGGGGGGGAGGGGGAAAGAGGGGGAGAGGGGGAGAGGAGACACATACAAGGCATATTACAACATCGCAAGTATGACATCAACATCTCCTAACATTGCCGTGTGCTAATCCCACGACAGTCAACATGGCAGTCAACATGGCAGTTAGCATGGCAGTCAACATGGCAGTCAGCATGGCAGTCAACATGGCAGTCAACATGGCAGTCAACATGGCAGTCAACATGGCAGTCAGCATGGCAGTCAACATGGCAGTCAGCATGGCAGTCAACATGGCAGTCAGCATGGCAGTCAACATGACAGTCAGCATGGCAGTCAACATGGCAGTCAGCATGGCAGTCGAGGAGGGTGTGACTGTTAAAGGTAAGAGGATGGCAGGGATGGAACCAATCGGGTAGGAGGTCCATGGGTTGGGGTCTAGAGACGGAGAGACAGAGAGACGGAGAGATGGAGAGACGGAGAGACGGTAGCACACTGGGTCAGCTAGCTTTGACTCCTCAACGCGTGGAACTTACCAACACAGCCGAAACTTCTTGCATAATGGGCTTCCATATAGAATTTGCAAGCACAAAACGGGTCCCCTGTGGCAGGCGACTTGTCGCAGTGTGCGAGATATGTGTACTCAACGTTCACATCAGGATCCATCCAAGAGCATGAAACGCCATCGCACCGATCTGGGAAGGAGTTGGGGTGAAAGGATGTATCAGAGCGGGACACAAACAGTGGTGGGACCAGGGGCGGATGGATGTAGAAAGAAACATAACGTGACGGCTGAGTAGGACAATGACGATATGTTTCAAGAAAACAAAAAAAGATACAAGCAAGAGGGGCAGGGGGGGGACTGAACAAGAAACGAGACATTGGCGCAGGGATGCACAAAGAGGCGTGAGAAAACTCTATGACTGAGAGAGCTACCGGCACACGCTAGCGGCAGCATATCAGCAGCAGACAGCTGCACACGCTAGCGGCAGCATATCAGCAGCAGACAGCTGCACACGCTAGCGGCAGCATATCAGCAGCAGATAGCTGCACACGGTAGCGACAGCATATCAGCAGCAGACAGCTGCACACGGTAGCGGCAGCATATCAGCAGCAGATAGCTGCACACTGTAGCGGTAGCATATCAGCAGCAGACAGCTGCACACACTAGCGGCAGCATATCAGCAGCAGACAGCTGCACACGGTAGCGGCAGCATAACAGCACACAGCTGCACGCGCTAGACTACAGCTGCAGAAGCTGTGACACAGAAGCACACAGCAGCCATTGAACACAGATGCACAACCGTCAGCACTTACCCTTGCACGTATTATCTGCCTGCATCTCGAAACCAATGTCACAAACACATGACGCCACTCCATTAGTGTTGTTACAATGCTTGTTTGCACCACAGCGCAGATCGCATGGCGCTGGGTGAGGGTAGAGGCGGCGTGGAGGAGAGAGGGGTGGAGGGGATGTGAAATGATGAGTGTGGGTTTCAAGATTGAAGACGACAGGACATATTAAGCGAGACGCACGAAATGAATGAGTGGTGAAGCCACAGCACTGGAGGCAGCACAGCAGCGGTTCAAGTCCTAGGTAGCATCATCACCCAGCGATTGCAGCAGGTGGAGGTGGGCTGGAGACGCACGCCCCATTCTGCATCTCGTACCCATCGAGACACACACACGGGTCATACTCGTTGCAGTGCATGTTCTCACTGATGCAAGTTATGGAGCAGGTCACTGCGTGTGGGGGTAGAGGTGGTGCAGAGGGGAGAGGGGTGGTGGGGACGTGAAATGAGGGGTGGTGGGATTCAAGATAGATCCGACGAGACGTTGGGAACACATGAGATGAGAGTAGTGAAGCCATAGGCACTGGAGGAAGCACAGCAGCACGGCAAGCTAGCATCACCCACCAGGTTCGGGTTGATATGAGCTGGGGACGCACGTCACATCCTGTATCTCGAAACCAAAGTAGCAATAACAGGTAGCCATGCCATCAGCATAACGATAACACTCGCCGTTAGGAGCACAGTTCATGGCGTCATAGGGATCTGCGTGGGGGGAGAGGCAGACAAGAGGGGAGAGCGGCGGAGAAGACGTGATATCAGCGGTGGTAGTGGGATCCAGGATTGAAGACGGCAAGTCATATGAAACGAGATGTTGGGAACGCATGAGAGTAGTGAAGTCATTGGTACTGGAGGCAGCACAGCAGCTGTTCAAGTCAAGGTAGCATCACCCACCGACTGCAGCAGGTGGAGGTGGGGTGGGAAGGCACGTCTTGCCATCCTGCTGTAGCTCGTATCCCTGGTCACACTGGCAGGTGGCGCTGTTATCACCAGCACGACACTGGCCGTTGGCACCACAGCTCTGGATCTCACAGACGTCTGCGTGGTGCGAAAGGCAGAAACGAAGGGAGAGGAGGGGTGGAGGGGAGAGGCAGAAAAGAGGGGAGAGGAGGGGTGGACATGGAGGGGAGAGGCTAAAAAAAAAGGGAGAGGCGACATGAATTCAGGAGGGATCACAGCAGCACGCAGATTAGCGCACAGAATCACATAGAGTGGCACACAGCAGTTCCATCACATACCTTTGCACGTCCTGCCATCCGCCTGTAGCACAAAGCCAGGGTTACACACACACGACGCCGCTCCTGTGATTTTGTCCTTGCTGCACGTGCCGTTCCCACCACACTTCTGGATCTCGCAGGTGTCTGGGTGGGAGGGAGTGAGGAGGGGAGGAAATGGATGAGGATGGTGTACAAGGGACGTGAACAAGGAGAGAGTAGTGAAGAGGAGTGCGAGACGTGCACTGCACACAGGGAGTGCGAGTAGAGACATGCACACAAGGAGTGTGAGTGGAGACGTGCACACAAGGAGTGTGATTACTAGAGACGTGCACACAAGGACTATGGGGTGGGTTGAGGGGGGAGAGGCCAAGCGAGGGAGGGGTAAGCAGCAGTGACGTTCAAGGGGAAACTGAGACAGCAAAGAGAGGTGAGGAGACATGGATTTAGGAGCAATCACAGCAGCACACAGAGTAGCGCACAGGAGCACACAGAATCACATAGTGTAGCACACGGCAGTTTCAACGCATACCTTTACATGTCCTGCCATCCGCCTGCAGCACGTAGCCAGGGTCACAGACACAGGTAGCCGCGTTACCAGCACGAACACACCGGCCGTTGAGACCACAGTTCTCGATCACACAGACATTTGCGGGGGGGAAAAAGGGGGGGCCGGGGGGGAGGGAAAAGGGAGATGAGGGATCGAGGGAACACGAATCTACGAGGAAACACAGCAGCACACAGAGTAGCGTACAGCAGAAAGCAGAGTGGCACACAAGAGCACAGAGAGCAGCGCACAGCAGGTTCAACACGTACGAGTGCACGTCCTGCCATCCGCCTGCAGCGCAAAGCCATCTTGACACACGCAGGACGCCACTCCGAGTTCGTCCTTCATGCACCCACCATTCACACAGTCCTTGATGTCGCAGGTGTCTGAGTGGGGGAGGGATGGGAGGATGAGGAGTGGAGGAAATGAGCGAGAATGATGTAGAAGGGACATGAAACCAGAGCAGCACACAGAGTGGTGCACAGAATCACATAGAGTAGCGCACAGCAGTTTCAGCACATACCTTTGCACGTCCTGCCATCCGCCTGCAGCACGTAGCCAGTGCTACATTCACAGGACGCCGCTCCAGATCCGTCCTTGATGCACCAGCCCCTCACACAGTTCTTGATGACGCAGGTGTCTGGGCAGAGGAGGGATGGGAGAGGGGAGGAGTGAGGAGTGGAGGAAATGGGCGAGGATGGTATTGAAGGGATGTGAACAGGAAGAGAGAAGTGAGCAGAAGTGTGAGTACGGACGTGCACGAAAAGAGTATTGGGAGGGTTGAGGGGAAAGGGGCCAAGCGAGGGAAAAGGGTAAAGAGCGGAAACTGAGTTAGAAAAAAGCAGGGAAGTGAAGGAGAGAGAGAGGAAAGGAGGGAGGAAAGGAGTGAGGAGGGGGAGAGGGAGAGATAAACAACAAATATAGGGCTAGTGAGAGCAATAATGAAACGTTTTACCGGCTAATCCGAACAATGATGCGTACCAGTGCAGGTGCCTTCCACCATCTAGAAGCCCGTGTTGCAAACACAGGATGCCACGCCTTGAACGTCCTTCACACAAGCAGCATTGGCACCACAGCTCTTGATGACGCAGGTGTCTGAAAGGAGACACGGAGATAAAAGGATTAGAAGAGTAAAGCACGAACAGAACAGACGGGAATGGGAGGGAGCAGCGAGAAGGAAATGGAGGTGGAGGATGGGAAGGAGAGAAGGCAGTGAGGAAATTCAAGAGGGAAGAGAAGGAGAGAGTGCAGAGAGGGAGAGAGGGAGATGCAATGTGAATGAATAGAGAACTAGCGAGACTATACAGCTAATCTGAAATATTCAACGCACACACCCCTGGGCAGGTTGTGTTGCGCTGCACAGCACGCACCAGTGCATGTGGAACCGTCGACCTGAAGAACAAAGCTAGCGTCGCACACGCAGGACGCCACTCCAGCACTGTCCTTGATGCACTTGCCGTTAATGCCACACTTCTTGAGCGCACATGTGTCTGGGCGAGTGGAGAGAAGGGGGGACGTGTGGGGTGAGAGGGAAAATACTAAGGGAGAGGCACATGATTCACAGCAGCACTCACTTTATAAGCAAAAGCAGTGTAAGACTGGTGTGCCTCACAAGGCATGGCACTTACCGGTGCACATCCTGCCATCCGGCTGCAGCACGAAGCCAGTGTCACACACACAGGACGCCGCTCCAGTCTCGTCCTTGATGCACCGGCCATTGGCACCACAGTTCTGCATCACACAGTTGTCTGGGTGGGGGGAGGGATGGGGGAGGGGAGTGAGGAGTGGAGGAAATGGGCGCAGATGATATAGGAGGGACGTGAAATTGGGAACAGTCACAGCAGCACACAGAGTAGCGCACAGATGATTTGGGTGAGGACGGTATAGAAGGGACGTGAACAAGGAAGGAGAGAGTAAGGAAGAGGGATGTGAGTAGAGACGCCCAGACAAGGGGTATGGGGAGGGTTGAGGGGAAAGAGGCCAAGCGCGGGTGGGGTGAGCAGCGACGATCGAGGGCTAGCATAGCGGAGCAGAATGACATTATTGAAAGGCTGACTGGAAAGATGATGCGTACCAATGCAAAGGCCTTTCACCACCTGGAAGCCCGTTCTGCAAACACAGGATGCAACGCCTTGAGCGTCCTTCACACAAGCAGCATTGGCACCACAGTTCTTGATGACGCACGTATCTGGAAGGAGGCATGATGATTTGAAGAGTACGACACGAAAGACAAACAGATGAGGATGGGATGGGGGGGGAGAGAGAGGAGGGAAGGAGGGCGTGGAGGGTGGGACGGAGAAAGGCAGGGAGGGAATGCAAGAGGGGAGAGAAGGAGAGAGGGGAGGGAATGAGAGAGGTAGACGCACGCATTAGTGCATGCGAAATTCAGCACGAAACAGTGCATGCGGGATTCAGCACGCACCAGTGCATGTGGAACCGTCGGGCTGCAGAGCAAAGGCAACGTTGCACACACAGGACGCCACTCCAGCACTGTCCTTGATGCACTTGCCGTTGACGCCACACTTCTTCAGCGCACATGTGTCTGGGCGAGTGGAGAGAGGGAAGGGAGGGCACGAGAGAGTGTTTGAGCCAATAGAGGGGCAATAAAGAATGGCTGGATATGAGATAGGACTGACAGCCCAAATGACAAGCCTTCACACGCTCTGACAGGGCCACTGGCACCTTACAATGCATCAGCATGGCACTTGACGGCATGGCCCATGGCATGGCACAAGGCATATGGCATGGCACATGGCATGGCACATACCAGTGCAAGTGACGCCATCAGGTTGCAGCACGAAGCCAGTGTCACACACACAAGACGCCACTCCTACAGCGCTCTTCACGCACTTGGCGTTACTCCCACACCTCTTGAACACACAAGCGTCTGCCAAGGGAAAGGGTAGAAAGGCATGTTAGTGAGTTAGAGAACGAAGCAGAGAGTGTGTAGGGGGAACTACATGACTGTCGCTTTCTAATCACACATCAGCACATACGCACCAGTGCATGTAGTCTTGTCAGCCTGCAGCACGAAGCCAGTGTTGCACACGCAGGACGCCACTCCGGCACTATCCTTGATGCACTTGCCGTTGACGCCACACGCTTTAAGTGCGCAGTTGTCTGGGAAGGGATGAGGGGAGGGAATTGGGCAAGTGACGAGAGATCAAGAACAACAGATGAAGGAAATTACTGCCCACGTGACAAGCCTCAGTCTGAAATCACAAAGCTCTAACAGAGCTGTGGTGAGCAGCAGTGACTCACCAACACAGCCAGTGGGCGTCATGGAGAATCCAACGTTGGAGACGCAGGTGGCGCTGCCCCTGTCCTTCACGCACACTGCATTGGCGCCACAGTTGCGCTGCACACACGAGTCTGGCAGAGGGAAAGAGAGAAAGTGGCCAGAGAAAAAGAGAGGGTCCAGGAGGGTAGGAACAGAGAGAAACGGAAGGGATGAGGAGAGGAAAAACGAGGAGACAAAGGCGTGGTGAGACGGAGCATGCACTCGTGGAGAGTAAAGAAAGGTGTGAGTGATCCGCCTGACAAGGTAAGATGCTTCAAACAGAGCAGCGCTACTAGGAGCGGTGAGAGGTGAGTAGTGAGTGGTGAATGGGAGGAATGGGTGAGTGTTCATCATACCCTTTGAGGGATTGAGGGCACGTAGACGGGCAAGGGTGCGTTTGAGGCGGTGGTGATGTGAGGCGGGTGACTTACGGTCGGCGGCGTTGCTTGAAGCAGCTGTCAGCAGGCCGTGCGAATGGCGAACGGCGGTCGCCCTAGGCGCACAGGCTGAGCGCGCATGGGGGAGAGGGATGGGGGAAGGCGGGGTGGGGGGGAAGGGGTGGGGAAGGGGAAGAACCGAGGAAGAACGGGATGAGAAAGGAAGGAGGGGAGGGCTCCTGGGGAGGAGGTGGATGACGTCAGCTGGTGTTGCTGTGTCAGGCGAACGGTATTGTTGAAAAAAAGGGGGGGGAGAGGGAAAGGGGAAACGGGGGAAGTGGGAAAACCTGATAGCATAGCAGACAACGAGAGCATACCGGAGAGCATGAGAGCAGCCAGTGCAGCGAGCAGGAGGCCCACGCTCCGAGTCACAGGCACGCCGTGCGAACCCATGATGGTGTGAGAAGGGCTGGAAGCACCGGCGGCGGCAGTGCTGGCAGAGGTGATGCGCCGATGAGAGACGATGAGCCTCCGAGGGCTCAGTCGTGGCGAGTCACGAGAGGAGTGGAAGGAGAGGCTATGTGTGGAAAGGAGAGGCGATTTGTGGTAGCGAGATTCGAGCGGCTTAAGTACCGTGAGACGGGGATCCCATCCCATCCACTCATCCCCGCCCGCACCCTCGCCCCCCCTCCCCGGATCGGCAGAGGAGGGGGAGAGGGCGGGAAGGAGAAGGGGTAGGAACTTCCTCCGTGAATGGCGGGATAACGCGCCGGTCTATCATGGTGAGGCGAATGATGCGGCTTCAATCGCAAGAGGTCGTCAAGGGTTGAGTTGAGAGGGGGAGGGGGAGGGATGGAGGTGGGAGGGGGAGAAGGGAGCTGCGCCCCCGCGGATGGGAGGAAATGGAGCTGCGCGCGCGGACGGGGCTGCGTCGCAGGTGGGCCACACAAAGGAGGCGTCAAGGGCTCATTCTGCGCCGCAGAATTGCTCATGAGACAAAACATGTGCTGTCGTACGCGAGATTGAACCACGCGAGTTGCAAAGTCAAGATCAACCTGACTACCAACGAGAGGAATGCGCGGAAGGGTGGCGCGCCTTTCCGCATTGCCTGCTTAATAGAGAAAGTCGCCGTTACGGGCAGACACGACATGCACTAGCGACGCATTCTTACTACGTGTCACCTTGTTGGGTACTACGTGACAGCTGTGATATCTCCGCGGAAGACCACAGGAACATGCGATGCTGTCATTGGCTGCGTATATTACCATACGACAAAGCTTGATCAAGAGCCACCCAATCCGATTCGTAATATCGGCTCGCTGAAGTAGCTTCAACCGCACAATCGATAGAAATTGCGGCGATATCGCACATGGGAACGACGATTGCAAACAGTGAGCGTTGTCGTTTTCTAATCAGGAGCCACCCAATCCGACTTCGCGTCGTCTCGGCTCGCAACCACACAATCGAAAGAGATTGTGGCGATACTATTATTGCACACGGGAACGACAATCCCAAACAGTGAACGTTGTCGTTTGCCGAGAATGTAGACTTTCAAGCACACGTGAGGCTGCAGTGGGAAAGACCTAATGTGTTCCATCCTCGCCTTACACGTGCGGCGAGCGAGCAGTCCAGAAGGAAAGGCCGGCGGATATTGGCAGAAGCACGGCGACACTGTACCTACCGCAGACTCCCTGTGGTGTGTAACAGTGTGGCAGCCGAATGCTGCCAAGTACAGTGCAGGTAGGCGGAAGTCAACCGCCACCTCACCCAAACCTCCGATTGGTCAAGCGCCTCAACCTGCAGCTGGGCGACCAGGTCCTAACGCGCAGCCCAACTCAAACCCTCGCGCGAAAATTACGAAACGCAGAACACCCAAGTTCCGACGCCTCGCCGACTTCGTCAACCATGCCGACGAAGTTACAGCCCCGTAATCAAACTCGCCGACCAATCCCGCATCGCAATCAATCTCTGAATTTCACGGCCAGGTTCATTTCAAGGGGTAGAGTTACCAATAAGAAATTCAGAGTGTCGCGACTTGGTAGTGCGACTCGATTTGTGAATGCACCATATAAAATTGTGTGTGAAATTTGTTGAAGTCATAGTGCAATTTCCAGAGAACTCCAGAGAGCACTCTATGCTCGTTTTCCTAGACTACTAAGGCTGCTACTTCCCTGCCAGCAACGTTTCACTGGTAATCAGAGCCTAGTTAGTCACTTCGCACGCTCCTGCCATATTCTAGACCCTATGGCTGGGCCGTCGGATATGACTCCGGAACTCTGGAACGAGTTTGTTGCCAATATGCGCCAAGAAATCGAACGCGAGGTGCGTGACCGAATCCTCGGCGAACTCCAGGAACGTGGACTCCTGGGCACACAGGTGCCGGCGCCAGCACCTGCTGTGGTCTCTGCACGTCTGAAAGCACCTGAACCTGAGCCGTTTGTCCCTGGAAAACGAGACTTACCTGTGCGAAGGTGGCTCTTCCAAATGGAGGAGTACCTCTCCCTGTGCCACGTGAACCAAGCCGAATGGGCGCGACATGCCGGCATGATGTTGCGAGGTGCTGCTGCTACTTGGTGGCAGAGCTGCCACGCTACAATTTCAACCTGGGAAGATTTTCCAGCATCGCTCACCATGAACTTCGAACCTGTCAACGCGATTGAACGCGCTCGTGACAACCTCGCTGCACTACGCCAACACCGCTCCGTAGCCGAATACGTCAACCGCTTCCGGGTGTTGGTGCTGGAGATTCCCGACATCCCTGCCTCCGAGCAGATGGACAAGTTCAAGCGCGGGCTGAAACCAAAAATTCGCACCGAAGTGGAGCTTCGCGGATGTACGTCGATGGACGATATGATCCGTGTGGCGGAACGCTTCGACACGATCAACTTCGCTGCGTTCCAACACTTCAATGGCATGATGGGTCACACGAAACACGCTCCAGCTGCTCGTGCAAATGGTCCTACACCCATGGAGCTGGGAATGATGGAGAGGCAGCCGCGAAATGCTTCAAACATCATGTGCTACGAATGCGGGAAGATTGGGCACATCAAGCGTAACTGCCCGAATCGTCGCAGCCCAAACGAAGGATGGGGAAACGGACAGCGCCAGTAGCAGTGGGGCAGACCTCTGGCGCGTCACATGCCCCGCTTCTCCCGACCCCATTATTCATCGGCACCTCTGAACTCTACACCACATCAAACGCTCCATTCCCCGCCATCATTCTATACGCAAAAATAAAGAATCGCTACGTTGACTTTCTGCTCGATACCGGCGCTTCCGCTAATTTTCTCTCTCCCTCAATTGCTGCTGAACTTTCTCTCCCTGAAGATCCCAACAGCAACCTGCAGGACGTGATCATGGCAGATGGTACCCGGCGGCGCTGCGGACCTACCCTCCTCCCCGTGCATTGCATGTTTGGAAGTCTAGAGGCGACGGTCAAGTTCGAGCAACTGCACCTTGAGGGGTATGAAGGCATTATCGGTCGGCCATGGTTGCACCAGTTTGGACCGCGGATTTATTGGCGCAACGGAACTGTCACCGTCGGCAACTATGACCTTCCATCCCACTCCTTTCGCCGGATATGGTCATCCCCAACCAGTTCAGCTTCATCAACCCATCCACCCCAACCTGCCCCATCTCCATCTTCCCATATCCCCCCTCTCCCTCCTCCTCGCATAGCTCCCGCGCAGCAGCCAACACCACCCGGCTCCCCCGAAGTGATCAACACACCTCCTCCTTCTCCACCCCACCCAACCCAGCAGCAGCCACGACGTCCCATCATCCGCCCCGCCTCTGAAGTTATCAACCCACCAGGCCCCACCCCTCCTTCACCACCTCCTCTTCATCATCTCCTAGTCATCTTCACGGCTCCCGAATCCGAAGCATCAGCTACTTCTCTGCCCCCAACCATACAGAATCTGCTCAACGGTTATACGGATGTGTTTCCCGATGATCTACCCGCCGAACTTCCACCCGAGCGTGCCATTGACCATAGCATCCGCCTCATTCCATGTTCTACACCGCCCGTGCGCCCAACCTATCGCATGAGCACCGCTGAACTTTTGGAACTACGACGACAACTCGACGACCTTCTTAAGAAGGGTTTCATCCGCCCCAGCACCTCACCATACGCTGCCCCCGTGCTTTTCACTCGCAAGAAGGAAGGTGACCTGCGCCTCTGCATCGACTACCGCGCCCTCAACGCCATCACTATCAAGAATAAGTACCCGCTGCCCCGTGTCGATGAGTTGTTCGACATGCTTGGGGAAGCAACGGTTTTCAGCAAGCTCGACCTACGCTCCGGTTACCATCAGATTCGCCTCGCCGAAGACGACGTCAACAAGACGGCGTTTCGCACCCGCTACGGCCACTTCGAGTTCCGAGTACTTCCGTTCGGCCTCTCCAACGACTACCATTGGCCACGCATGCATGCTGATGTGCGTGACTTCATACGCACCTGCCGCACCTGCCAACAACTCAAAGCACGCACCACCAACCGCTACGGACTCCTTCAGCCCATCCCTCCACCTACCAAAGTGTGGGATGAAGTCACCATGGACTTCATCATGGATCTGCCCCGCACACCCCGCAGCTACAACGCTATCCTAGTCGTCGTCGACCGACTCTCCAAAATGAGCCACTTCATCCCTACCCACACAACCATCACCGCACCCGAAACAGCCCGCCTTTTCTTCGATCACATAGTCCGCCTACACGGTCTCCCATCCGCCATAATTTCAGACCGCGACCCTCGCTTCTTGAGCAACTTTTGGCAAAGCCTCTTTAAGCTTCATGGCACAAGGCTAAAGTTTTCTACAGCGTATCACCCCGAAACGGACGGACAAACTGAACGAATGAACCGCACGCTTGAAGATGCCCTTCGTGCACAAGTTACCGCTCGCCAAACTGATTGGGATCTCCACCTCACCGCCATTGAACTCGCATACAACAGCACACCCCACCTTTCCACCGGTCAGTCACCCTTCTACCTCGCAGCCGGACAGCACCCACGCCTCCCCACAACCCCACCCTCCCACCTCTCACACACACCAGCAGCCTTTGAGTTCCTCACTTCACTCGAATCAGCCATTGATGCCGCTCGCACCTCCATCCTTAAAGCACAAGCAAAGCAGACCTGCTATGCCAACTCTCACCGCAAAGACATCCACTTCAACGTTGGTGATCAAGTGCTTCTCTCCACTGACCACCTACCTCTCCTACGCAAAGGCACAACCAGAAAACTCGCCCCTCGCTTCATCGGCCCGTTCACCATCACCCGAGCCCTCTCACCAGTCACCTACCGTCTCCAACTACCCAGCTATATGAAGATTCACCCCGTCTTCCATGTCCAGCGCCTCCGCCCTTTCCGTGCACCTTGACACGACCGTCCAGCCACACGCCAACTGCCACCGATGTTCGAAGGCAGCCCCGACCTGTTTGAGGTTGCATCTATCACTGCTCACCGTGACACACCTCATGGTCGTGAGTTCCTCGTTCGTTGGAAAGATCAGCCGACTAGTGAAGACTCGTGGGAACGTGAGAGCCAACTTGACCGTGCCACAACTGCTGTGAATGGGTACTTGACCAGCCACGGTTTGGCGCCGTGGACGGCGCCACTTGGAGGGGGAAGTAATGTAACAGTGTGGCAGCCGAATGCTGCCAAGTACAGTGCAGGTGGGCGGAAGTCAACCGCCACCTCACCCAAACCTCCGATTGGTCAAGCGCCTCAACCTGCAGCTGGGCGACCAGGTCCTGACGCGCAGCCCAACTCAAACCCTCGCGCGAAAATTACGCAACGCAGAACACCCAAGTTCCGACGCCTCGCCGACTTCGTCAACCACGCCGACGAAGTTACAGCCCCGTAATCAAACTCGCCGACCAATCCCGCATCGCAATCAATCTCTGAATTTCATGGCAAGGTTCATTTCAAGGGGTAGAGTTACCAATGAGAAATTCAGAGTGTCGCGACTTGGTAGTTCGACTCGATTTGTGAATGCACCATATAAAATTGTGTGTGAAATTTGTTGAAGTCATAGTGCAATTTCCAGAGAACTCCAGAGAGCACTCTATACTCGTTTTCCTAGACTACTAAGGCTGCTACTTCCCTGCCAGCAACGTTTCATGGTGCCTAGTGCAGTCGTGGGCATTGAGTGAGAGACGTCCTCGCTGGTTGGGGGAGATCTAAGTAGAAATGAAGGAACTTACCGCGCGGAGGCCCCTATTGCGCGCAACAACACAGGTTTCACTCCGCGTGGAAAGAGAGCTAGCGTCCATGTCAGCAAACATCAAAGAGAATTGCTAGTCAAGGTTCTACACCAATTAGTGCCTGACTTCACTCAACCTACTAACTGTGAAATATACGAAATTGAAACCTAACTCACTTTTCGCCTTCCTCCGCCAAACTTGCTACGGGAAGGAAGGGACAAGTAGGCAACAGTGAGCATGAAACGGGTCACGTCCACAACTGTACACGTGTTTATTGCCAGCATACAATTTCCTCGTGTTCAAATTGATCCATCTAAATCAGGGGTCTGTTTTTCAGGGTTTCTAGTCACGCCTCAGTGATAAGCGACTCTATGCACAATCCGGTGTATAAACCAATTGCATGTCTGTGACTTTTGGCTCAAGTCACGACTCTTTACCAGGGCAATGGCTATATATTGGTCTTTCTTTAACCAAATACAACAAAGTATAAGCATAGAGCACCTAGAAATTTTGACAAAAAAAAAAAAAAAAACCAAAAAAACAATAGCCCAACTGCATGCATAGGAAACTGTAAGGAATTTTCATATCCCTTACTGCGAGCCTGACCTCACCGCGTACATCACTGTTCATGGACTTGACCGTTCATGTTACTGTCTGCCGATTTGTGCAGGGCAAGTGTGATTGGCTTATCTGTAGAGGTAAAGTTGTCTTAGGGTACATTCCGCTGTGGACCATGTCCCAATCGATATGTCCCAATCACGATTTGCTCGATTCACGCTCAAATGTCTCGAGTTGGCATGTCCCAATCGATCGATGTATTGCGACTCTGTACAGACGCGCGACAATTATATGCGAACGTCTGTTATTGGTCAAAGAATAAACATGCCCACTCGTCCTTGCGCAGCACATACACCAACACCTCCAGGTCCGCGGTAGATCCTTGGTGATGTCCAAGGAGGTCGCGGAGGGTACAGTACTCCTCCGCAGTGCCAATAATTGCCTCAACGGCACGTACATCTGCAACTCCTCTTCTAGTACGTGAGTTTTTATAATAAAAAATAGCACAGACACCATTACTACACACGCATAATCCACGTATGATGGCAGAGCCTAGAGCCATCCCCTTCATCCTACGCCTCCTCGTCGCCTGGGTCACCTAATACTACACCATTTTCTACAAAAGTGTCGCGAAGTCCTTCGTAGGCCTCATAGAGTCTGGTGTGTTTGAGGACGCGGACGAGCAGTCCTCATCGTCCGGGGATGACACCGGGGAGAAGCGCCGTCACAGAGCGAGTGTACGGCGGCGACGTCATACTTTGTGGGTTGAAAGACCTGCAACACATGCGGGAGAACGATTTCCAAGAGATATTCAGGATCAACAGCGCCATACTTGAGCATGTAAAGTCTGGGATGTCAGAATGTTATCTTATGCTCTAGCCTGTAGTGGGGTGCTCTATAGCGAGTACAACCCTTCTAGGGTTTGCTATTTGTATCCTCATTCTTGCTAGTGCAACTCTCTTCTTTCTTCTAAACTTTTACATGCTATTAGAGCAGGTCGATCCCCTTGGATCGATCCTGTGGGTGGCTTACCACCTCGTTGCTTCTGCTGCAACCACTACCACTACTCTCTGAGCCGCACGCCCCGTGGTGTGCGGCAGTTTTTTCTTCCCGCTGTGCGCCCCGAGGCGCGCGGCGGTTTTCTGCCCGCCGTGCGCCCCGAGGCGCGCGGCGGTTCTCTTCCCGCTGTGCGCCCCGAGGCGCGCGGCGGGCTTCTGCCCCGTCGTTCGCCGCGTCGCCCTCTGGAGGCGCCGCGACGGGCGACGGGGACCCGCGCGTCGTCCCCCGTCGCCCGTCGAGGCCTGCGCGTGGCCCGTACAGGCAGCGCGCGGCTCGTACGGGCTGCGCCAGGCCCGTACGGGCTGCGCCCGACCCGCGCGCGGCCCGTACGGACTGCGCCAGGCCCGCGCGCGACTCGTACGGGCGGCCCCAGGCCCGCGCGCGGCCCGTACGGTCGGCGCCAGGCCCGCGCGCGACTCGGGCCGCCTGCGCGCGGCTCGGGCGTCTGTACCAGGCCCGTGGTGGGCCCGTTCCTCGATTCCCTCGCCCTCCCCGCTGTCCCCCCGTGCTTCTACTGGCGTCCCACCCCTCCTCCACCCCATTCTCCTGAATTAGGGTTTGGGGGTGAGGGGTATGGGGGTGACTGTACTGTGTGCCGTTCCCTGCTCCTCCTCCTCCTCCGTCTCCCTGTGTTGCAGCTGCCGCTGAGGGGGGGTGGACGTGTTGGAGCCAGTGGAGTGGTACTAAGGGGGGGTGAAGGGGGAGTGGAGCTAGCGATGTAGCAGCGGGTGTGTGCCAGGGGGAGTGGGATAGTTTGGGGAAGCTGCATGGAGGTTGCCGTCGTGTCGCTAGCAGCACCTGTATTCCGGGGAGTTGCTCTGGTAGCCCAGTCGTAGCCAGCTGTGTTAGCCGCCCGTGGGTCTGTTGCTCGTCTGCCGCTACTTTAGCCGCGGGGCCAGTTACTCCAGTATTCCGGAGCGTTGTTCCGGTAGTCGCTGTGCCAGTGTGCCTCCTGTTGCCCGAGTGCCTGCAGCTTCAGCCGTCGCCTCCTATCTTCTCTCCTCTCACTCTCTCTCCTCCTCACTTGCCCGTTGTGACTACCACTAGCGTTGCTCATAATTGTGAACCTTAAACTATTGCTTCTTGAACTTGTGCTCAGAATGTGTGGTGACATTGTGATCCACCCTGAGCTTGTACTGCTTTGTTTGCTCTGCTCATTACACCCCACTTTGGCTATGGGGGTGTGTCAGAATGTTATCTTATACTCTAGCCTGTATTGGGGTGCTCTATAGCGAGTACAACCCTTCTAGGGTTTGCTATTTGTATCCTCATTCTTGCTAGTGCAACTCTCTTCTTTCTTCTAAACTTTTACATGGGATGCGATAATATCTAGAGCCCATCGTCCATCGGTCGATAATCACAATGGACACTATTTTGCTCATCCCAATTAAGTACTTGGCGAGTGGGATATCATACGTCGACATTTCGTACCTGTCCGGTGTCTCCACGACACTTTGCCACGAGCTTGTTGACGTGTTCCTCACCGAGTTCCCCTCAGTCTTCAAGGCCGCCTGGGTGCGCTTTCCCACACGCGATGAACTTCCCGAGATGGCGCGTGAATTCGCTGCCATCAAAGGTGTACCTGCAGTGGTGGGGGCTGTGGACGGGACTCACATCCACATGAAAGGGATGGAAGGGCACAGGGCGGAGTACTAGACACGGAAGTCGGTCTACGCTGTTCAGCTCGAAATCACGTGTGATGCACGAGGCAGGATATGGGATTACCTCATCGGCTATCCCGGCAGCGCGCACGACATGCGGGTTTTCAAAGAGTCTGCACTACTTGAGAGGTTACACAACGGGGACATAGACTCATACCAGATTGTTGGGGAGACGACCTACCCGCTACGAGAATACTGCCTAACCCCCCTGCATGCTCCGCGCGGAGAGGATTTAATGGACGATTGGGCCCAATGTTTCAACTACTGCCAGAGCGCCACACGCATGGCGGTGGAAAGGTGCATCGGCGCCTTCAAAGGGAGATGGCGCATCTTCGGCGGGCGCAACGACTGCAAGTTGTGGCGCATTCTCACAGGAGCCACGTATTGTGTGATCCTGCACAACATGTGTGAAGAGATGGCAGTCGTAAGGCGCAAGAACATGGCCTGGTTCAATCTGCCCCGCAACCGCGACCCTTGGTGGACACGGGGTGCCATTGCGACACACAAGTGGGAACCCTGTGTTCCCCCAACACCACAGGCTCTGAGAGAGAGGCAGAAAAGACTGGGTGAGGCCCTACAGGACTCTTTCGCTAATTGTCGGCGCCGCGCACCCATATCTCTACATCCTCAGCACCCGGAGTGACGGTGTTGACGTCGCCAACATCGTTGCCATGCTGTGCGGCTTCGGAGGTGGTGCGGACTCCCCGCGTGGTGGAGGAGGGCTGAAATCGGGCGGCACCTAGTGCACGTCCGGGGGCGCCAATTCAGTCATGCGCTCGCGGGCAAGTCGCATGTCCTGCGCCATCCATTCACGGACGAGGCTCTCAATGCGCGTCATCGCGTCATCGTGACAATCCTTGATGGTCGCGGAGACCAGCATGGCTGCTTGCATGGTAGCCGTCTCATGCACCCGTGCGCGCCTGGGTGTTGCGGTGGTCGGCGACGGCGGAGCTGTGATAGAGGAGCGGGGAAAATAGTAGAATCGATTTGTCCGACTACCCTTGTTTGATGTAACCTGCATATTTGCGAATAAAATAAACGGATTCTTCGCATTCAAACTACGATAAGTTAAACGCATATCAAGCTAGAGGTGATAGAAGCACGACTCACCCGTAAAGGTTGGTGTTGACGTGCCTGGCTGAGACGAACTTGGAACCTCCATGCCGGCCGGCACGTTGACGTCCGTGGCGCCGCCGCCGTCCACCGCATGCGGTGCGGCTGCGGCGGTGTCTTGGTTGTGCAGCTCCAGGTACGGATAACACGGTGGTTTCTCAACCGAGCCGTGGCCTGACCCCCCGTCGCCACGCTTGTACTCCCGCCAGAGGAGCGTCAAGTTACGCCACTGCTTCTGCAACGCATTGACACCCCTGCACCATCTAGGGTTCGACTCCTTGATGTGCGCAAGTAGTCGGATCCAGTATTGCGTCCCCTGCTTCCCCTTGAGAGACTCGAGCTCCTCTTCCATGAACCACTTCGCCGCGGCGAATATGGTGCTCTCCTTGTCCGACCATAAGCCCCTCTCGACTGGTGCAGCCGACCGCTTCTTCCGTGGCTCCTGGCGTGGCGGTGGTGGCGCCACCTTGCCTTTGCCTTTGTTCGTCCCAAATGCGCGTGCGGCGCTCCGTTTCGGCGGCTGAGACACAGGTTGCGCTTCCTCCTCCGCGTCGTCCTCGGCGTCCTCATCTTCGTCGTCGTCGTCGCTGGGCGACATCCTAGCGTCTTCCGGTTCCTCCTCGTCGTCGTCGGTGTCGAGGCCTTGTTCGGGGTCGTCATCATCGTCATCGTCAGCATCTTGCTCCATGACAGGCCGGTGTGTTGCAGCCGTTCTTGCAGGCTGACGGCGCACACGTGATGGGGCCGCTCTGGGCGACTGCGCACTGGATCCCTGGCCGTCAAGGACGGGTGGCGCGGATAATCCCTTCGGATGGCGCCCGTTGGCGATCTGCTGGTTCATCCAGCGGATGTAAGGAATGTCGTTAAGATCCTTGGGGCACTCGTTAAGGGCCTGCCCCTTACGCGTACGAGCCATGCTGGCGGATAGAGTGCTTCTAGATCCAGATGAGTAGGGAGCGGGAGCAGAGAGAAATGAACAGATTGGAACAGGAAGGATGGTGCACGAAGATGAACCCGTAAGGTGTTGGGAGGTGGAGGAGTTGTGGGGAAGGAGCATTGGAACTGGGGGAAGGCGTGCTGGCGGGGACGTGCGCGTCCCTGTCAATAATTCCGGGTGTGTCATCTGGACCAATCACGACGCAGCGTACGCGTTGATGGGGATAGTGGGTTTTGGGGAGATGTCGTCTAGATACATGCTGCATGTGTTGACATTTGGCACCGCGTGCGACTAATGGAATGTGTTGCAATTAGCTGGCGACTGCTCCGTGTTTCACGTTGTCCAATGATAAATACATTTGGCGACAACCACGGGCGGCCCGGCATTCTGACACCTGGCAGCATATGCTGTAGGTACGCGTCACAATCGATTCGGACACATCGATTGGGACATGGTCCACAGCGGAATGTACCCACGAAGCCCCTTCGCCCCTTCGCCCGGAGCGACACGGCTAGAAGTGACTGTAAGCAAAACAACAATCATAATATTCAGACTCGCGCTCATCTCTAGCCGTCAAGTTGGCAGATTTACTGTGGCTTCTTGTGTATCATTGCGTAACGGACTCCATGTGGTTTTATGATTAGATACAATTATTCGGACTCAAACGCATTACGAGCCCAGTGACAGTCATCGTGTACCGAGCAGGTGACAGAACACAATAACTCCATTAAGTCATCTATGTTTTTTATACTGCTGCCAGATCTCCCTTACCATCATCACTCATGTCTTGTAACAGGGTCATCAATCTCCTTATCGGCTCATCAATCCATGTCATCTCAGTAGCCGCCAGTATCAAATGGCAGCACACACCCATGCCACCTATTCTTGATGTTAAGTTACAGTGCACAAATGATGCACCACAATCTCGGCCAACACCACCATAACCATCACTGCCAGCGGCAGCAGCAGCAGCAGCATCACATTTATCACTGCCAGCAGCACTGGCCGATCCGCAAGAGTAATGCTGCTGGTGAGTGCACACAGTGACAGGCGGGTCGACCAAAGGAGCAGCCGGTGGAGCTGTTGAAGCCAGTGCCTTATCGGAAATGCTTGTAAAAGGGACGGAATGAGCCGAGGCACGAAGTGCTGTGGAGCGTGCGGATTCCACGGCGTGGGATATGCACTCTGCATGCTGGAATCAGGGTTTAGGGTAGGGCCGGGACCAGAGCACAAAATGACACAGGAAAGAGTTGGGTGCTGACTTGGCGTAACCAGCGAACGATTGTACTTGTGTTTGCCAAACGATAGCCTGTTGAGATGCCAGCAAGATACACAAAGGCTGGAAATGAGAATCTACTGCTGCTGTTGGTACAAAAATATGTACATACTTCAACTGAACAAGACAAGGCTTGCCATGCAGGGGAGGGCACTACTTGCAAGCCCATCACTCATACCTGCTCTGCTGCAAGCCCATCACTCATACCTGCTCTGCTGCAAGCCCATCACTCATACCTGCTCTGCTGCAAGCCCATCACTCATACCTGCTCTGCTGCAAGCCCGTCACTCATACCTGCTGCAAGAACGGGCGGGCGGCACGAAGGTCTTCATGGGAGGATAGTGAGGTCATGTGAAGAAGTGTTGCTGATATCTGCCATGCACATGATGTGGTGTAAATGCAGGTGCACCAATGACACACCAGCCTCAAGGAGCCGCGTGAAACATGTTACGGCATGGTGTGTGCCTTGAATGGCATGACTATAACCATGCGAGTCAAGAATGCACGCCTTGGCAGACCTCGAACCCTCTCCGTTCATTCCACCATACCTCGCCCGCATTCACCACCACTCCACAATCCCGCACCACCTCCATTCCATTACCCCCATACTGAACTCGCCCCCCACCTGCCTGATCTATGACCACTCTGTACTGCTGCTCCTCGGCACTCTGCTGCTCGCCCCATTGGAAAACCACTGACACATACACACCCAGGACTGCAACCATACCCAACGCCGCCTTCTCACACTAGTCTTATGGTGCTACCTGCTCTCCTCCCCACCGCCCCTCCTTTCCCCCCCCCTCCCCACCCCTCCAATCCCCCCCTCTTCCTCCATCTCTTCCCCCACCGCACCTGATCCCTCAGCACCGGCTTGTACCGCTGCTCCACCGCACTCTGCTGTTGATCCGCCGCATCAAGAGAGGCGAGCGAGGAGACCAGGGCGCGCAGGATAGCACCGAATTCTGCTCCATAGTCTGACATTCGAGGGAGTGAGAGCGGCGCCGGGTGGGGAAACACGAGGGGAAGCGGAAAAAGGGACGGGGTGGGGAGGATGGGTGCAATCAGGCAGCAGACTCGCTCCATTTTCCGAAACATAGTCTGCCGTTGGAGGGAGTGAGAAGGGGAAGTGAAGGAAGGGAGTGGGTGCAGAAAGGAAGTAGAGATGGATGGGGAAGAGTGGATGGGGGACCGTAGGACTCGTGTGATGCATCTGGGGCCAGCAGGGAAGATAGACAGGCTACAGGGATGAGACGGACCAGCTTTCAGCTGCAACAGCTTCCACCTGCCCAAGATTTCACCTCTTACCTGCCCCAGATATCACCTGCCCCAGATATCACCTGCCCCAGATATCACCTGCCCTGGCGCATGGCTGGATTAGTGCAGCAGCAGCATGGATGCGAATCTTGAAGTTGGAGGAGCGCTGCAAGAGAGCCTGCAGTGTGGCGAGAGCGGGGGCAGTCCTGATGGGGGGAATGGGGAGGAGTACGGACGGGGGACGGGGAAAGGGGAGTGGCGGAAGGTGTTAAGGGGATGGACTGAAAGGGCAGCAGCGGCGTGGATGCGAATCTTGAAGTTGGAGGAGCGCTGCAAGAGAGCCTGCAGTGTGGCGAGAGCGGGGGAGGTCCTGATAGGGGGAACGGGAAGTGGGGGCGTGAGGAAGGGGGACAGGGGAAGGGTGGAGGCGGAATGGGGGATGGGGAAACAGGGTTCAAAAGCTGCAAGTGACGTACCAGGGAGAGGAGGGTGTTCTTTTGAGGGGCCTCAAAGCTGCAAGTGACGTACCAGGGAGAGGAAGGTGTTCTTTTGAGGGGCCTCAAAGCTGCAAGTGACGTACCAGGGAGAGGAAGGGAGGTGCACGGAGGGGTTCTGGAGGAGTAGGGAGAGGGCTGCACACACACTCCACTGCACCTGCGTTTGGAGAGAGCCGAGGTGGGGGAGGGGGGGGAAGAGAGGTGGGAATACGAGATGTAACGAGACGGTTGCAGAGACGCGAGGAAAAAGGGGGGGGATGGAAGAGACATACATAGAGAGGGCTGCAAACACATTCCACTGCATCTGTGCATGATAAGAATAGCAAGAAAGTGGGAAAAGGAGAGGGTCAGGGCACGGTGGGAACTGGAATGCGAGAAGTGGAGAGGGATGGGAAGGGAGAATATGAACAGGAAAACACGGCGATGAGAGGATGAATAAGACCAATCAAACACACTCAGTCCACCTCCTCTTCTGCTCCCCTTTCCCACTCCCCACTTTCCACTTTGCACTCCCCACCCCCCACCCCACTCCCCACTCCCCACACCCCACACACTGTCACTGTCACATCCCATACACTCGCCTTGGGGTTGGTCTGCAAGGCGCATGACAGAATGGCTTCCACCACTCGCTCTTGCCACACCCCCGCCACTCCACCACCGCTCCCCCTCTCCTCCTGCAACTCCTTCCCTGCGATTGCCTCCTGTTTGTCGGCTTCCCTCCTCCTCCTATGCATGTCAACGCCCCCAACTGCTTCTGCATCTCCCTCTGCAGGAGCAGCCCCTGCTGCTGCTTCTTCTGATGCAAGCCGCACGATCTGAGTCAAGCCAGCATCAGCTGTGCTGCTGCCACAGCTATCTACGGGCCAGTGCTGTGTCTGCTCTTGCTCATCTCCCTCGTTACAGTCACTACTCTTTGACCTGCTGCCACCACATCTCCCGTCCACCTTACACGCCTCCGATGCTTCGCCCCCCACTGCCAGCTGACTTTCACCGCAGCACCGGCAGTTACTCTGGAGGCGCCTCACCTGCCCTCCTCCTGCCTCAGCTTCCGCTGAGCAGCATTTCTGAGACGCCTCAAGAGACTCAGTGCATGTCGAGGGGCATGAGAGGCGTGTGGCAGTGGCAGTGTAGCGACCACAACAGCACTCTCTAGTAGGGCTTGCTGCATCGGTGTGTGGGCAGCAGCGGTGGCAGAAGCAGCAGCAGCGGGCGAGCGCCCCCAACAGGCGAACGGCACTAGCTTTCACCTGAGAGAGAGGCGGGGGAGGGATGGAGGGATGGAAGAGAGATGGCGGTGAAATGGGGGAGAGACGGGGGAGCATGGGATGGAGGGGCAAGGGGTGGACAGCATCCACTGGCTGAAACGGATATTGCAAAGACCTATCAATAAGTGCCTTGTTGCTGTCGCTTGCTTATATGGTTACGATTGTCAAATTACGGTATTGCTGCCCTGCTTATCATGAAGTACCTAATCCTTCTCGTCTCGGCTACTTATCATAACGTGCTGCATCTTTTTCGTTTGCTTACCATACATACAGTACCTTATCATTGTCGCCTGCTCCTTTCACAGCCGCGCTGGCAAGAGCTTCAACGTCGGATGCGCCCCACCAGGCGGCACTTGATTTCCCACCAATGTGCGCCAGGGCGCCCACCACGCTGCTAGAACATTCCCTGCTACAGTGATCAGTGCTACAGTGCATGCTGCTACACTGCATACTGCTAGAGTGCGTGCTGCTACAGTGCATGGGCGGTAGACGCTCTGAGATGTTGGCAAGAGACCACATTGCAGTAGAGCGGACCTGCGGTTGGGGGTAGTGGTGCGAAAGAGAGAAGAAGAGTTATGTTTTACGCATGGAAGGGGGATGGATGGAAGAAAGATGAAACAGATGGCAGCATTGCAAGGTAAAAAGGTTAAAAAATGGGGAGGATAAGAAGATGCCTAATAAAGGAACGGTAAGAAATAAAGATACCAATGAGAGAGTTTAAAGGACGACCCAAGACGAGAAGTTCATCGAAGTGGAATGAACATAGTGGTGCGATGCATTAGAAGAAAGATGTTGAACGAGTCGCATGGGGAGAGATGTTGAACGAGTCGCATGGGGAGAGATGTTGAACGAGTCGCATGGGGAGAGATGTTGAACGAGTCGCATGGGGAGAGATGTTGAACGAGTCGCATGGGGAGAGATGTTGAACGAGTCGCATGGGGAGAGTCGCACGGGGAGACGGCACAGTGTGCAGCGATGGCACTCACAAGCACGGAAGAGGAGGAGCACGCTTGAAGCAGCAGCATGCGGCTGTGGGAGAAGAGGCTCAATGCAGGCGAGGAGGCCAAGTTGTGACCATTGTGAGCTGCCTCGAACGAGGAAGCTGACAATGACGATGGCTGGTGGTCTGTCGAAGTCCTTTACATTCAAAGACGCCCAGGAGAGAGAGACAGGTGGAGGGCAGGTGAGGTGAGAAAAGAGGTCTGTGTAGAATGAAGGAGTGAGGTGCTGAGGACTACTGCTGCAAATGGATGGACCGCATGACGTGGCAGCGCAAGTGGGAGGCACCACTAATAAGGCGTTGTTCACGTGCTTGCGGCCGCTCATTGCTTTATCCAGCACTCCGTTGCTTGCCGTTGTGCACTGAAACCAAGGCATGCGAAGCTCACTTGTTACCTGGTTACAAGTTACCAGTATGTGCACACCATACAATCCCGGTTCCGGCTCCCGCCATTGGGCAGCGTTCGCTGTGCGGGCAGCAATCACTGTGCGGGCAGCAATTAATGTGCGGGCAGCAATTACTGTGCGGGCAGCAATTACTGTGCGGGCAGCAATTACTGTGCGGGCATAATCCAACTCACTGTGCGGGCATGAGGTGCGGCACTATGATTCCAAAGACCTTCATCAGTGCTGCTTGCACTGCTGGCACCGACTCTCCTGCTGCCAGGGCGAACTGGACGACGAAAAGGAAGGCAAGGGTAAGAGGAAGACAATGAATGGTGAGGACAAAGTGAGATGCCATTTAGCTTCACTTGCACGTCTGATCTTATTGTGGTAAAGAAACGAGAAATTCCTCCCAGTACAACCGAGAGGGTTGGGAGGCAGCAAAAGTCTGCTGACTAGGCAAGGCTGTACTGGCGACCTATGGGTTAGAGAGGTGGACACGTGGAAGCATACCATTGGCTGGAAGATGACATCATGCATGTGGGAGAGGTACTGCAGGGTGGGCGCTGGCATGTGCAGGAAGCATGTGAGCGCTGCCATGCGGGACTGGCAGGGGGGACAGAGAGGGCGAGGGCAGGGGTGGATGGAGAGGCAGGCTGGTTGGAATAACAACTTTGAGCTGGCAGTACCATTCTGTGCCATGCTGCACTCCTTATCGCCATACCATGTCATGTCCTTTATTACCATAAGATACCCGTTATTGCCATAAGATACCCTTTATTGCCATGAAATACCCTTTATTGCCAGAACATACCCTTTATTGCCAGAACATACCCTTTATTGCCAGAACATACCCTTTATTGCCATAACATACCCTTTATTGCCATAGCATACCAGCCTTGAGAAGGGGCGGCGCCTACTTAGTTGGTGCGTATGAGGTGGGCAGTACCCACCTGAGTACCATACTCACCACTCTTCAATACCATACTACCGCTTATTACCACACTGTACCATATCATCCCTCTCAAACCGCATGCACTGTACCGGGAAAGAAAGGTGTCGAAGGAGGGGTGCCTATCAGGTGGCCAGCGCCAACCTGATTACTATACCCCACCACTCTTAATCACCACAACATACTGGATGACCCCTTACTACCGCACTGTACCGCGGGAGAGGGGTGTCGAAGGAGGGGCGGCAGCAGCCCAAGGCGGAGTACTTCAGCCCACTGTGAGGCGCCAGGAGGAGGGACACGTGGCAGTAGTTGACTGGATGAAGATAGCCCACTACTGATCGCAGCAGAGGCAGTAGGTACAGCAAGCAAAGCTGCAGAGGCGCAGGCTGTAGCGCAGGGTGATATGGCAGGGTTGTAGGCTGTGGGTGCATCTGTAGCAGGAAGGCAGGCTGTAGCAGAACCTGCTAAGTCAGGGGCACAGACTGTTGCAGCTGTAGCACTCGTGGCAGCTGTGGCGGCTGTAGCAGCGGCACGCACTGTATTAGCACAGGCAGGTGGGGAGACAAGGGCCAACTCCGGCTGTTGTTGCTGGTGGTGGTGGTGGTGGTGATGCTGCTGCTGCTGGGGGCAGGCACAGCAAGGCTGGCAGCAAGAGCAAGAGCAAGCAGGCAACAGTCTCGTGCGAGTGTTCCAAGTGACCTTCAGCTGCCGCCTCATGCCCTCGCCCTCTTCCTCCCCCTCTCCTCCACCTCCACCTCCTAGCTCCACCTCGTGCTGATGCCCGACATGCCCTGCACTGCCTGCCGCTGCAGCTGCTGCTGCTCCTCGTGTGCCCGCCAGAGCAATGAGTTGTTGATTCATCAACTGTGGTGGCACAATGGTAGCGGGGAGAGGAAGCAGAGAAGGGGCTTTTAAGGGACGACGAGACGTGACTCGACCTCATGATGCTGCCCTGTTGCCTGCCAGAGCGATGAGCAGATGGTCCAGAAGCTGTGGTGGCGCAAGGGTGGTGAGGAAGGGAAGGGGAAACAGCAGCAGATCAATTCAATTGTGAAGAGAGAGGAGGGACAGAAAGGCAAGAGAACTGAAGCAAGTGCCCTCTGCGCTGTGCCTACCTCGGGGAGGCGTTGAAGCTGTTTCATTCTTACCGACAGCGGTGGTCGATCGCACTGCAGAGGGGCCAAGCAAATGCCCTCTGCGCCAAGACCATGGCGGCCTTTGAGGCCGAGGCACCCACATCTGCCTACGAGGACGAGCCTCTCGACACGGGCGACCTTCTGCACGTCCTCGAGCCGGACTTTGAGCTGCCTTAGGCAGCCCCGTTGCATGCCTGTGCCTGATTCTATAAACTAGCTCGTTGTGTTGCATGTTATCACAACGAAGGACCATACGAACTGAAGGAGAGACTGTGCGGCAAGAACAGGGCTGTGAGTGAGAAGTGCACCTTGAGTGCTGCAGTTAGGAGGCGGTCAGTGAGAGCGGATTCAGCTTGCAGCGAGCAGCTGCTGTCAGGGTGTGCACTAGCAGGCTGATCTGGCACAGCGGTGTGTGTCGCTGAGCTGGCGGTGTCAGGCTTGGCAGGAGGGTTGAGTGTGGCAGTGATGAGGGCAAGGAGGTCGGGCCAGAGCGATTCGGCAGCAGATGCAGGGAACGTGGACACCCATGCTGCTAGCGCCTGGAGATATGGGGGAAATGGGAGGAACAGCACCCACGAGGAGGGGGGGTGAAGGGAGGAGGGAGGGAGTGTGGCGGGTGAAAACTGGCGTGATCGAGAGGCTTGGAGGGAGATGCACGGAGTGTGGGCACTGATGCAGGTACGGCTTGGTGTAGAGAGGGTATTTTTGAGACGTCTCAAAAATACCCTCTCTACACGTAGATGCACGGAGTGTGGACACTGAGGCCGGTACGGCTTGGCGGGAAGTATATGAGGGAACCGAGGAAGGTGAGCAGGGAAGGAAAGAAATCAGGCAACAGGAGGATTTCTGATCAGTTATTGTCATAAGAGTTGTGATCGAAACAACAATATGTAAACAGAGTGCAAATTTTAGCCCAATAACATTTACTTGCAGCCTCAAAAGGGCGACAGCTGACTAAACATTGAACTTATGTACCCTACCCAGGGGGATGCACGCGGGTGGGCGGGACTATCAACCAGCGTACAGGGTGCGTACCTGAAGGGCTTCGACGCGCACAGCAGTGGGAATGCAGGGCTGCACCCACGAGAGCAGGCAGGTGAATGTGATGGTTGATGGTGTGGTGCTAGTAGCTGTGGTGGCTGGTTGTGGGGGAGGGAGTGTGGAGCGCAAGAGGACGTGGCCCAGGAAGGCTGTTGCTGCTGCTGCTGTGGCTGCCTGCTCACACACGCACACACCCAAGCACACATATGCACACATACACAGATACACACACAGGCACGCTCGCACGCATGCAAGCACGCACCAACACAAACACACACATGCACAGAGACACACACACATTTGCACGACCCAAGACACGTGGCATGGGAGTCACCATCCACCTAGGTGGCATATGCATGAAACTCAGAGAAAATTTTAGGCGCCTAAAAAAACGATCCAAGACACGTGGCATGTGACACGTGGCACAGGAGTCACCGACCACCATCCACGAGGACGGGAGGAGGGTGGACGAAGGGAGGTTGCACATGAATGAAACACAGAGTACCTAGCTAGGAACCGGGCCAGGGGGAAGCGGACAAGAGGTCTTATCATATGTGCGTGCTTACAGAAGCAGTGGAGATGCCATCCTCGCTATAAGACATGCTGGTGGACCAGGAGGAGGAGGAAAGAGGGCCTGGCGAGAGGAGAGTGGAGATCCGCGTGACTAGAGCAGAGGGCAGGATGTGACTCAAACGAGGGGCGGAGCGAAGACGATGGTACCTTCAGTGGTTCAGCAGGAGGGCGAAGGGGGAGGGAGGGAGGGACAGGGGAGGGTTGGAAAGGGGGGGTTATCAAATGGGATGGATTGAAAAGGGGAGGATGATACCCCCCCTTACTCCCCTTTTCAAAGTCACGTCACAATGACGCGTGCTGATGTCTTGAAACTCCACTGTACTTTTGAGATTTCTCAACGTGCTTTCGTATCTTCAACGACTCTCCGCTAAGGATCTCTTTATTCAGATGACTTTTGAGTCGGCAGAAAATTTGCTCTTCTCTTCGTGTGAAGGGGCTGGTGATGCCACCTCACACCACACATGCCAAACTCTTCTCTTGTGCAATGACGATAATTTGAGAACACGAAAAGAGTTGGGAGCACGCACTGTTTCACATCCCGGCTGAATCATAGAGGGACAGGCGACAAAACATAATATATATATATTTACACATACATATAAACAAATAAAGATATACATACATGTATTACCAAGAATGAACAGAAGGAGGTATTCTAAGTTGCTAAACCAGCACAATAACCAGCAGGGCCACAGAGGCGCATCTTACGGTGTGCATTGCGCCAGCAGCGACGCCAGCTTGCAGGCGAGGGATAGCGTCCACGGGTCCTGCTCCTGCTGTAGCACTGCTGCCACGGCTGCACGCAGGGGGGGAAGGGAAGGGGGTTGCACACACACGCACATGAGTGAACACATGTGGATCGTGTACCTGTGACGGGCGAGCGACAGGGTCCACAGGTCCTGCTCCTGCTGTAGAAATGCTGCCACGGCTGCACGCGGGGCGGGACAGATGGGGATGGGGGTTGATTGGTGCACGGACAGGAAGGACCACACGTGTTACGGTGAGCATTGCAACGGAAGCGAAAGGGCCCAGCCCACGGATCGTGCTCCTGCTGTGGCACTGTTGCCATGGCTGCATGCAGGGGGTAGGGTTGCACACGCACATGGGAGGACACATGTGGATAGATCGCAGTCAGCACCATGGATAGATGAGGAGCGAGGGACCGGGAATTGATGAGAATCACACGTGCCCAAAAACAAGTGCCCCATACACATGTGCCCCATGCACGCGTGCCCCATACACGTGTGCCCCATACACATGTGCCCCATACACGTGTGCCCCATAAACACGTGCCCCCACACACATCTGCCCATACACCCACCATTGTGCATTTCCACAATACTGTCAGCAAGGATTGCTGAAAGAGAAATGAATGATGCTCGACTGTTGCTGCTGCTGCTGATGCTGTTACTGATGCTGCTGCTGCGAGCACCAGCACCACCACCAACACCATCATCATCCCCAGCAGGACCAGCCGCACCATCCCCCCCACATGCTGTTCCCCCAGCACCACTCTCCACCCCTCCTGACCCTCGCGCTGGTGCTCTCTTGCCTGGGGTGCGAGGCCCTCCAGCAGCAGCAGAGGCAGCAGCAGGGGTGGGCGCAGAGGCAGCAGTGCGATGCAGGAAGGTGAGAGTGAGAGGCGAGTCGAGGAGTGAGGCGAGGGCCTGTGCTGCTGCCACTCGCACCTGCAAGAGAGAGAGGAGGGGGGGTATGGGAGGGGAGAGAGACGAAGGTGGAGAGGGTGCGGGAGAGAGGCGGGGAGGAAGGAAAGAGGCGTCTCTGCCGCCCCACCAGTAGAGGCATCAGCAGAGCAGCAACAGAGGCAGCAGCAGCAGGGGTGGGCGCTTAGGCAGCAGTGCGATGCAGGAAGGTGAGAGTGAGAGGCGAATCGAGGAGGGAGGCAAGGGTCTGTGCTGCTGCCACCCGCACCTGAGCGGGGGGGGGGGAGGGGAGTGGGAGGAGAGAGGAGTGTGGGTGAGGAGCGGTCGGAAGAGCAATATTCATTGCCACATGAACGCACAAAGGTGAGGAAGAGGGTGTGCAAGAGTTGGCGTGGCAGAGAAGAGAGTGAGGTTTGGGGGGGTGTGGGAGGGCGTTGAGGTGGGAATGGAGGAAAGCACAAGTGATGGCATCACACAAGCACGTGTCGGCTTTCAAAGCACCTTGACAGAAGACAGAGCTTCTGTGCTGAGACCCTTCCCTGGCGTCGATTGAAGCCTTGTAAGCTACTGCTAAGTTAGAAAAGGTTTTCATATGTTATAGTACGGTACACTGGAGGTTGGTTTGTAAAAACGTTAGCTGCCTCTCTCGTCACCTTGGGGGATGGGTCGGCGAGCAAAGGCGCAAGCAGGGATGCGGAGGAGGACCTGTGAGGGAAGGGTGGATGTTAAGAATGTGAGGGAAGGGTGGATGTTAAGACTGTGAGGGAAGGGTGGATGTTAAGACTGTGAGGGAAGGGTGGATGTTAAGACTGTGAGGGAAGGGTGGATGTTAAGACTGTGAGGGAAGGGTGGATGTTAAGACTGTGAGGGAAGGGTGGATGTTAAGACTGTGAGGGAAGGGTGGATGTTAAGACTGTGAGGGAAGGGTGGATGTTAAGAATGTGAGGGAAGGGTGGATGTTAAGACTGTGAGGGAAGGGTGGATGTTAAGACTGTGAGGGACTGGTGGATGTTAAGACTGTGAGGGAAGGGTGGATGTTAAGACTGTGAGGGAAGGGTGGATGTTAAGACTGTGAGGGAAGGGTGGAACACACGGAGATTGCATGGGCGCGGCGAGAGAAGCATGGGCACGTGCAGTCTGGGAATATGAAGGAGTTTTGGAGGGGGCGGGCGTTTATGAATGTGGGGGAAATCAAATCTGTGACATGGGGCTTCAAGTCAAGATTGACACGTGCTTGCAAGACAAGACACACCTGGGGGCAGCAGAGGAGGAGTGTGGGAAGAGCACAGCCCACTGCGCATGCATCGCCCTGGGACACACGGCAGCCATGCTCTGATGGGCGCACGGGATGAACAGTAGGTGCACGGGAATATGGTACAGGGGAAGAGACAGGAGGGAGGGGGGGAAGAGCAGTTAGGGGAACGGGCAGCGGCGGAGGAGTGGGAGAAGAGCACAGCACAGTGTGCGTGCAGCTCCCTGCTCCCTGGGACACACGGACACCCGCCATGCTTTGGTGGGTGCAAGGGAATAGACGGGAAGGGGGGGATAGGGTAGCAGAGGAGGGAGAAAGTAGCATAGGAGGTAGGCAGGTACCCACCTTGATGCAAGTGAGTGAAGCTATTCTCAGCTTTCTTGCCTCCACGCTACCACCTCCCCTCCTCCCATCGCCTCCCCGCCCACCCCAACTACCTCCTCCCCCTCCTCCTCTCCGTTCTCCACCCCATCCCTCCTCCTCCTCACTCTGTTCTGACCCAGAACCCCTCGTATCACTGATTTCCGAGGGGAAATAACCCCAGCTGCTTCGCTCAGTCGCCCGGCTGCCCGGAAAAAGTCCATGCAGGTGCGAGGAACGGGGGCCATGGGTAGAAGCAGCATCTGCTGCGAGTTTTAACCCTGCTAATAGTGCTGATGGTGCTGCAAGTGCACCCACCCCTCCATCTGCTGCTGCTGCTGCTGCTGATTGTGCTGCTGCTGGTTGCAGGACGGGAGGCAGGGAGGACAAGGAGGGGGAGAGAGCCAGCTGAGGGGCTCGAGCATTGCGGGAGCGCAGGTGGGGGGGCTTGTAGGGGGAGGCAGCGGGGGAGGAGGCGGCAGAGGAGGCAGCTGAGGAGGCGGCTGAGGTGGGCCGAGAAGGGTGAGCAGAGGAAGGCAAGGATGAGGCGGAGGCGGAGGGGTGGAGCAGGCGCGCTTGCTGGTGGAGGTGAAGGAAGAAGTGTTGGTGGAGGCCTGCGGAGAGGAGGGACGTGAGGATGGGCAGTAGGGCGGACGCCTGGGGCACGCACAGCACAGGTGGGTGGGACACCCGGAGTGGGAGGATGGGAAGATGGTGATTGAAGGAGGGAAAGAGAATCAAGTTTCTGGATATAGGAGGGACACATTCAAGTTTCTGGATATAGGAGGGACACATTCAAGTTTCTGGATATAGGAGGGACAAATTCAAGTTTCTGGATATAGGAGGGACACATTCAAGTTTCTGGATATAGGAGGGACACATTCAAGTTCATACGGCTGCAGAGTAGCGGTCTCATGGAGAGCGCACTTTTTGAGTTAATCGCTGTGGTCCATAGCAAGACAGCGCTGTGGTCCATAGCAAGACAGCGCTGTGGTCCATAGCAAGACAGCGCTGTGGTCCATAGCAAGACAGCGCTGCACCTGCAAAGTACCAGGCAGGCTGTACTCGCTATAGATCTGGGCTGAGCTGGTTGTGGGGAAAAACCTGCAAAGTACCAGGCAGGCTGTACTCGCACTCGCACCTGGGCTTGGCAGAAGGAGGTGGCGAGTGAGGGGGGCGCGAGGGACAGCAGGTGCAGCAGCAAGGATAGCAGTGGACGCATGGCGCTGGGGGGAGCAGGGGACGGATGAGGGATGGGAGGAAGGATCAAGGGGACATGAAGGGGAGATGGAGTGATGAGGGATAGAGAGGAGTGAGCACAAGGCAAGGTTCATGAGGAGGGATATGTGATGGTGCACTTCTCAATCATGACACGATCAGTCGGTATGTACACGTGGCATGCATGACATGACATGACATGCATGCGAATGACTCCGTGGCTCAGGCAGGAAGCAGTGTGCTGTGCTGTGCATTACGCACTGTGAATGGCTGTCAGTGTACATGACACGCTGATTCCTGCTTTCACTTTGCACTTTGAGAGCAACGTCATTCACAAGCCACTTATTGAGTGGCTCAGTGTCGTGTCTTGTCATGTCATGTCATAAACATGCCACCTCATGACATGTCCTCTCATGGCATGGCATGTCACCATATAGTGCCACGCACACCCTACCTGCTCATCCGCACGACAGCATCGATGCTAGTCGGCAGTTGATGCAGGCTAGCCGCCCACCGACGGCTCTGATGCGACGCCAGCAGCGCATGGACAGCCGAGATGCTCCGACTGACGGCCTGAGCGCAGTCAGGGAACAGAGAAGAGGATTGAAGAGTGAAGGGATTGACGCACGAGGTACGCCTTTTGAAACGTTTAAAAAATTGAGTTTGAACGTGTCAGCACGGCAGCTTCAAGTTGATTCTTCACTCGTGTCAGAGGTGGTCGCGGCTGAGTCAACGCCTGCGTGTGACACAGGCGAGCGAGCAAGGCACTTGACAGCATTTGCAGAGAGGCTTGGGGCTCTGATGTGATTGCAGGCTTTTTGAGGCGCCTCAGAAAAACGTCGCTTCTCGCGGCTTGGATGCAAATGCAGGAGGAACCATGCAAGACCATTGTAGCACGAATGAACCTTTATCCGTCCCTACCAATGCTTCAACCCCAAGGTGCGAACGCAGACTGTCTCATAACTCCTAGCCCCCTCCCCTCCCCACATTGACCACTCATTCGCTCTCCCCACCCATGCACCTCTAGTGTTAAGGCGATGACGTCCGCAGGAATATCAGGAATTGGTTTCTTCCCAGCCTCGTTCTTCCCCTTTTCCCCTCCCGCCCCTCCCGCCACTTCCGCGCCTCCTGCACCAACGTCCAGCCCTTCCCCTCGCTTTGAATTTCCCTTTCCACCCCTTCCCCCTCCCCTGTTACCCTTACGCCTGCCTGGCTCCTCCCGCTCCGCCTCCCCCCTCCCCGCGAGCATCCGCCCCGCGGCTTCCGCCTCCGCCACCACCGCGTCAACCGCAGCCACCAGACCCGCAAGAGCAGCTTTTTCAGCGTCGTCCGCACGCTGCTCGCTATTAATGGCATCAGCATCCCCGTTAATAGAGTTGTCGCGGCAATCCCTAGGCGCTTCTGCAGCAGAATCTGTACTCTTTGACGAGGAAACGGTGGAGGTTTCACGGAGCAGGGCGTGAGAAGATTCGGCGAATCTGCGAAGCCGAACCAGCAGCGGGACGTCATCCATCGTTGCAGAATAACTTATCTGCCTCGACGCTCACGAATCGAACGAATCGACACCGGAAGCAACTTTCGGCTCGACCGACGATCGCCGATTCTGCGAATGCCGCTAGTTTTGAAGAGAACGATTAACGGGTTAGTCCATTATGCTCCAGTCTCACGTGCCGATCCGTATCGCAACTGAACACATCCGTCAGGCAAGCGCAGATGGAAGTTGCTTTCCGAATGCGGATAGTAGACGGGACAAGGCCCCAGATGCTCGTCCCAGGGTAGCTTGGATGCTGTCAGGCTTTCATGCCTTATTTTACAGAAGTTCGTGGGGCGGATCGCCTCGGGGATTTCAACACTCGCTATTGTAGTGTCGTCGTATCGTTTAACACGGAAAACGGTTGTCACCGTTCTAAGAACGCATAACTGCTCATCTTACAATTAAGTTTCAAAGATTTTGTTTTAAGTTAAGACGCACGTGAACAGGAATAAGTTTCTGGCTGTAAGGAACAAAAAAAATTTAGGTATATTTCAATATGTGTTCCTTTTAGGCTTCTTAAGTGAACCTAGGAGATAACCTGTAAATCTCAACCCTAAGAAAAGGCATATATCATGCGATTTTTTCAATCATAGATATTGTGCACTTCGTGAGAATTTCCACAAAGAAATCCAGATTACCTCATATCGCGCATACGCTGGATCATCACACCAACCACCACCAGCACCTATTTCTGCAGCAGTCAACAATCCCAAGGCTCATTCTCCAACAAGAATAATTCACATCCTTGTATCAGGGAGGAGCATTCTTTAGGGATCAAGATTGCGTGGTAACCATTTTTTGGTAGGTAATATCGGCAGTTTCGGACCCAAATCGTAAAATTCTGGTATTTCGCAATCCGTCAGACGGAGAATGATGGGCAGGGGTCGACTAGCTGCTTCGCCTTGTTATCTCCTTTTCCTAGTGGCTCTTCTCACCGCATTTTGCGGAGCTTCCGCGGTTCGGTTCACGCTAGACCAATTCGAGTGCCTGACCTATTACGTGCATTACGTCGGCGACGAAGTGCATGGTAACTTCGTCGTCGTCAGTTCGCAAACGTGGGGCGAATGGGAGTCCCTGGGCGTCGACATTGTTGTAAGCACAGCACAATAACCCCCTCCCGTGCTCCCGTTTGAATCACATTGTCACATTCCACAGCTCCTTCAACAATCACCCCGGTGCCTTATCATTATCCTAATCTGTCAAAAGGGCTCCTTCGCTAGAAACACTCAACCGATTCTATCATTCTCATCTTCCCCAGATTGTTCCAGTTAAGACTCGCCCAAGCTTCCCTCTCGCTCTCATCTCAGTGCAGTCTCTCAAATACAAACCCTCACCTTTCCCATCGTCACCCTTCGATCCCTGTCTCCCCCCCTTTTTCTCAACCTCCAATCGGGACAGCACAGGCCGGTCACTGAAGGCATATTCCAAAGGGGAGGGGACGTTCGAGGTCAATTTGCTGCGAGTTTTCAGGCGCCTCAAGTCCCAGAGCGGGAATGCGAGTTTAGAACGATTCGATATCAACACCCCCTACACTACACCCCTACTCTTTCACCGTTGTGCATGCGGCTGGGAGAGAAGGAGGGAAGCGAGGGCGACTCCCGTATGTGCGTGCCTCACCCATCCCTCTTCTACTCCCCTCCCCTCAGCCGTCAAACAGGTGAACGACCCGGACGGGTACCACGTGCACTCGTCGCAGGGGCAGAAGGAGGGAGTATTCGAGTTTGAGTCAATGCGCTTTCTTTCAGTAGCCCCCTTCCCTCTCTCCTGCCCCCTTCCTTCCCATCTTTGGCTGTTCAGGTGGAGGACCCCGACGGGTACCACGTGCACTCGTCACAGGGGCAGACGGATGGCGTAATCAATTTTGAGTCGATGCAATCTCAGTAGTCCCTCGCCCCGCTCCGCCCCCTTTCCTATCTTTGCCCAACGTCTCGACCGCACAGGTGGAGGACCCGGACGGGTACCACGTGCACTCGTCACAGGGGCAGACGGATGGCGTGTTTTCATTTGAGTCGATGCGGGAGGGCGACTACAAGGTGTGCTTCACCAACAAGTCGCCCATCAATGAGGAGATTGTGTTTGAGCTGCACGTGGGCCACCACTTCAGCGAAAAGGAGCTCGCCAAGGAAGGTGTGCTGTGCGGTGGTGTGCGGTGCAGTGCGGTGGGGTGGGGTACTGTGCTGTGCTGTGCGGTTCTGTGTGTGCTGTTGTGTGAGGGGGCGACTACAAGGTGTGCTTCACCAACAAGTCGCCCATCAACGAGGAGATTGTCTTTGAGCTGCACGTGGGCCACCACTTCAGCGAAAAGGAGCTCGCCAAGGAAGGTGTGCTGTGCGGTGCTGTGTGGTGGTGCAGTGCTGTTTTGTGCTGTGCTGTGTGATGCTCTGCGGTGCTGTTCTGTGCTGTGCTGTGCTGTGCTGTGCTGTGCTGTGCTGTGCTGTGCTGTGCTGTGCTGTGCTGTGCTGTGCTGTGCTGTCCACTTTCCTTGTTCTCATTGCACCCCCCCATCACCCTTCTCTCGTCCTCGTCACACCCTTCCCTCCCCCCCCTTCTCCTCCCACCCAACAGAGCACGTGGAGCAGACGAGGGACAAGGCGAAGAATCTGTACGAGCGGGTGATGGTTCTGTTTCCTTATCACACCTCCACCTCCCTCCTCCATTTCACTCCTCCATCCATCTCCCCCCCTCGCCTCCCATCCCTCAGAGCACGTGGAGCAGACGAGGGACAAGGCGAAGAACCTGTACGAGCGGGTGATGGTGCTGTCCATGCACGCCAAGTTCCGCCACTCGCAGGCTCAGAGGCTCAACGAGTGTGAGTGAGGGAGGAGAGGTGAAGCGATGGAGGAATGTGAGGGGGCACGAGAGGAGAGAGGGTGAAGGAATGTGAGAGGGGAAGGAGAGGCGAAGAACCTGTACGAGCGGGTGATGGTGCTGTCCATGCAAGCCATGTTCCGCCACTCAAAGGCCCAGAGGCTCAACGAATGTGAGTCAGGAGGGTTGAGTGGGAGAGAGGGTGAACGAGTGTAAAGTGAGGAGGACGGAGAGGGGAGAGGTTGAAGAAATGTGAGTGAGAGGGGCGGAGATAAGAGCAACGATGAATGGTGAAGCAGATTGTGAGGCAGCATGAAAGTCGTCCTTTGCAAGTCTTCGTGCAAGATATGGATGGATGTGTTTCACACGCGAAACTGTTGAGCCGACTTGCAAGTCACCTCGGCACACACGCATCACCATCTCGCTCCCCTCCCTCCCTCCCTTCTCTTTTCCTTTTTCTTCCATGTCTTCTATCCCCTTCTTCCTTCCCCATGTCCCCCCGCCGCCCACATCCCACCTCCACCTCTCTCTCGCGTCCTTTACCCCTCTCCTCCCTCGCAACTCCTCCAAATCCTCTGCTTGTCAAGCCACTCATATGGTGAGGAGGGCTGTGTCCTTGCAGGCCTGTATTCATATTCATCCCCGCATGCCGCATCCCCTCTCCACGCGCCCCACTTTTCCCAGATCTCCCCATTCGTTCCAACATCCCCCCCCGTCACTCCCTCCCACACCTCCCCTTGCACCCCCCCCTCCTTTTCCCCACCTCCTCCCCCTCGCGCCCTGCCCCTTCCCCCATCTCCCAATTGTCACGCCCTGCCCTTCCCCCGTCTCCCCCTCCCTGCACCCTGCCCTTTACCCCACCTCCCTGCCTCCGCGCTCCTGGCCCTTCCCCCAACTGCAGTGGCCAAGTCCACACCACAACAGGGACGCTCATCCTCAACACTCCCCGCTTCCTCATGCACCCACTCCACCTTTCCTCCACCTCCCCCCCTCCTCTCTCCCTCCTCTCCACCTCATTCCCCCATTCCCAGTGGCCACCACAGGAAGGCTTATCTTCCCACACCATTGCTCCCCCTTCCTCTCCCTTCCTACCTTCCTTCCCATTCCCCTACCCTGTCCCCATCCCCCCTGCCATCTCCCCCCACCGGTTTCCATTCCCAGTGGCCAACAAGACCACCACAGCAAGCAAGGCTCATCTTCAAGACGCCCTCCCTCCTCATGTGCCCCACCTTTCCCCCACCTCCCCCCGTACCTCTCGCCTTCCCCTCCACCCTGTTCCACCCGCCCTGTTTCCATGCCCAGTGGCCAAGACCACCACAGCACGGCTCATCGTCCCACACCCCCATTCATCTCCCCCTCCCTACCCTCGTCCCCATTCCCCTGCCCTGCCCCCATCCCCTCAACCCCATTCCCCCCACCTGTTTCCATGCCCAGTGGCCAAGACCACCACAGCAAGGCTAATCTTTAAGACGGCCGTCCAATCAGGCGCGCTCATTCTTTGCAGCTCAATCCAGGTGATGCTACAGTGTTAGTCAGGTGATGCTACAGTGCTAGTCAGGTGATGCTACAGCGCTAGTCAGGTGATGCTACAGTGCTAGGCAGTGGTGCTACAGTGCTAATCAGGTGATGCTACAGTGCTAATCAGGTGATGCTACAGCGCTAATCAGGTGATGCTACAGTGCTTGTCAGGTGATTCTACAGTGCTAATCAGGTGATGCTACAGTGCTAATCAGGTTATGCTACAGTGCTAATCAGGTGATGCTACAGTGCTACTCAGGTTATGCTACAGTGCTAATCAGGTGATGCTACAGCGCTAATCAGGTGCTGCTACAGTGCTAGTCAGGTGATTTTACAGTGCTAATCAGGTGATGCTACAGTGCCTTCAACAAGTCTGCTTTGCAAAAATCATCCGCGCTGCTCTTCCACCTCTTCCTCTCCCCGCACTATGGTGCTAGGTCACGTTACAGTGTTTGTTACCAAGTAAGGAGACAGGTTGCCTTGGCTTCTTGCAGTATGTTCACTCGGCAGTTTTCTCCACTCCCCCCATCCCTTTCCTCTCCCTCCGTCTCTGCAGGTGTATCTGCTGCACCGCCTCTTCGAACGCAAGCTGGGAAGGTCATTCGTCTGACTGCGCTGCTGGGCTGCAACACTCACTACAACACCCATGATTGTGAACAGCACAAGGGAGACAAACCCACTCACCTGGTAAATCTATTTATCCTCTCAACACTTGATAACTGTTGGGAGAAATGGGTATCACATACCCTTGAGCTGACAGCTTATTGACAAGTGCTACGGGTATGTACGGTACAGTACTTGGGATTCCAGACACAACAGCAGCAGAGCTAGAGCTGTCAGTTCGTCTCCAAAAAGCAGTATTGACGTATAACATGTTCACTTACAAAATTTGAAAAGAATAAATAACATCCAGTAAGACAGCATATTGCATCACAATGACCACCATAGGTGCAGCCAAAACATATTGACAGCAGCTTTCCAGGGCTCCATATACACCGCCAAACCAAACGCACTAAACCTGCAAACTGAAATGCTGAAAAGACAAAGGTGCTTGCATATGACCCATGTCAGTCAGGCTTCCTCTTGGATCTCGAGAGGCGGAAGCTGCAAGTCCTCCGCTGCTCCTTCATATGCATCCATGCCCTCCTCGTTGAATAGAATGAAATGTACCTGCACACATGGGCACGACCACACGCATAGACATGCACACACACACAGGCACAACGATGAGAGAGGGGTGGCCTTCATATGCATCCTTGGCCTCCTCGTTATAGAGAATGAAATGCACTTGCTTGCATGCCCAGATGCATGCAAGCACGCGCACGCATGTGCGAACACATACGGTACATGCATGCGCACCCGTGCACGCAAAACGCACACGCAGCCACGCTTACACACACGCACACGCGCGGCCACGCACACATAGACACACGGACGCACGCACATGTGCCCCCGTGCGCACACACACAGGCATCCACTCGAAACACACACGTACACATGTGAGTCAACGCAAGGAAATGGAGGCCAACAAGCCCCTTCGAACATCTCATGAAAGATAAAAGGCAACAATGAGAGGTATGGTGAGAGGCACGGTGAGAGGCACAGTGAGAGTCGTGGTGAGAGGCAAGGTGAGAGGCACGGCGAGAGGCACGGTGAGAGGCACGGTGAGAGGCACGGTGAGAGGCACGGTGAGAGGCACGGTGAGAGGCACGGTGAGAGGCGGACTGACCTCTGAAAAGCCGGTACAGGTTGCTTGAAGCGCCTTGAGTGACACCTGGGCAGCGTCGGGAAACGGGTACCTGCAGAGACATGCAGCATGCGATGAGAGGCACGCAGCATAAGAGGCACGCAGCATAAGAGGCACAGGGGGGGACACACACAGCACACGGCACAAAGGGCGTGCAGAGGAAACCACCAGGTTACGTGAGAGTTGAAAGGATTCCGGTGGCAGGGTCACGGAATCTCATACACCCTCATGAACAGCATGAATAACATGAACAGTGCCTGAGTAAACAGCAAGAACGGTTGAAAACGATGCTTACTTGCTTAAGAGTTAACGCTGACTCAGACACACATGATGCTGACTCAGACTCACACGACGCTGACTCACCCATAGATGCCACACGAAACTGCCGGGAAGGCAATGAACTTGACATGCGCCTTGCGAGCCTCCTCCATGGAACGGCTGGGAGAGGAGAGAGGGGGGAGGTGGGGGTTAGAAGCCGACAGTAGATGGCAGGCAAGGGACAGGTGGGATGGCGGCCTGGCCTAGCGGGCCTCCTCCATGGAACGGCTGGGAGAGGAGAGGGGGGGGGAGGTGGGGAAAGGGGACGGGGAGAGGGGAAAGAGGGGAATGGGGGTTGGGGCATGGCCTAGCGGGCCTCCTCCATAGAGCGGATGGGGTGACGTGGAGGAAGGGGTGAGGTGGAGTGGAGGATGGGGTGACCTGGTAGATGGGGTGACGTGGAGGATGGGGTGACGTGGAGGATGGGGTGACGTGGAGGATGGGATGGGGTAACGTGGAGGATAGGATGGATTGACGTGGAGAATGGGATGGGGTGATGTGGAGGATGGGGTGACGTGGCAGGCAGTGGCGTGGTTGACTGAACCCTGACCAGCAAAGTTGTCTGTGTCGACTTGACCATCGTTTTGCAAAGAAAACGTACGTTGACTGAAATTGAGCAGCATTGACCAGCATTGACAAGTGAGGTTGCCTTGAAATCGAAGAGACCAACACTCACACATAGGCGGAGTGCAGCAGCGGTGCGGAGCGCTGTGCCGAGGTGTAGATGGGCCCCACCGTGTGAATCACATGCTTCACTGGTAGCTCAGCCGCTCTGGTGGAAGGAGGGGGGTAGAGAGTGTGAGAAAGGGATGCGAAGAGGGGAAGAGAGGAGAGGACGGGGGTGGGAAGGTTGGGATGCAGAGCGGACGTGTGGATGGGTGAGTCCCGCCGTGTGAATCACATGCTTCACTGGTAACTCGGCCGCTCTGATGGAGCGGGGGAGAGGAAAGGGGAGAGGGGGGGAAAGATATTGAAAATTGGGAGAGTGGAGGGATGAGGGACAAAAACTATGGGGCCCACCGTGTGAATGACACGCCTCACCCTTATCCCATACAGTCACGCTCACCCTATACACTCACAACCCCCACTCACACCCCCCCACTCACACCGTCATGCCCCCACACTCACACCCCATACAGTCACACTCACCCCGTGCATACAGCCTACCCTGTGGGGCAGCCGACACCTCTGCTCACTGCCCCTTAGAATCACTCTTACACGTCACAATCAATTCAGAAACCACACTCACCCCGTGCACACAGCCTGCCCTGTGGGGCAACGCACTCCTTTGCTCACTTCCGGCACCGCTTTGCACTCCCTCACCAGGCCTGGCCCCGCTGCCCTGTGGATGGCTGGGGAGGAGGGGAGAGATGGGAGAGATACGAGAGGGGAATGGGGTGGGGCAGCGCACCCTTGTGCTCACTTCCGGAACCGCCTTGCACTCCCTCACCAGGCCCGGCCCTGCCGCCCTGTGGATGGCTGGAGAGGAGGCGACAAAAGGGGAGATACGAGAGGGGAATGGGGCAGGGAAGCGCACCCTTGTGCTGATTTCTGCACCGCCTTGCACACCCTCACCAGGCCCGGCCCTGCTGCCCTGTGGATGGCTGGAGGAGGGGGGAGGGGAGGGGAGAGATGGGAGAGGGGAGGCGGAGGAGGAAAATGGGATGGGAGAAGGGATGCGGAAAGGAGTTCGCCCATCAGTTTGCTTGCTGCACCGCTCTGCACTCCCTCACAAGCGCTGGCCCTGCAGTGCTTCTAATTGCTGCAGAGAAGGGGCGGTGAAGACAGCGGGCTGTCAGGTGGGGGAGAGGAGAGAAGGAAAAGGGCGAAACGGGAGGCTATTTGTTTGATTGTTAATGTCTCAAACATGGCGTTGAGATGGGAGATTGAAGCAGCAGGCACTGTTGAATGCAGACTGGAAGGATGGAAGGAAGGAAGGAAGGATGGATGGGATGAGGGGAGGATGGATGGGACGATGGAAGGACGAATGGAAGGATGGAAGGATGGATGGGATGAGGGGAGGGGCTCACCTCCGTCCACTCCCCCTCCTCCCAGCATTCTCTCGTTGGCTGCATTCACCTGTATGTGGTGCACACACACACACACACGCACACACGCACACACACACGCACGCACGCACGCACACACGCACGCACGCACGCACGCACACACGCACGCACGCACACACGCACGCACGCATGCATGCACACACACAAACACACACACACACAAACACACACACAACACACACAACACACACACACACACACACCCACACACACAACACACACAACACACACACACACACACACACACACACACACACACACACACACACACGCATGCACCCACGCACACACACGCACAAAGGAGTTGAAGTGCCTTGAGGTGTGCATCATGCTGATAACGGATCTGATCTGAATGCATACTGGCAGCTGCCTTGGATTGGACGACACTTAACTTACATTAAGCTTTCTCTCCTCAACCACTCGATAGAAGCACACCCGTTAAAAGAAGACTCACTATAGCGTCGGTGCGCCCGTCCACGGACCACTTGGTGAGGTCGCCTCGCTGCAGCACCAGCACGCACCCCTCCTCCCCCAGCAAGTACGCGGAAGCTTCCGTGAACAACTCGCTGTGTGCCTGGCGCAGCTTGTACACCGTCGGGCGCGCGGCGGGGGCGGCGGGGGAGGGCTCGTTAGGGGGAGAGGCGGCGGAAGGCGTGGTAGGGGGAGCAGAAGCGGAAGCTTCCTGAGGCTCCTGGGCAGCAGCGGGAGCCGCGGCGGAGGGATCAGCAGCGGCAGCAGCAGCGGAGGATTCGCCTCGGATTGAGTCGGGTTCACCAGACGACGAGGACGAAGCGTCGCGCTTTGCCTTCTTCGCCGAGAATTCCTCCGCGACCATCGCGTCCGCCGCCGATCCCTCTTCCCCCCCTTCCGCCGACTGCTCCGCTTCGTCCGCAGCGGAATTCTCCGCGGGGCGGGAAGCGCCCGCCCCGGCGACGTGCGGCGGAAATTCCGCGTCCGATGGGGAAGCTGGGTCCGCCATTCCGCCTTTCGCGAGGGTAAATCGAGATCGGACCGTGCAGAAACCTGCTACCTGGTTCTTTGGAGCAAGGCTGGTGGAACGGCAATCCCAAGGCGCGGCCTTGGAGGGAAGGCAAGTGGCTCGGCACTCCAAAGGTGTCGCCTTAGAGGTTCGGCAATCCCAAGATGCGGCCTTGGGAGGGAAGTCAGTCAGCGGAGACGAATGAAGGGTAGGGAGGAGTGACGCGAAGACGAAAATCGGCGAAAGGCCGCGAAAAGTAGGTGACTGTCGCGAGAGGAGCGATCGAGGAGCGGCCGTGGGACGAAACGCGCGGATGGAAGATGAAGCAGGGGTGGTAGCGGATGAAGAGACGAAGCGCGTCGTGATGGAACAAGGTGATAGCGCCGCGTTGATCGTTTTACTAACCGACGCTGGACGACTAGTTCTAAGTAGTGCGGTGCTACTGGATTCGCGCAAAGCGGCGGGGTGCGCGCGGAAAAGGCGGGACGAGGCTACAATGCAGGGTCGCACTCGCACCATGGGATCGCCGCGCGCGGTCAGACAGAGACGGTTTCGCGCGGGCGGGGCGACAGGCAGGCAAGCAGGCAATGCGGACTGGCAATGACTGCTGAGGTGGACTGGATTGCGACGTACGTCACAAGGCACTGCCTTGCGGTGTGAGCGGCTGAACCATTTGGTATTGTGCAGTCCACAGCGGTATTTCAGGAACTATGTTACGAGTGCAATTGAGTGAGCGAGCGAGAATTGCACAATCGAAGCAAAAGTACAACAGGAGAAGGCATGAGCAAAGAATATATAGAGAAACTACAGTGTTAACGGTAATGCATGAAAACGGAATGCGCGACGGGCCTGGCGCCGAGGTTGGGAAATGCCGAGGCAGAGGTCTGGAGCGCGGGTTACCAACCGAACCGTGAGGTTGGGTCGTGTCGTGAACAGTGGCGAGAACGGTGTCGAGGCGAATGTCGCGAGTGGTAACGGTTTACCGTTGGGTGTTGTTGGCGGGAACAGTGGTGTACGCGCTGAGCAGGGACGCGAAGTAAGGAAAAGGAATTTTCCTTACAAACTACAAAGGAACTTTTGGGACCCGCCCTTACATTTTCTACAAGGTGGATAATAAAGGTCACTTCTCCAAAAGGGCCACCCTACAACGCATATTTGGCTTACGGCACCAAGGTGGACGCGCTCGGATTCGGAATAACGGTTGATAACATATTTGAGACAGCCAAAAAAGGGGACAATAAATGGCACATGTTATTTGTGACCGGAAAGGCATACCGTATTACCCCGGACATACCACCCTAGGGTGCTATGATAACTACACAAAAAAAAGGGGGGGGGGTCTTGTCATCGGAAAAAGCTACATTGCACCCGGGTCGTTACATAATGTATATTTTTTTTAGAGCACAAAAGGTTGAGAACAAAATGTACATGTTTGACGCGGTGGTAGATTGTTGGTTGGGTGCGCAAAACCGAGGACTGGGCGATAACGTTAGTCTCGTGGGTTAGCTGCCACATTGCAAGCTCCAACAAGGCCCACAGTCAGGCCCTGATTGGAAAGAAGACACACCCCCCAGGGCTGACGTTTCATTTCGGGCCCCCCTGATTTCGGGAAAAAAATTCTCCCTGGATTATGAGGGCACATATTTCGTAGGTTTGCTACTCTGATTGGTCAGTGTCCAACAACGACTTACTCAGAGTTGTCAGGGTTCAGAGCAAGAAATCAGTGTTGCAGCCAATCACGCAAATTTCTCCCATTTCCCTCCCACGCCTCACTTCCCTGGCCGGTCGAAATCAAACAGAACACACAACCAAGCTGGCAGTCGTGATTTTACTGTACTGAAGTCACACAAATTGTTGGGTCAGATCACGGTTCTTCTGAAGTTCGCCTGCCATAAAATCTGGACAAGTGTACGCGAAAGTACACGTCAGTGTGACTTGGCACCACACAGCCACGAATATCGCCCACAATGTGCCACCCAAAGTACAGTGCACGTTCGCCGTCAACCACAGTGTATATTTGCAAAAACTGCAATATTACCCGTACATAACACCCACCCCCCCGGGTGCTATATCAGATCGCCCCAAAAGGGGGGTATAGTAGAAATGAGGCCCGCTATAGCACCCCCCCCGCACAAGCCACCCGGGGGGTGCTCTATTTCGGCGGGTGGTATGTCCGGGGTAATACGGTACAAATTATTGGACCAGATTACCGTATCCTTGCGGGGACGATGAGGAGATTTGGCCTCCCTAACCAGATTCGTCTTCTCGGCAAATGTCTCCACTACGACGTGTGTGCAAGGCTACCATGTGTGTTGACAATTGGACATGGTAAGGGGTGGAGGCGCAAACGAGGTGGCACATGGCACACAACACAACGGAAGGGCGGGCAGGTGAAGCAGGCTGCGGACGGCTGGCATACATCGGATATGCTGACGACACTGCACTACTGATCAATGGGAAACATCAGTTGCAGAAAGGTAAATGAATTTTACATGAATCTGCTAACTGAGGCCTCTAGCCTGCGTACGAACGCATCCACACACATCTGCGCTATCTCCGCTGGGAAAATATGCAAGGAGCAGTCCACTGGAGAAGTTGCACTGCAAGTGGGTGGCATGGCTGAAGTGGAGCGGCAACGGTTACATCCTTGTACCAGTAATATCGTATGAAGTGCATACACATACCGTATGGCCCCGGATATAAGCGCATATGCGCTTATAATAAGTTCAAAAAATTTAGGGGTGGCGCTTGTAATTGAGTAACGGCCATAAGCGCCGGCGCTTATATAATGACACATACAAATTTATACGTTAAAGGTACAAAATTGAAACGAGTCGAAATCAAATAGAGTACCACAAAGCAGAATCGCGCGCAAGCGATTCTGCTTCCTGCACACTGTCAAATTCGCGTCACTTTGCAGGGATGCCAGCACATCCTGACTGGACGCGCAGCCAGTCAGGTCTTCGCGAGTCAAACGAAGCGAAAATGAAAATTGACTCGCTGCAAAACTAAAATTTGTTACCGATTTTAATTGATAATTAAATTAAAAAGGGGGGGCGCTTATAATAAGTAATGGTTTTACAGGGGGGGCGCTTATAATCGAGGATCGGCCATAAGCGCCATGCTCAAGATAGAAGCGCCGGCGCCTGTAATAGGCCGGCGCCTATATCCGGGGCCATACGGTACCGGTACAACCCAATTCCTGAAATGATCATGCACACATTTGATGCTAAGACTGTAAAGACCTTGGAGCATTTGGAGTCTAGTAGAGTCTTGGCATCAAATGTGTGCATGGAGCCCAAAACGTGCCCATCATTTGGTTGGGAGCCAAACATGGCATGATCTTTCCATGACTTGGCCCTCTCTCTACATTCCCTTTCTCCGATGCTCTATGTAATGAATCAAAGATCTAACAACAGCTTCCCCAACCTCCCCTCTCATCGCCACCTTCCTCTGCCTGTTCGACCTGTAACAGTGGTAGTGATGGTCGTGCGGACACACATCCATAAACCGCGACGCCTCCACTTGCCAGCTGTCGAAAAACTCTATATGGGGGACAGAATTGTCAGCCATACTAGGACCACCAGGCACACCGTTGGCGTCTGTGTTTATCTGGTCGACCAGGTGTTTGGTCAGGTGGTTAGCAGCGGAGAGAAAGAGGTTGGTGGCGGGGCCTTGGAAGATACGGCTAGCATTGCTGCATCTGTCTCCACTATTGGGCACTGGCGGTGCAGAGCGCACTATCAGCCAAACACGGCGACTGCCTGTGGCTGCTGGGTTTGCGGCTCCTGGGTTTGCGGCTGTTGGGTTTGCGGCTGCTGGGTTTGCGGCGGCTGGGTTTGCGGCTGTTGGGTTTGCGGCTGCTGGGTTTGCGGCTGCTGGGTTTGCGGGTGCTGGGTTTGCGGCTGCTGGGGTTTGCGGCTGCTGGGTTTGCGGGTGCAGGGGTTTGCGGTGCTGGGGTTTGCGGGTGCTGGGTTTGCGGGTGCTGGGGTTTGCGGCTGCAGGGTTTTCGGCTGCAGGGTTTGCGGCTGCTGGGTTTGCGGCTGCTGGGTTTGTGGCTGCTGGGTTTGTGGCTGCTGGGTTTGTGACCGCTGCCCTTGTGCTGGTGGTGGTGGGGCTGCTTGTCGTGTTACTGCGTAACAGGTGTTCGGCCCTTTCAGCACCACCTGTTGCTCCTGATTGCCTGCTAACACCAGCTGCCGATCCCCTGAGGCTGGCCCCGCTTGGTACAGCTACAAATGCAGATCCACTCGGGTGTGAATCTGCAGGAGAGTAATGCTTGGTGGTAGAGGCAGCTTCAGCAGTGGCAGCGGAGGAGGTTTGGGCGGCAGGAGCAGCAGCAGGGGCTGCAACAGCAGCGGCGGCGGCTTGGAAGTGGGCCCAGGAGAGGTATTCAGGGAGGTGGGTGCGGAGGGCGGAGAGCGGATGCAGACAATGCTTGCCGGCCCAATAGCTACTGTTGATGATGATGACGTCACTTCAGAGGGAGATGTTGGGGAAGGAGTTGTAGTGCTACGAGTACTCCCCTCGGTTCCTGGGGTGAGGAGAGGGGTAGGGATGGGGATGCGGATGGGGACGGGGATGGGGATGGGGATGGGGATGGGGATGGGGATAGGGATGGGGATGGGGATAGGGATGGGGATGAAGATCATGCGTTATTCAAGAAACATGTCACATTTTCTAGGTGCTGGGCTGGGCAAGGGTCGTAGGGCTGTGAGAAGGCCCCGTGGAGTGGCAAAGGGAAGGCGATGGACGGGGAACAAGGGGAGTGGACAGAAGGGGTACTCACGCATACCCATTCAAGCCCTCTAACTCATGTGCAGCCCAACTCGTCGTTGCAGTAGATGCCATCCATCCAGTGGAAGCTGATGCGATACTGTGCTGATTGTTGAGATTTCTCAAGGGTCAATTCAGAGCAAGAAAAGGGGCCACTCACGTGCAGCCCAACTCGTCGTTGTGGTGAATCCCACCCACCCAGTAGAAGATATTGTAGAGGGAGC